GGATCAAGTATATTAGTACCAACTTGGGATCACCCAGCAATGCAGAACCTTAACAGGAGAATATAATATTTTAATACTAGGAATAAAATTTACTCTTGAAATCCTTCCAAACTTGAGGACCAGCAGGATGATGATTTACATATACCTTCAAAAATTTAGCATCTGACATTGCAACAATAGTGCTCAAGGCAGGCCTAAGGTCTACCGCTCCTTGACCTTTGAGCCAATTGTACATGAATACCCTAAACTTGACCCTTTCAGTTCTATAGGAAAGATATGATGGAAAGGACGCCAGAGATGATACGGGATAACCCAAATGATTTACAAGAAAATCAATCTTCTTTTCTATCACACCCTTTTTCAGGTTAAGTATTTGCGGGGATACTTCAATCATTTTACAGACATCCTCACGATCCAAACCAGCATTCACAATGCAATCAAATCTTTCTTTAAGCTCGGTTCCTTTGCCTCGAAATACCTTTAGTGCTGCTTTCATTTTGTTTGAGTTCTCTACAAAACCTTTGTCTAACAAGAACTCAAGTTTCTGTGCCTTTGATATTTGGTCCTCTTTGGCTGCTGGAAGTGGCTCAATTCTTCTACCCAAAACCAAATTCTTCAATTCTTCTGGGTTCTCCTGTATGTATCTAGACAAGCGCTTCTTTCCGACGTTCAAGCCAGCAAGTAAGGTGTTGGTTTTTTTTATAGCAATTGAACCCAGTAACAGGGGGTGAGAACGGATAATCTTCCCAATCTCTGCAACCTCCATCTCAATCTTATTAAAGACCAAAAAGCAGTTCCTCAAATTCAAAACAAATTTCATAACTTGAATTTTTGGAAACTGCAGAAACATTGAATATATCTGGCTCATGGTGAAACCAAATTTCAATAAGAATCCAATTAGTGAAAATGTTGTTTTCCCTGATCCCTCAAATAAAATATCTGGGTGCTGACCAATTAGTACACCCAACTGCTCATCACTGCAACCCTTCTCACTAAACCAATGTAGAACTTCAAGCATCCGGCTCCAATTATAAGAATGTTCTTCCAACAAATTCTCCTCAATCCAACAGGTTTCAAATCCAGAACTCTTCAATATTTCCAATACCTCAACAAATGCAGCATTCACATCCCCCATTAAAAGATAAGGACTAGCAACAATAAACTTAATCAAAGCAGATTGGCTGATACCTAGTTCTTCATAAGCCTGAAGTTTTGATGGCAAAACCTCAAAATCATATCGAAAGACTTCCATTGCTTCTTTATAAATCTTTCCTATCTTATTGCGTGCAATCCCATAACGACACAAAACAGTATAATTATGAAGCAACAAACCATTATCAGTCAAGAACATCAAACTACGAGGAAGATAAGGAACATACTCAGAAGGTTTTAACCCCAAGCTCTCAAAGAAAGGTTCAAACTCATTAATAGGGTGATACCTCAAGTACCGGGCAATTGACCACCCAACTTCATCTTCATTTTCATTATCCACCCTTCTCAACAGCTTCTCAAGAAAATGTGGCGAGTTTTTACTCATATTTTCTGCATCCATGAACTGCAAGCCTCTAGTACAATGCAAATAATCCAACAATGCAGCCTGTGCTTCTTTTATAATAACTCGAGAAATTCGAGCAGCATTTTCTCCATTAGACGTCAGAGTGTTCTCCAAGTTTACAGAATTTTCAGTTTCAAGACCTCTTCTTGAACTGTAAAGCCTAAGGGTTTGGGCATTGGGGAAAATTTGCTTAAGTATGGTTCTTGATAGTCTAAGGTGGTTTTCAGCAAAACTAGAAGAAACCCATTTCAAAACAGTTGCTGTTGTGAGTTTTTGCGAACGGGTCATGAGCATTTCGATGAGATTCCAAGCCTAGTAATTATTAGAAGTTAGAACCCAAAAGGTATTCTCTGCTGAATAGAAACGAACATGAAGTCTAGGGAGAAAATATTACCTCAGAGATTTTGATGGATATGCGGCAACGCCTCTCTACTGAACAAGACTCGGTGCTTCCTCTGTAAATTTATCTCATACTGCTGCTGCCTTCTGGTTGAGGCTCTGCCTTACGATATTTTTGTTGCCGAACGGTTCTGTCTCCGACTCTTTTTTTCTTTTGCGCAAAAGTCTCAGTCTCCGACTTAGCAATTTTAGGGGTTTTAGAAATAAGGGACACCATTCAAAATTGGTCTGCCAGGAGGAGGAGGTTATATTAGAATTTTTTTTCGGGGGAGTGATACAAGTTGGGGAGGGATGAACTACCTCTGCAGCAGAATAAATATTCTTAATCAATTGAAATATAAGCCCTTGCATATTAGAATGAGAATTGACACTCAAAAAATGTCCTACTCTTAGGTTTTTTTTCTTATATTTTAAAAGACAATAACAAGAAGCTTTTATCTCAAGGGTTAACTTATGTTTTGCCCCTTGAACTTGTACCTCGCTTTCAATTAACCTTCCATCCTTTTTTTTAAAAAAAAATTAAGGATATGAACTTTTATTTTTCTTCCATTTCCCTCCTACCGTCTAAATCCTCAACATTTCACCTAATTTTCAATTAAATCATTTTTAAAAATTGAAGAAAAAGAGAAAAATTGACAACAATAAAAAACATAAAAAGAAAAAGACACTAAAGAAAAGAGATCTTGAGAACCCAGCTCCCAACCACTCTACTTCAAAATTAGAGGGCATGTTTACAGCACTTTCTTTTGGCTCTTTTTCTGGGGGTGGTTCAACTTTCTTTGTTGTTGAAATCTGCTTTTTCTCAGTGGTGTTTGGCCAAGTCAAATCCACTTAAAACACAGAAGGTTTGATTGGGGAAGGTAAAGCTATTTTCTTTCATTCATATGGACCTTTGGTTGCCAGTAGCAGCCCTCCTAATTTTGAAGTAAATTGGTACCAGCATTCTGTCTTGAGCTTAACTATTTTTCTCCTCTCAATTCTCCCATGACCACCCTTACCCCTACCACCCCTCCCCCACAAACCCACAAACCCCCCTCGATTTCTTATCCTCCCTCCCGCGCCAGCCCCAACCCCAAACTCCAGTCCCTACCTACCATTCACTCGCCATCCTCCAAGCCACTGCCAAATGACGACTCCCATTCCCACGCCAGCCTGCACACAGAGAGAGAGAGAGTGTGTGTGTGTTTTTGTTTCAATTTTCTGTTTTTTTTTATTTTTTATTTTTTATTTACTTTTAATGTACAAAATGATCTTTTTGCCCTCATTTTTAACAGCAAATTGAATGAAATGTTGTAGATTTAGACGGAGATGGGAATTGGCAAAAAAAGAAGTTTATATCCTTAATTTTCTAAAAAAAAATTATGTGTAAATCGAAAGTTATATACAAATTCGGAGGGCAAATCACCAATTAACCCCCAAAAATATATCCCTCGACTCCACTTTCTTTCTTATATAATAAAAAGTAATGACAATGAATTTACAGCTTAAGTAGTTAAGGGCAATATTAGCCATGCACTTACTTAACATAATGTGTTTGAATTTCCTTTCCTCTAATATCACTTTTATAAAAATAATAATAATAATAATAATAATAATAATAATAATAATAATAATAAAGATAAATAATGAATGCACAGGATAAAGGGATAAAAAAGATTTAAAAAAAGAACAAAGAGTAGTGCAAATTTTCTTCGCGATTTGTTTATATTTACATCCAAACAAGTTTTTTGTGAACTATTTTATAATGCTCGTGTAACAGATACACGAGAAGATTGTGAGTGAAAATGCTTAGCCACTCATCTAAATAGCCATGGCATGCAGTAAAATGTTTTGTAGTGTCGCACTACCCATTTCCTTACGGCTTTTTTATTAACTCGGAAAATATAAAATGTCATTTGCATACATGGACTTGTTATGCATGTAGTAGTGATGCAAAACCTTCCAATTCTAATTCCATGTAAATCTGTTTTAATTTTCATTTCAATAAAGAAAAGCACCTCATTTCAACATTTTTTTTCATTCTAAATTTTGGTTTGATTACTTTCTGTCAGATAAATTACATAGCCATTCCATGATTCTACATTCCAACCAAATAAGAGAGAGAGAGAGAGAGAGAGAGCAAACAAGAAGGAACAAAACTGAGTGTACAGTTCAGTTTTGTATTTTCAGTCAGATTTGGGTTCTGGATCAAGTTTAGAAGAGGAGCAGTGGTGGAGTTTTTCTCATTAGCCAGATCAGGTAGAGGCAACCTAACCCAAGATGATGATAAACACAGCAACAACACACCAAGTACAATTCTTCTACAGCGCTTGATTTGTAACACGAATGATGGCGCGATGTAAAACGGCTTCGAGCTATGGCATCAACAAAGAACAACTCCTCCAGCTTCACACACAACTATTAGGTTGCCAATTCATCATCCCTGGCAAGGAAAGATTGAATGTGTATATAATAAGCCTTCAAGTTCTTGAACTTAAGCAATATTGTATGTTTGCCCTTAAACACACTAATTATTGTTTAAGTGGGACATTTTCAAATTTAAGGATGAATGTGAGATACATGTTATAGTTTAGGAGAGATTAGTAAATTAGAAATAAAATATACCATTTCAAATAATCAAATGCATATGCAACCTTCACTAACATAGAAAACTATATTCTGAAAGTGTCATTATAAAATTTCTAGTAAGAAACCAATCACTTCAAACACTATATTCATATCTAACCTAGAGTTGATTATCGTTATAAACAAAAGATCCTAATCATGATTATCACCTTCATCCATACTTCAGTCTTCTTTTGTTGATTTGTCACTCAAATTTAGTTTAGACTTTTCTGAATTGTTTTGGTTTTAAGTAGATTGGATTGTTAGTTTTATGCAGACCACCATAAATAAAATCATTCTGTCATTCTATCAGTTTTCAGATTCCTTCTCAATTTCTTTTAGCAATTCAATCCCAAGAGCTTCAATAAGAAAAAACTAACATGCTAGCATCAGCTCGGTGATAATAAACACTGCTGAACCTTCAGGAGAATCAATGAACATTTTATTGCTTTGAATAAATTTTTCTCTTCAAATCCTCCCAAACTTGAGGACCACTAGGATGATGATTAACAAACTTCCTCAGAAAATATATATCTGAGCAAGAAACAACAGTGCTCAAGGCATATGTAGGATCTGTTCCATGATCTTTGAGCCAATTGTACATAAGTACCCTATGCTGGACCCTTTTAGTTCCATGGGTAAGATATTTTGGGAAGATGAGTAAAGTTGATAAGGGATAACACAAATGATTTACAAGAAAATCAATCTTCATTTCAATAACATCCTTTGACTGGCTAAGAATTCCAGGTGATACTTTAACCATTTGGCAGACGTCCTCAGGATTGAAACCAGCTTCCACAATACAATCAAATCTTTCCTGAAGCTCATATCCGTTGCCTTGAAATTTATTTACAGCTTCTTTCATTTTGTTTGAGTTCTCTACAAATCCTATGTCTAACAAGAATTTAGCCTTCTCTGTCTTTGATCTAAAGTTGCTTCCCCCGTCTAATGGCCTAAGTCTTCTGCCCAAAACCCAGTGCTTCAATTCTTGTGGGTTCTCCTGGATGTATCTACACAAGCTCTTCTTCCCAATGTTCAAGTGAAGAAGTAAGGTGTTAGTTTTCTTCAAAGCACACGAACCCAGTAGCAGGGGGTGAGAACGGATGATCTTCCCAATCCCTGCAACCTCCATTCCGATCTCATTCAGGAAAGAAAAACATTTCCTCAAATTCAAACCAAATTTCATAACTTGAATTCGGGGAAACTGCAGAAACAGTGAAGATACCTGGCTCATTCTGAATCCAAACTTCAGCAAGAACCCAATTATTGAAAATGTCCTTTCCCCTGAAGCCTCAAATAAAATATCTGGGTGCTGGCCAATTAATTCACCCAGCCTTCTGTCGCTGCAACTCATCTTACTAAGAAAACTTAGAACTTCAAGTATCCGGCTCCAATTATAAGAATTTTCTTCCGATAAGTTCCTCTGAATCCAACTGATTTCGAATCCAAGACTCTTAAGTTTTCCCAATAACTTTAAAAATGAAGCATTTGCATCCCCAATTAAAAGATAAGGACTAGCAACAACAAACTTAATCAAAGCAGATTGGCTGAGACCAAGTTCTTCATAAGCTTGAAGCTTTGATAACAAAACCCCAACATTGTATTGAAAGACTTCAGTGGCTTCCGTATAAATCTTTCCTATCTTATTACGTGCAATCCCGTAATGACATAAAACACCATAATTATGAAGCAGCAAATTGTCATCGGTCAAAAATATCAATTTTTGAGGAAGAAGAGGAACATACTCGGGAGGTTTCAAACCCAAGCTCTCAAAGAAAGGTTCAAATTCATTAATAGGGTGGTAGCGCAAGAACCGAGCAATCGTCTGCCCAATTTTCTTTTCATTATCCGCACTTTTTATAAGCTTCTTGAGAAAATGTGGAGAGTTTTTACTCATATTCTCTGCATCCAGAAACTGTAAGCTTCTAGTACAATACAAATAATCCAATAATGCAGCTTGTGCTTCTTTTTTAACAGCACGAGAAATTCGACCAGAAATTTTGCCATTACCAGTCGAAGTTCTATCCACGTTTTCACAACTTTCAGTTACAGGAGACCTTTTAGTTTTGTAAAACCTAAGGGCTTGGCCATTGGGGAAAGACCCAATTGGCTGAATTGGGGTTCTTGCTGATCTAAGGTGGTTTTCATCAAAATTTGAAGAAACCCATTTGAGAACAGATGCTGTTCTTAATTTGTGCAAATGGGTCATAACCAGTTTGATGAGAAGTCAAGCCTAGTGATTATCTTGGGCCAAGATTCAGCTTAATATAAAAGAAAGTTGAAGTCTTTAGGGATGAAACATAGTACCTTGGGATAATGGGATAAAGATGAAAATATGCGGGCAGATGAGCTCGCTACCTACCGCTACACAGAAAGATTTAGAGCTTCAGCTGCAGAGTGTGCCGCATTGCTGCTGATTGAGAGGCTGATTCAATTCTTGGCATTGATCTGCGAAGCAATTCAACTTCACTCAAACTGAATTCCCCGATTGGTTCTCTTATCATATTGCACATCACCGGCGCTGGGAATGATGTTTGAAAGCCACTCGTCCATCCAATGCAGATGTAGGAGCCAAACTAAAAAGAAAGAATACGTGCAGATATTGAGCGAGCTCGTCTTAAAACCACCGTTTGACACTTCCTCAAAAATAATTCATTAAAAATCTATTATAAAAAAAAATTATGCTCACATGTCATACGGTCATTGGTAAGAATTGGTAAGAATGTAGGAGCTCCTATTTATAAAGGAATGATGAAGACGTGATAGGAATGTAGAAGCTCCTACTTGGAAAGGAATAAGGAAACTATTTTCCTCGAGCCAGTGTCCAAATTAAAAGAGCAGGGACAAGAAAATAAATATAAAAGGTGTTATTTCTAAATTTATATTCTGACTGGGTTTATATTATGAAAAAAAAGTGTGTTAGAGCATCCATAATGGGCTCCCTAAACCACCTCCTTAGCTAAAATTCATGCAGGAATTGAAAAAACTCACCTCTAACCACGCTCCATATTCAGCTCCTAAAATAGGGAGAGCTCTAAGAGCTCCTAAATTTGAGGAGAAAGAAATAACTCCTAGTGACTCCCTACAATTAAATGCTTCTTTATTTAATATTATTTTAAGCATTTATTTAAAGCCAACTATTTTTTATTGTTGTTTTTGTGTCTACACTTTATTCAAAAATTGAATTAAAAAACATTTAAAACATTTATTACTCTTTAAACTAGAGAGTATGGTTGGAGTTGAAATTTTATAGAGAGCTCCTAAAATAGCTTTCTAGTGTTTTTAGCTAAATTTTAACTAAAAAATAGAGAGCATGATTGTGGATGCTCTTACTTTATATGCAATTAATTATGAAAGTCGAATTAAACTACTAAATTAGTTTTAAACTTTTTTCAGAACTCTAAATTAATTTTAACATTTAACTCTACAAAAACAGCAGCATAATTGGCATTTTGTACATTTTGCGTTTACAAAAATAGTTTTATTCTTTATTCAAATGAATGATTTAAGTAAATTCAGCATCCAATATTGGTTCAGCATTTACTAATTTAGTAAGGTAGTGACCCTTGTTTGAAGTTCTCCCATTTGTGTTCTCATGGAAATGTATAGTTCATCTCTTCTCAAAACAGTGTCAACAAATTCGGCCTGAATAAGAAAGTTTGCACATATGGATTGACAGATACATTTTAAACTATAGTACAGTATCTCATTTAACCATGTCTCCCCATCCCCATATGGAAAACATTATTCCAATTATAACATTAGTAAAAAGTAAACTATACCTACTGACAAATGAAAGATGTTCAACTATTCTGGCCTAATATTACAACAGGAAGCAAAATTTCTAGTAAGACATCTCCCTCACAGAAACATAGCTTCTATGCCATGTACGACTCCCAGCACACATTAGAGGCCTGCAAAACCAAGCATGTCAAGTAGAGAGAAAAATATAATCAGAATTGGCCGTAATCGTAATAAAATCATGGTAAAAATGAAAGAAGGCAAGGGAACTTGAATATTACCACATCCTGAAAACTGTCATCAGTCATTGTTTGCCAATGTAATATGGATAGGGAATTTGTGATTGTGCCTGGTATGGAGCTGTGGAAGGACTTGGGTAAGAAGAATCAGGGTATGCTGCTACAGTTTGAGGATAGCCGTAGCCAACAGGGGTTGCGCCTGCATGTGCTTTTCCAGGCTGGGGATATCCAGCCGCTAGAGGTAAGGCCATTGGAACCATTGCTGGGGGTAGCTGTGCTTGTACTGTTCTGCCCTTGTGGGAATCAGCCAGCTTCACAATGATATTCCTCCCCTGCAACCAAACATAAACTTTAGGCTTCCATGTGATAATAGGAATTTGTTTGCCAGGGACTACAGATCTAACCACAATGGCAGATACATAGAAGCTGCACTAAGCTATGTTACCTGATGAAAAACAAATGAATCTGAGAAATCAGGTTTCTTTCTTCTTCTTGTTTTATACGAAAAATATCACAATTAATTCATAATGAATGCCCAAGCAAGATGAATTAACAAAAGGAAACGTCCCTCAAATTCTTAGACAAATAAGCCCATAAAGTCATCCAAATCTGCTCCTATCTGAAATAACATCCCTTTCCTCCCTATTTTCTTCACTTGCTCTATTCTACTAGAATTATTTTAGAAAATATAAAGAAACAGTCAAACTACAAGGGATATTCAGCAGTTCGTTCCTTAACTTGAGTTCAGACAACTCAGAAGGCATTTCTCGGAGCTGGAACCCCAACAATACACCATGTGGTCACCACACCAAGAAAATTACAACAATACAAGTAGCATTATCTAAGCAGGGGCAACCACCATGTTGTGAAAAAAAAAAGTTACATAAAATTTGCAAATTCAAAAAGACATAAAAGCTAGAAGCGAACATTATCTAGCAGATAATTAATCATTTTTCAAAGCATGCACGGACAATTTCACTTAAGCAACCTCTTCCCATTCATATCCCAAACACAGTCCCATTGCCCAATTTCATTTAGTGATCATTTGCTATAATTGAAGCAACATGAACAATGATCCCTAAGGATAATGAGGTAAAAATACGTCTCAGAAACCAAAACAAAATCTGGCGTGAGGCCATTACACATTATTCACATTTAAACAGAAAACATGGACAAAAACATTGAAAATCATTCTCATATAGTATTTGAAATTAAATATTTCCAGGAAAATAAATTCAATTTGTTTCTAAAATCATACAAATATTTGCATGCCCAACAACAGAGAACTATTTTGGGCATAAACCCACTCGGGATTATTATCAAAGGATCATGCATTTAGGAAGCTAAATTAAATGCTACCAATTGACATAAGGCTTATCATTCACTAACCCCAAGGGTCTTTTGCGGATCGTCTATGGCCTTCTTTGCAGCCTCCACTGTCCTGTATGTAACAAAGCCAAACCCACTACAAAGGAAAGAAAAACACAATCATTGCACAGTTGGCAGCAAACATATTGTGGAAAGGATACAGGTAGAGAATATAAGTTTTTCGACATAATGTATGACGAAAGTTTAATTATACCGTGACTCATTTGTATCTTTGTCATATGCAACTGAACCCTCTTCTATATCACCATGCCTGCCAAAAAAGTGGAGCAGCATCTCACTTGTGACATTTGGTGACAAGCCCCCAATGTAGAGTTTCCTCTGGGTAAGATCAAGGGTAGCACTTGTCCCACTTAACCCCTCACAAGCTAGATTACAAACAGCCAGGCGACCCTGAGGAAAATAAAAAATTTAAGTAACTGAAAGAATATAGAAGTGAAAATAAAACCCTGTCATGGTTCACAAAAGGAGTCAGAGCTATTAATTGGCTCAGCTAGGCATAGTAGGCTGCCCAGGCAAAGATTTTTATTAATGTTTAAAAGAAAATTACATGTTAAAGACTGAATTAGAAGGGGTAGAATATAAATGAATATATATATATATATATATATGTGTGTGTGTGTGTGTGTGTGAGATACAATTTTACCTGGTACAGGGAACAATACTAGTCTAGTTTCTTTGGTATGAATTCGTTGGGGTAGGCATAGTCAGTGATGTAATTTGGGTCGTCGTGAATTATTCTAAATTTTATATTTACATAATAGATACTTTATATTATAAGTTTAAAAATAGGATTCATTGAATGCAACTAAATGAATATATCAAGAGGTTGACTTAAATGACTACATTTCCTTTTATTCATGGGTTTGGACTTACCACCTACATATCAGCAAATCTATTACACCTTACAATCATCTAGAATGTTAGTTTCTACGATTTGGGCCGTGAACACACCGCAATTGGGAACGATCAAACCAGTTCATAGTTCCGGGGGGGGGGGAGTGGAATTGAGGTAACACTACCTTTTCTTTATTGAAACTACAATGCTTTTATTTTATAGGAATCTCTCCCCTTAAAAATGTCCCTAGCCATCTCTCATTTGTTATTAGTTATAATATTGTCTCTATAACTAAAGTTGACTTCCCATTCAATTTTCTTAAGAACGTATATGTAATTACCCTATAAAGAATTTTGTTAACTAGCATTTAGTTAACTAACCTTATAGGCCAAAATAATTTAAAAGTTCTACTAGTTTCCTTAATCATGTTAACCACAAAAACCATAATAAGCCAATATCCTCTAATAAAGGCCGAAAAGTAACAATTAAAAGGGGTTTGTGTTGCAACTACAAAATAACTTTACTTCAGTTCTTTTTCTCTTTAACAGTTTACATTGTTGCTCTTTCAAATAGAAAAAAACTAATAATATTTGACAGATAGCCGACCTCACACATATAACCTTTTGCAATAGAAATACATAATTCAGATAATAACATTAAATTTCATTTCCTTTTCCTCACAAGATTATGCTCCACAGCTCAAATGAAAACAACTCTGAGTTTCAGAACAAAAATGGAATAATAGGCTTTCCAACCAAGTTACCCTTATGTTTCTAGTTCACTATTAGGGTAGCTTGGTTGGAAATCCTACTGTACACAACATGAGAATACACAGTCAACACATCCTTACTCAAATGAACACGACCCTACTTTATCTACATGGTAAAATCTAGAGAAAGCAAACAATCAAATTCAAATTTTAATGGGTATGTTGATCATTCACAGATGGACAAATTGAACGAACATATGAAATTAGACTCGTAATGTGGTAAATGCTTACATCAATCAACTTGCTAGGTGCTCTGAGCGCATGCTGAGTTGACTCCATATACTTGTAAGTAATAAAACCATAGCCGCGTGATTTCCCGCTTGCTTTGTCATAGATGACAGCCCCTTCCTCAATTTCTCCATGCTCACTAAATGCCTGAACAACAAAAACAGAAAAGACCCTTCAATGAATGTTCAGCAAAATACAACAAGGCTTCATGGTCATATCATATATGCGTATATATACTTTCTTTTGACAAATTGGGTGTCTTTAAGTCAATATGATATGCAGTCGTGAGACAAGCATGACATGCAAAGCACAACGAGCAATGCACTCACAGCACGCAAGGTATCTGATGAGGTATTCCAAGCCAACCCACGAACAAAAAGCTTTCGATGAACAGGATCTGCACTAGCAACACCCTTAATTTCTTCTGCAATTGAAGGATATTGGGAACCTCTATATGCCCCTCAACATGCAACCAAACACCACATGCACAGAGTCAATCACACAGCCACACAATTCTCTTAGGGACCCCTTGTACACCATACAAAGCATTCTCACATGCAAAATGGAGCTCAATATTCAAATTCAATGACCCATTATTGAAATATCAAGACAAAAGGGATCAAATTTAGAAAACACATAGAAATTATTGAAAACCCAATTCAGAAAAATCACAAATTAAAATGTTTAACGCACAGTTTAGCGAGGAGATCGACGAGCTGGGGTTTAGCAAGGGGGTCAAGCAAGGAGCGCAAGTGGTCCTCTGAATATGTTGAGATTTCTTCACCGTTGTCCGAAGCCTCTTCTATCTTTCTCTTCTTTACGTCTTCCATTTGCTTACTCTTCTCTCTCTCTCTCTCTCTCTCTGTCGGCAACAGAGCAGTGCGTGCGGTTTGTTCTGTTTTGTTTACTCGTTAGGGCATGTGGGTCTTCTTCTTCCTAAATTTTGTTCTATGTATGTGATGGGAATTCTAATATGGGCCGAACCAGCCCAATCCAAACCGATCCTTAAATCCAGTATGGATTTTGCTTTGTTTTTAGAATTCCAGCACCTAAAGTCTAGTTCGATTCTCTGCTCATATTGCTTGTTTCAAAGAACAAAATTATGTTCTAACATTACTGGGAAAGGAGATTCGAACTTGGTGTAAGAGGGCAAATTCACTGTTATGGCCAACTGAATATATAGAAAAATATTTGACTTTTTGTTTATTACTAAAAGGCAGGTGAGGATAACATAATAGGAAATGGAGAACATTTTAACCTAATATATCTACCTTCCATCTCTCCCATCCCATGCTATAAGAATACTCACGGTACATGAATTCAAGAATCATATTAACCAACGTAATTTTATGTTCCAGAAATAATTTTGCTTTAATACATTAAAAAGCCTAGAAAATTAAAGCAAGTCCGTATAAAGTAACCAAGTGGTTACCAATAGATAATGGCGGACTCAAGAATTTTTATAGGAGTGGGCTAATTTTTTTTTCCCCGAGATCTATTATAGCGGTTGTTGGAACGATGGTGTGGTTAAACACCTAGACAAAGAGATAAATGTAGAAAACGATAGAAACGCATAAATATAAAAAAGAGAAACGCAGGAAAGAAAAAAAAAAGTGAAACAGAGAAAGAATAAAGAAGGGAAGAAGGAAAGAAGAAGAAGAAAAAAAAAGAGAAAGAAGAGAAAGAAAATAGAGAGAGTGTGTGAGTGAGGAAAACTCACAGCTACAACCCATGAAGCTGTCAAAGCCATGCTTGAGTCGGGTTCGTTGATTGATGGCTCTCGAAAGTTGCATCAAAGGGGCTCCAAATTCAATCCAATGTTTGGGAGTATATTTGATTTACAAAGAGGTGAGCTTATTTCCACATAGAGAAATGAGCTAATAGTTGATTTATCTAGATTGGGAGTACAATTAAGGTGGGGGGTGTATTCAATTGAAATTTTAAAAGATTATTTAAAAATAAAAAATTACAGTGGATTTAATCAAAATGTAACGACTTATAAGATTTTATTGATAATTTTGTATAATCAAGATTTTTAACTTTTGAATTTTAAAGATTATATCACAAGATTTTATAAGATTTGAAAGGACCACGTGGATTTATATATATATGGGTCTGACTAAATAGGGTCATAGCCCAAACCAAAATTTGAAACTTTTTTAAATACCTAGGCTGACAAATATAGTGAACCCAGAATAGGGGAGCTTGCTGGTTTTACCATCTTAACGCTGGCTTGCTGCACAGCTGGTAACTCCAGTCAAATAGTATAAAAGGAACTTGCTTGTGTTACCTTATGAATTGTTACTATTATGAGATATCATGTGGTTCTATGCAAGTGGAGTTTCTACCCCTATGTTTTTTTTGGCGGTATTATTTTCTCTTATATCCCCTACCACTTTCTTTTTCTCTTCTATCCATGTTGACCGAGGCAACAAGAACAAAAAAAAAAGTATTCTCATTGGTCATCTTGTGTGTGAATTTCTAGTCTTGTTCGTCTAATGGATAGTTTCATTGAATCTCAAAAAAAAAAAAAAATGCATAAAGAAAGTTGACATGTATAGAGTAACAATATGCTTTGGCTTAACTGTATACTATTCCCCAGGAAAAAAGGGAAAAAGGAAAGAAAAGACGAAAAGTTACTTCCCTTGAAATTCTCCCAAACCTTCTATGAGTAAACAACATGAATCATGGCTATATGCAGAGAAGGTGAAGTGGGTTTGCAGGTAGAGTTGTAGAGATGGCTGGTGGCGATGAAGCTTTGGGTGTTGAAGTTGGCTTTGAGAGAAGTCGAAGTGGATGAGCACAAAAAACAATCTCATGTGAAAAAAAAAGTCTCATGGGTTAGGGTGGGATTTGAGATAGGGATATATCTCACTAAAAAGTCTCACACAATTTCGCATTTGAAAAAATCCTTCAAAATTAATAAGTTTTTTAATACTATAAGACTTTTTTGTTACTTGTTTAATGTCTTGATTGAATACCACAAGATTTTGACACTCTCTTTAAAAAATCCTAATAGTCTTAATGGAATACCACAAGACTTGTTTAAATTATTTAAAAGTCTTATTTGAATACTACAAGACTTATTTATCCCAAAATAATCTTTTAAAATCTCAATTGAATACACCCCCCTTAGTCTTTAAAATCAGCACTTCGTTGGAGTGTGGATCCACTATTGCCAATAAGGATGGGCACAATTTCGGGTCAACACAACCGTACCGCCTAATCCGATCATTTGAGGGTTGGGTTGCCCTAATAATAAGTGAGTCATGGGTTCATAAAATTATAAACCACTTTGTACGGGTTGAGTTACAAGTTTGAACCAAAACTTAACAGTGAGTTTAATTTTGAGTTAACCCGACCAAATCGTCCAATCCAATCACAAAAAGGTTGGGTTGGATTGGATTAGCCTAATAATGAGCTAATTTTGGTCTAAGAAATCATAAACCACTATATATCGGATTAAGTTACGAGTTGGGACCAAAACCAACCCAACCTAACCCATGCCTAACCCTAGTTACCAATACCCCTAATATATATGTGTATGTGAAAATAGGAAAAAATTACACTAATAATTTGCTGTAAATTAATGCGTCATTTTCAATATAATACTGACACAATTCTTCACCTTTATATCCATTGTGATAGTGTCTCTACCCAAAGCCATATATCACCACCTTCAAAATGTTAGAGATAAGATAATTGGCTTGATGATTTACCATAAATAAGGTACAAACTCCTTAATCTTGTTAAGAACCATGTGCTTCTAGTGAGCCATGAAATGGCGGAACCAGGAATTTTTCAACGGTGGTAACTAAAGTTATTATTAGCTTTAAAATAAATAGATTTATTGATTATTTTTTTTTTTTTTTTTTTTTTTTTTTTTTTTTTTTTTTTTTTACTTATAATTTCTATTTTAGTCTTTCTAGAAATAAAAGTAAACATTAAATCATATAAACCAAGCTAGTTCATAGCTCCATAGACTAATTTTCAATAAGTTCTAATATAAACCAAATAGGGTTTAACACCATAGTGGATTGAACATCTAAGGTTTTTTTTATCTAGATTGACCTTAGGTTCTTTCATGCGTTCATATTATAGATGAAAAGTTATTTTATGTAAAAATATTGACTAAGTATGAAAAATGGGTTTTCGAAATAATCATTTTCTCAAGATAATTTTTGGCGGCTTTTATTCCTCACACATCAAATAAGAAAACTTGATTTTTATGGGATTTTAGTATGAAGTATATATTAACTTAATAAGCCATCATTTTTAGCCTAAATCGTATTTGGCACTAAAACCGATTTTTCATATTTTGATTTGGTGGGAATTTGATTTTCTAGTATTTTTATTTGAATCCAAATGGGGGGGTACTTCTTTATTTACATCGTAAACTTAAGTAAATGAAGTAATATAAAAATAAATAAAAGTAAAATGACAAAGACATTTACTTAAATGTTGAAAATGGAAATAAGATAATTTGTACAGCGCCACTGACTGGGCTAATATTGAAAATAAGTTAAATATACAAGTTCTATATTTTTTTTTCTTAAAAAACCACACTGGGGCTGTAGCCCTTAGTGTGGTTCCGCCCGTGGAGCCATGTATGGTCAGGGTAGCACCCATATGGTTTATATGGCCTATACTTTGACCCATTTTTTCTTCGGGAATCCCCAGGGGAAACGCTTATTTTGTTGGCTTGTGTCATACTTCTTTTCTAGGTGTTTCTTTTTTCAAATCATCATGAACAACTTGTTCATTGAAAAAAATTCAGTTTTTTTTTAATAAATTTTTTAAGGCGGGTGTGTGGAGCAGTTGCATAATAAGGACATTTTACAGTACAAAATTGCAAGTTTGAATACATGAAAAGCATGAAAACATTATGGTAAAAATAAGCCATTGTTGCAATAACAAGAGTCTAAATATATCTATAGGATCGTAACCTTTTGTATGGCATGATGCAGTAGCTTGTAAGGTTTTGTGACTGGTGTTGATGCTCGGCATGCACCGAGCTGGTTCGTCCAATAAAAACACAACACTTGAGCTTCACGCATCATACCGGCAAAAACGAGCAAATATCCCTCGGCCCTCGGACTTTGAGCTGCCTTAGGAAATTCGAGAGGATGCACATCGGCCACGTCAATGACAAGTCCCCCTCTGGCCGCCGATCCGCCGTACCTCATCAAGTGTGCCCACGTCCCTTCAAAATCCAAGTGCAAACTGCCCGATTCGCCACCTCCCTAGATGGGATTGCCGCCGTATGCAATAGGCTACTCTACCCATGCCCGCCCCCTAGTAGAAGTATAAAAGGGTCATCGTGAGCAGAGGATGTGGACGAACCCTGACCACCCTGCATCTGACATATCTGATGTGACGCAAATGGCTTGGCTCCTAGCCGAGGTGGCCGACTTGTAAATTAATTCATTTTTTGTTTTCCCTATAAATAGAACAGGAGTTTTATGTAGAAAACGGACTGGAACCCCTTGAATAAAGAAAGAAAAGCCTTGTTCCTTCTTCGCGTTCCATAGCTTTAACATTGAACACTCTCTCGGAGTTACATTTAGAATATCTGTTTCTTTACATGTTAGCCACTGGAATATCTGTGGTTCAAACAACTGGAACTTTGCTGGGGTTTAGAACCCTATGAGGATTTATGTGTGAGAATGAGCATTGAACAATTTGCTTTCTTGGGCTGACTTATCTTGAATGGAAAGTTGAGTGTTTCCAGAGCCTTCAGAAGCTGAAACCTGAGTATCACAAAGACTATTTGATGGGCCATCTTCTTTGCATGGAATGTCCAAGTTCTGAGTTTTCAACAAGTTATTACTTGTTTTTTTGTTGCAGTTGCAGATCAAACATCTTCTTGAGTTGCTTCCTTTGTTCTTCGATTCGACACTGTAAATTCCTCTGAATCTGTAAAGCACAAGTAAAAATGAATTTCCTTGTCTTTATGAAATTGAAACTACAACAAGATTAGAAGGTACATGACATTCTGTTTTCTATTAGGTCTCTGTAATATGGAAGTCCATCAAGTTCATAGATTTATTTTTTCTGATTTCTATTGGCCCTTAGAATTGCTAGACTGATTTGGTTTATGTTTGTCATTCATAAACCAGTTTACAGAAATCTTGACCTAAAAAACAACTCTAATTAATGCAGAGTAAAATACAAAAGGTGGTAACAAGAATCGTGCAATGGATCTCTTGTATGTACCTCCAACTTTCACGAAGACATCTCTGGGCATCTAGTTGCAGTTGGTGCGCCTCCGTGATTTGCAATGCCACTGCCAGAAAAGTTCACATCATAAAAAAAAAAAAAAAAAAAAAAAAAAAAAAAAGGAAGAAGAGAAAAACTAACAAACTCTCAAATCTAAAAAAAAAAAGTTGTTCATTCAGAATCATTATTGACGAACAGAGAACCAGAGAACTTGTGGGGAAACAAATTTTTTTTTCCTGCCTTGTGCCATACTTTTGTTGTTGAATTTTTCTTCAAATCCTCGTACGTGATCAATTTTGTTTTTTGAAAGCATTCAATTTTTTCTTTTTTAAGGTGGGCGAGTAGAGAAAATTGGAGATGTCGTCAATAACATAAGAAACAAAAAATTTGCTGCCTGCCATCGAAGTTTACTCAATTTAATTCTATTTCATTGAACATTTACTAATTTTGTTAATTCACTCTTTGTTTGAATCCTTTAAATTCTTTCAAGTGTGACTTCGATGGCCTTGGCTCGTTCGGGACTGCTTCTCTAAGAAGCACTTCTGCTCATACGTACTTCTAACAAAATCGAAGTGCTTCTTGGAAAAGCACTTGGGAGTGCTTCTTGAAGAAGCATATGGCAGGTGCTTCTCCAAAAAATATTTTTATTACCAAGAATCACTTCTAGACTTTTATGTCAAACATTGTCAAAAATGCTTTTGATTGTGAGAAAGCACTTTTAGCCCTTTCAGAAGCACTTCCAAACTGGCAAGTGTAACTTCAATGGCCTCATGTTCCACAAAAAACTAGAAGCAAGGAAGCAGTTGAGAACTTAAATGCGGTGCTTACATCCAATTTCAACCAATGCCCCTCAATAAATAAATAAATAAATATATATATATGATGTGAAAACGGCATAATTATAGGGTGCTTAAGAATTTCTAGATCAATTATTAGTGTTTTTTTTTCTTTCAATACAAATGATATTCTAAATTAATATAATCTATGGGGAGAGAGAAATTCGAACTTAGGTACAAGGGGGACGAGATTACTATCCTAATCAACTTGTCTAACCCGCATATGCCAATAATAAGTATTAATTAGCCTAATTTTGTTCTATTTTTCTAATCGTATTTTGTGACGATCTTGTGGAAGTAGTAAAAGCAAATTAATGAAAGATTTGTAGTATATGATACTGTATTTTCTATTAGTGCTCTCTAATATGAATGAAAGTCCTTCAAGTTCAGATTTCTCTTTTTTTTCCGGCAGCAGAAGAAAAGGACTAGATTATAGAAATGCAAGCTGCAGTTCCAGCCTTTTAGCTTTCTTGAAGAATTTTTTTGTTTTGTTGTTTTATTTTATTTTTTTCTGTGCGAACGTTACTCTATTCACCAAGAGTGTGAAGAATTACAAAAGATGAAAAGCCCATAATAAATACAGCCCATCACCAGCAAATAAAGTACATGAACCCAACATAAAGATACAAACCAGGCCCAAATAAACAAATAAAGCTTAGAAAACATTAGACAAAAAAACCTTCGATCTGTGTTATATATATAGCCCACTTCTATTGAGGGACACCCTTCATGGTTCCCTACAATTTTTTTTTTCAATGATCTAAACATCTATTTTTAAGTTTACATTCATAGATCTTCCTTACAAAAAATTAGACAAATTGTAAACCGTTTCGATATCCAATTGTGTCATACAAAATCAATGATCATGATGCTTCAAGAAAGTACTAAAATTTCAATAATTCAATTGAGTGATCAAATGATATCGAATTTTTTTTTTTTTTTTTTTTTTTTTTTTTTTGTGTAGAGATGATCTTTGAATAAGTATCTACAAAATAGACAATTTGGATTAGTGAAATACAATATGAAATGAGCCTTACAAAGGTGTCCCTCAAATTCTTATTTGAGGGATTCTCAATAGAAGCTCTGTGTGTGTGTGTGTGTGTGTGTGTGTGTGTGTAACCTTAGATCTAGAAAATAGCAACACCCGCCGGCATCACATAGCACATCATCGGCGCCACCATTGCAGATTCACCACCACCACCACCACCACCAAGGAGGAGCAACCGATAACAAGATGTACTAAAGATTTGAACAGAAAATGGGGGTGAGCAAGCCACCGGGGCAGGCAGGAGCAACCTTTGTATGTTTGGAAAATTTGAAAAAAAAAGAGTACATAAAATTAATCCTGCTCATTCCATTTTGAAATCCTGCCTGATCCTTAGGTGGAAGTCCAAAATCTGTTGTGACCATGCACTCTTGTATGCAGTATTAGAAACATAATCTTGTTGAGTCTTTTGTCATATTAAAAGCTCCAAGTATGACAAATCGAATTCCACACCAGCAAAAAAATTTCACAGTACAAGATTTAAGTATGATTACATGGAAAGCATGAGAACTTGAGGGTAACAATAAGCCATTGCTGCAATACTGCCACACAATAAGCTTTATGAAAATAATAAGAGTCATTCTATAGGATCATATCCTTTTTAATTGATCTCATCTTCTTGTTCTCCTTTGCTTTCTTACACAGTATATAGTAGCATTTGAGGTGTTCTTGATTCTGTTAAGGGACTGAGCTTTGTTGGTTCGGGACTTTTTAACCAAATGAGCACTTATGTCCGAGAATGCCTGAAAATTTTACTTTTTTGGACTAACTTATCTTGGATGGGAAATTGCTATTCCCAGAATCTTCAGGGCTTGAGACCTGAATGGCATTTAGACTATCTGATGGGGCATCTTCATGGCATGTGATGTCCAAGTTCTGAGTCTTAAACAGGTCATTACTTGTTTTTTGTTGCAGATCAAACATCTTCTTGAGCTGCTTCCCTTGTTCTTCGATTCGCAGCTGTAAATTTCGTTGAATCTGTTCGTCGAAATAAATAAATGAAATTGAAATATTAGACTAAAGTATTTTCTATTAGTCCTCGGCAATATGAAAGTGCTTCAAGTTCTGAGAATTCTTATAACTGACTTGGCTAATGTTGTCATTTACAAACCAGTTTACAGAGTTATTGGCCTCAACAAGGATTCTAATGCGGTGTAAAATAAAAATGTGGTCACAAGAAATTTAATAGTTGCACCTCTAACTGTTCATGAAGACGCCTCTGGACATCTAGTTGCAGTTGCAGCGCCTCTTTGATTTGCAAGCCACTGCCAGAAAAGTTGACATTATTGGGTTGTAAGAGGCTGGTGCACATAGCAGTAAAGAGAAAAACATCAAACAGAATTCCAGTTCTAAAAGGAAAAAGTGTTCATATAGAATCATATTGATGAACTGAGAATCAGAGCAACAATCAGGGTAAACTGATGTGTTACGTTTTCATATCGAGCTGGGGTTCGACATTCAAAGTTGTTCTTTTCTCAGATTTTCCTGCAACAGAAGAAGAGAACTAGATTAGGAGATAAAAACAAGCCAATCCAATCTGGATAAACTTTACCAATCCTTGTATTTTGTAACAAGAAGGAAAAATCATGTCCATAAGGAACCAATACATGATTTCAACGCTTGTAAACAAAGTAATGAGACCTTAAAAAGTTCTAGCTGCTAAGGGCAGAATTGTTAAACATAATTGAACAATAGCCAGGATTTACCTTCAGCAGTGTCTGGCAGATATTTTGCGATTCGATATTTCTATAAGAAGAATAAAACGGAAAGGGGAAAAAATGAATCAGACTCTAGGAGAGTAAGAACCAAGAACAAGAATGAAAAAGTTGAAGAAATTGCATTTAGTAGTGAATACCTGCAGATGACTTTTAACATGAAAGATGGTTAATCCATCCAAGCACATCATCTTCAGTATTGCCTTAGGTGTTGCTTCTACAATATGAATCAACAGATAAATCAACGTACATAAATTCTTATTTGTATAGTAATTTAAAAAAGCTCATGTTGAGTTATTTACTGTCAGCGCCCCCAAGGCGATTTACACATTCAACGAACTTCTCGTGAAGATCTTGATTCCATCGAATTCGTGTTTTACTCGAGAGCACGGGGCTAGTTGAAGGAGAATCACCATAGGTGGTGGAAACATTTCCAGAGGAAATTCTTGGAGATTGCTTGCCTTGCTGAGGAAAGAAGCTCAGCTGTGTAACCGGAGAAGTGCTGAATGAATTACAACCACCCTGTGCACAAGAAACTAGCCCATATGCATATCTTGATGGAGTGGTGGGGCATTGAAAAATCAATGCATAAAAACAGCAATAAAAGATGAATTATAGAATAGAATATACTTACTGCTTGATCCTGATTTTCTTTAGGAGGAAGTGACAAGGAGGGTCTCCCAACTGAGGCAGTACTCCCTCCACGCAACTTATTTTGTTGATGTTCAAAGAGGTTATTGCTTGGCAAAGGGATTTGATTAGGCTTCTCTGAGGATTTCTGGTATTGATGATAGCTGCTCGGTTGAGATTTCAAAATTGACTGCAGGGTGTTTCTGATGTCTAAATTTGGATCAGCTTGCTCTGATGAATCCATGGAGCCGTAGCTTTCATTGTAAGTTGGCCTGAAGGGAACTGTGAATTACCAACCTGAGAGTGATACTGTGAAAACCCCATACAGCGCTCGGTGGCATAAAAAGCAGAAGCCGGCGATTCGAAGCGGCTCATAATGCTGGAGGATGACCTAGGAAGCCCATGATTTTGAAGCTGTGACATGTTTGGCTGATCCTCGGTTGGCTGCTGAACCCAAATTCCCATGTTCCAAGCCTGTTGTAGATCAAAATTTTGAGAAGACTGGCTACCAAGTTCAAAATTGAAATCACTGATTAGTCCATGGCTCTGTTGAATAATTCTTTCTTGGCAATCAATCTTCTGCGCATTCATTTACAAAAGAAAGAAACTGAACCACAAGATTCACAACACCTCAACAAGAAGAGCAAGTAGAAATAGTAGTACAAGTTGTGCTCAATGTTCTTGCCCAACATCTGAAACCCTATCAAATTTCTTTCTTTCAGACAAAGAAACAGCAATGTTGAATGCAGATTTATGGAAAACAAATACCGTCATTTATTCCACAAGACTTCATTGGCAAGCTTTGAATATAAATACATACATAAATGCTATGCAGTCCTTTTAACTATTCTAAAAAGGATAGGCATGAGCAATGCTTTTTGATAATAACTAAGCACAAAAACATTGAGAAAAAAACAACTGCCCACATCATAAAAAAAAAATATTATGTGCATAAACCCTGTCCCAATAGGAAGGGCTTAGAATCAACATGCTACTGTGTCTCAATCACCAGAAGAATATAAAAAACCACAAAATCCAATTGGATAGCGAGTTACAGAAGACAAAGCTAATGATTCCCAATATGTTACTATTTTATCGTTAAGATTTGGAATTGGAGAATAATATTAAGGCGGCATCTCTGTCTACATAATTATATTTGAGAGATACTGGCATAAATTCACATAACAGTAACAGATCTATGGTTATTCCTTCTATGGATACGGATGAAATGAAAGTCACCTTTTTAGCCACCCCAGAAAAAAGAGGAAATGAGTCTATATATTTTTTTAAATACAAGCGATAGTCTAAACTACAAGGGAAGAATTGGGATTTCCCTATTGGGTCAAGTAATTTATGATGAAGATCAGCTTTTTATCTCACACACACACTACTAAGGTGTCATGATAATTCGAATATGAGACTACTGATCTACAAGTTAAGGCATTTTTCCACTAGGTTAGACTCCGTTGACAAAATGATTCCATATTTTATCTCAAAAGAAATGTAAATAATCCTATATGATCCTCTGACCAAGAAAATGAAAAGATCCCAATTAATTGCATCATGTAAAGTTGGTGTCTGAAATTACTAGAAAAGTTCATGTACGGGCTAGATTAGTCTAAAACTAGAAGCACATTGGAATTTTGCTAAAATAATGATTCCCAAACGTGTTTACAACATCGTGCATGAATAAAAGGAACCAATTAAAGACCCAGAAAAAAGAAAAAAAAAGAATAGAAGGAACCAGCTACAAGAAAAGTCAATGTCAGTCACCAGTCTTTTTCGGTGCCTAGAGGTGTGAATTGGATTAGAAAATATCGAATAATAAAATTAGAATTAGAAATGGATAAATTCTAACTATTTTTAAGGGTTTGATCCATTCTAATGTAACAAAACCCTTGATGTGGATAATATTTTTGTTATATTAGAATGGATCAAATCCTTAATCTATTTTTTTTGGGTAAATATCATGAGGTGCACCCACATCCGAAGAGTGAGGTTAATCTCTGCTTGGGATTTGGCTAAACTCTTAATCTATTTTGATCCTATATAATTCATTAATTTATATCTTTCTTTTGTTATATATTAGAATTTTTATGATGAGAATATCTCATATTAGTAGTTAACTTTCTCCAACAATCTCCATCTTCATGAGACTCGTAATCCTTCAAATGTCATCTAACAATCCAGATTTGCTAACTCAACCTTAATCGTAAGAAACCATGCTTGGACTATGATGCCAATTTATTGCTCACCAATCAAAAACAAAAAAAAAACGAAAAAGAAGCCAAAGTGATGTCCACCGATTATTCTTTGTGCAAAATTACTTTTGTAATCTCTTATCCAGATATTGTTGCATAGCCACTAACCCACTTCAAATTCTTTTCCCCTCCTGCTAGACCTAAATATTCTCAACCTAAATTGGGAGCACTCTTTATTAATCCACTCATATTATAACATTAGTAATTATAAATTAATATTTATACTATAGGTTCATGATATATGAACCATATCGTCCACCAATATTATAACACATAAATTGGTAATATTATATAAAAGTGTGTCGTTCACGCCTTAGAATTTCTCATGAAGAGTCTTATTAGACATGGTCACTCTATTTATCACAGTACTCATCAGAAAAACTCTCTCTAACAGCCTCTTCAACCTTATTCATCAAAGCTGCAACTAGGGATGACAACGGGTCGGGTAGGGGCCGGGTATGACAATACTATCCCCGTCCCCGCTCTCCATCCCCGCCCTCGTCCCCAAAGCCATCCATGTTTAATAGGTTTCGGGGAATCCCTGTTTGGGGACTATCCCCCATACCCGCCGCGAATCTCCGATTTTTTTTTTGCATTAAAAAAAAAATTTATCATACATTTTAACATTAAGTTTCATATTAAATTATTCAACACATCCAAATTAACTATGAAGTTCAACTCAACTATTCAAAATCATATCAATATGAAATTTCAGAGAAGATTAGAAAGAATTAGGAGAGAGAGGTTAACTTAGTGTTAAACATAAATATTATAATTAGTTATTTATTTATTTATTTATTTAAATATAAACATATATATATTTTTGGGTCAAGTTCGGGGATGGGAATGCCAATACCATCCCATCCCCATACCCGTCCGGAATTTTTCGAGTTCAGGGGTCCCCATACCCGACACCCGTTTGGCCCCGAAATCTCCCCCCATTAGGATTGGGGACCCGATGGGGACCTGGCCTCACGAGAATTTTTGTCATCCCTAGCTGCAACTTCTTTCTCTCTTTTCAAGACCGGTAAGTTGAGTTTGACTCTTCAAACATTTAATTTTACTTTGGAAAAACAAAAACTATCTTGAAAATGTTAAAAACATGCATTTTTTTTCTTTTCATATAATAAATACATAGACATTTTTTACATGTTTTCATATTTTTTATTCTTTTTCGTGACATTGCATTAATTGAATTGAAAGTCTGTTGGAGCAAAAATTATTCAAGTAGCAAATAAGACTTTTCAAATTTCCACGTAGGCCAACAAACTTTAATTTGAAAAGTGTTATTTGCTATCACTATTGGAGATGCTTTTATAGCATAAATTACAGGTAGGAGCTTAATTATAAGGGTTCTTTATTTTACCAACTAATATTTGACACTTCATTACAAAATAGTGATACCATGAAGTTATTCTTCTAGTAGTCAAATATACATATATTTTATAAATCAAGGATGCCAATGTCTTGGAAGAATGAGAATCTAACATTTGAGTGTAGGGAGCCAAAAAGTTATATGGGGTCGTTTCTGTCGCATTACAAGATTGAGTGGTAAAACTATCTAGATAAAAGATGACGGGGCAAATTTAGACGAACTAGAGTGTTTAGTCAATCGATACTGGTAGACCAATCCTATACAAGTAGTTCTGACCAGCAGTTAAATTTTTCAACAGACGAACAAGATAAACCAAACATATCAACCAGATTAACTGCCGCATTTCATCACAGTTATTAAGTTCTAAGGCCTATGTCTTTATCGATCTATGCTTAGGCATCTCCGACTGGCCTCTTTCACCATCCAGATTAGGATGACCAATTTTAATTGTTTACATTTATTAGTCATTAAAACCAGCTGTGATTACAATATATTTTGTTAATAAAAAATGGTGAAGTCATTATCAAGAACAAACTCGTATTAGAGAGAATCAAATGCGTCTTAGTGTTGATTGTACTGATATTATTACAAGTCGGAAAGCCAGATTCCTGGTCGAATATATTTCAGCCTCTTGATTATGACTCGTGACTCTGAGGCGTACATTAAAAGTGTTTAAACTTTGTATTGCTGATTTTTTATTTTCTCGAATAGAATATTTCAATACGTAAATTCTAACATTACAACTAAGATGCATAAAAGACACCCAAAACATCAACAATTTAAAGAGGCGAAAAAGAGGTGATGGGAGAAGGATTGAATTGAAGAATTTGCAAAAAAACAAGTAATGGGGAACTCATATCTGAACATGACTTAGACAACCATATAGAAGAAAATAGGAGACAGGAGTAGGGAAAACAGAGGCTGACACTTCTTCTTCTTCCTCCTCCCCCTCAATCGACCTATTTCTTTGGGACATGGAGAGAGTTTTTTTTCTCCTTTAGGACTAGGGTTTTTTTTTCCTTTGTTATTGCGGCTTTTTGTGTGTGTGAATATGAATATATACAAGGGATAATCTAAACTAAAAGGGAGAGGGGCATTTCTCACACACACTACCAAAGTGTCATAGGGGTTTGAACCTGAGACCATTTGTCTATAAGTCAAGACCATTTTCCCTGGGCTAGACACCGATGGTTTATTACGGTTATTTATTGTCTTGCTCTTGAATACATAGTAACTAGTAAGGCCCCCGTTTGGTTCATGGGAAAGGAGGCTTGAGGATGAGAAATCAATTGTTTTCCCATATTTGATAAGTCCAAGCATGAGAAATCGTTGCCTTGCACATGGGAAAGTAGGGGGAAAGTGAAGCCCTCCTCCTCCCTTGGGTTTTGTTTTCCTCCTCATAGGAAAGTTTGGAAAAATGAGCCAACATTAAATACACATTTTTAATGACCATATTATTTCCATTAACAATTTAGAATTACAATATACCATTAAATACATTCTTTTTTTATTTGATTTCATATGGGTATAATTGGAAAATTAAACAAACTTTGTTTTACATTCCTACACAAACCAAACATGTGAAAGGAAATAAATTAGTATTTCTTGATTACTTTCCTAGGATTACCAAACATGATAAATGAATCTTCATTTCTTATCCCTTGGGAAATGACATGGAAAGTGATTTCCCCTCAAATTTGTTCTGTGAACCAAACGAGACCTAAGGGTTTATAGTTCAAGTGGTTAAGAGTATTTACTCATACACCTGAGGTCCTGGGTTAGATTCTCCCCTCCCTTAATTATAGTTTATATTGAAATAAAGTAATTAAAAAAAACTTATGCACATTCATGAGGATCGTCAAAAGACTTTAGTAAAATGTTTTCATAATTTCTTCAGAAAAAGAAAAAAAAAAAAAAAAAAAAAAAAAAAAGGGCGACAATTCAATTCTTTGCTTACAGAGATTAGCACTCAACTTAATTAGAGTACCTATATAGTATATATAAAAATCATGTCGGCCCAGACTCCACTTTGTTTGGTTAACTAGCTAGAAATAGACCAAATCCACTTGAGAGTTGAGAACCTAGAACCTAGTTCCATGTCTTAATCAGAAGAGAATTCAAAGTTATAGAAAGCAGAAGCACTTTCTGAAGGTGCAGGATCTCTCAATATAGGAATCAAATGTTGGTATAATTGTTCCCTTCCGTCCAATTTTCTCTCCCTTTCTTCTTTTATATATATGGCGAATGTATTAATTACAGCAGAGTTTTTTTAATATCCACATCATATGTAATTTAATTTAAAATGGCATAACTCATCATTTTAGGCTCAACCCACGATATAATTTCATAATCCGAATCGTCTAATTTTTAGAGAATTTCATCAAATTATCTATAAAAAAAATTCAAAAGTAGTCATCTAATTACAATCGAATAATTAAAAGATCACATGGTGAATATCTAAAACACTAAAACGGTTGTCATGGTAATTAAATAGTTTACCGATTTCTAATTTTGATAGTTTTTTTAAGAATGATCTTTGAAAAAGAATCTGAAAATAAACGGTTTGGATCTTAGTCAAGGTGTGAGGCGGACTCCATTTGAGTGTCAAGTTCAAGGGAATAGTTGAACTCGAATAACATTCGAGACTTGAGACAAAATCCTGCCCTGCTTCCTTCAAGACATCTTGTTGTAATGGGATGGGTCAAGTCAAGGCTAGCTGTAGAGGAGCAAGGACAGCTATCTACTAAAATCTATACCAGCTTTGTTTTTTTCAGAGAGAGAAAGAGAGAAATGTTTAGGGGTGATCGTCGAATAGCATTGCATGCCATGGCAGTATTTTATAGGTTAGATGACTAGGTGTGACAATGTCGTGATGACCAATAACTTATGAGAAAATGTTAAATTTTATTTCTAGGTTAAGGCACTGACGCGAGATGCATGCACAGTGTGTTGTCGGTTGAATTGGATTCAGGAGTTCAATAATGTACAGGGGGGAAGTCGCTTGGATCCAGAAAGAATAGGGAAGTCGTGAATCAGAAGAAATCATGAATAGGGGATAGTAGGAATGAGTATGGGATTAATTATTCCCCACCTAATCAATCTAATTCATTCAAGTATTGGATAAAGGATTTAACGTGGAACCTATGTGTTTTTTTTCTTCTTTATTATTGCTTATATGTTAGTAAACGTATGAGATGGCAGTAATTATAATAATTACAATACAAGGAAAGATATAAATAGGAATAATTTCAATATTCATCATAAGTAAGTAAAACATGTCATAACACGGAAAAAGATTACTCTTTTACGTCCACTTAAAAAATTAAACATTTTTTAAAAATCACCTGTATAAAGGGATTTTCATAAATAGACTCATTCTAATATGACATTTTACACAAAAATCATTAAAGAAAGAAAACCATATTATACTCTAAGAGCATATTGAAATTTACTCATGAAATTTTTAGTGAAAGAAGAAAAGCAGTAAATACCATGAGCAAAGTTCATATTTGCTTATGACAGAAAATTGTGAGACTAGAGTATATAATTAATTAATAATATACTTATAATATAAGGAAATGTACAAAGCTCGATATTATTTTAAATCCATATTTATAAATAAATAAAAACTTGTTTGTTGGGAATATTATTAATTTTTAGATGTGAGGTGGTTTAAAATGATTTGACGATGTATATACTATAATATTTTGAATGAAGAAAGAATCCATCCAAGACCACATTGGCTCAAATCTTTTTCTAAATGCTGCGTATATATGCATCCAAATGTGCAAACATACACGCGCGTCTGATTCTCCAATGTTTGGCTTGCATTCTTGGCTCATTCCTCATTAGGTAAGATAAATTTCTTGACAATCTGTGTGCGTGTGTGTGTGTAGGCTTTCTATTAAGCGAGCAAGAATAGTTTCTTATTGCAGCAGCAGCTGGCTCACAATTCCTGGCGTCCCATTAGGCCCCAAAAACAAAGAAAAGGATTAAGAATCATCTTGATTAATTAATATGCAATTACAACTAGATAGCCATTAAACTATAATAAAGAGAATGAGAATAAAAATAAGTACACCAAGAAGATAATACGTACTTTGTTTTAAAAGGACACAGATGCATAGTGTTTTATGAATAAATAATGAAAATGCAATTCCTTGTTAATGTTGCTACATCTTAGTTGGATATGCATTGGACAAAGTGTGACTCTTGAAAACTTGAAGGGACACCTTTCCATGGCCTCACTAGCTACCATGAGTTATAGTAAACATGCGCTTAGACGATCTTAATATATATATATATAGATCTATTTTTCTTATCACGCAACAATACAATGACAACGCAGAATAAAATATCTCGTAACAGTACAATGTTGTCTCTACATCCATTACATAAAGTATCTAACCTTCCTCAACTCAATTTGGATAGGACAGGAATAAGTTGGTGACATTGAGGGTCACCTCGATGAAGTCGAAGGATTTGAATTTTTAACAGCTTGGACCATTAAGGAGGAATTTAATCATATGAAATTTGGCCACAGAAAAGGGCACTTAACCTAATTAAAGGTCAATTGTCGGCAAAAGAGTACCTAACTAGCTAGCTCGCTGTAAAAAGATGTTACATCAATAAAAACAACTCTTCCTATAGCTTTGTTTTCGACAATTGTCCGTACTTCGAATGGTAAAAAAACAAGAGTCTCCCAAAAGAAACTACTAAGCCTGTCGTGGATCCAACTTTGCTAAGTTAATTACTTTCTATGGTCAATCGAACCAGGACATCAAATTTTGCCTACTAGAGCAAGCATTTTCTCATAAACTTACTTTGATTGAACAAAAAAGTGTGCGATGGAATATTCGTCATTAAGCAGCCCCCGTTCTTCATGAAGCACTTTCCATCTTCTCTCCCTCTTCTTTTTTGAGTTGTGGAGAATGATTCAACAATTGGTGTGTACTGTGCTAAATCACTGGTCAGTGGTGACCGACTGGTTGGAACTTGGAACGCACAGAAAGTGATGGTTTTGAAGTCATGCTCGAGCAATAAGTCGGACACCAATGCACAGAGTAATGGTTTTGAAGTCATGCCCTAGTGATCGGTCGCCACTTATGTCCGACAGGTTGAATTACTTTGAGAGTTTTATTTCTTCAAGACGCGATGGAGCAGTCAGTCACCCACTAAACCCTAGGTCATATGTATTATAAATTGGACTTTTAGGGAACTGTAATTTGTAGATTTGCGAATGCTAATTACAAGTGAATGTGAGGAAGAGCATTGGAGTGCTTCTTCTTCCATAATGAGAATCTCATAGCAATTTGAACCTAATTAACAAAATTATTGTTTTGTGTGATTGGTTTACTTTTGCCGATTGCACATATAATTTTTGGCACATGTTCTTTAAACAAGATCAGAGGTCCGATTTCTTACAACTATTATCATAGCTTTAAGCTCAAGTAGAAAGGATGAGCATAGATAACATTGAGAAGAGAGTGACCGCAGAGACTTTATGTTGTGAAAGTCGCATATTATGATAGTCTTTGTGCTCTATATATGTGTGTTGAATTTTCTCTTGAAAGGTACCTGTTTGGTACAATGGATGCAAATTGGCAAATTGGTAACCAAACATTCTCATCATAAATATGTGTACTTCTATTCCATTATTCTTTTCTTACAAGGATAGATAGTACATGCTCGGAATTCTTCAAAATCTTGTATTCGGTTCACATTTATAACTAAAAAATAATCATAATAACCCTAGAATAGAAGGGTGATTATCTACCTTTCTTTTCAAGGAATTATTCTTCCATGAGGCATGGAAATGCCGTTAAAAAAAATACCACCCATCCAATATATTGGCACCCAATCCTCAGTCTAATCAGACCCGTCTACAACATGTTTTGCCAATATTCCGTTGAAAATAAAAAAAGAATAAAATTGGTGAAGCCCAAGTCCATTCAAACTTCTTAGCTAGAGTTGTCGATTAGGATGGCCCAAATCACTCCATTTCATGCTACAAGTAAAACAATCTTGGGCCAAGTTCTTCAATCTGGGTGCCTGGACCAGAAACAGAACTACAGTTGAAGCCTGCTTAAGGTTTTAAAAATCTCATCCAAGTGAACAATCCTTGGCCCAAGCTCATCTAACATTGTTTATTATTATTTATTTTTTGAGTATAAGCGATAGTCTAAACTACAGGACATGGAGATTTCTCACACACACAACTATCATTCATATATGTATATATAACATATATATTCACACATAAAAACTTCTTACCATAAATTATAGAATGAGTCGAATAATCTCATATAAATAACACTCGTATAAATCTCAAGTTTATAACGATCATAATGCAGAGTCACAAGTAAAACCTTCACACCACCACCATGAACTTCCATTCCACAAATTCATCTTCTTCTTTTTTCTTTTACCGGTTTTGCACACTCACATTGAACAATAAACTAAACTTATTCAAGATCTTTACCGGAGAAAAAAAGGAAGAAAATTAAATTTTATTTTATTTTTAAATTGGGTACATTAGTTCGGAAGTTGTGAATCAAAAATAGAATGGTGGTTCTAGCTCTGGAATATCAAAATAATATTTATCCGTATAATCAACAATATGAATTGGCCGATTAGGGCTGGCCGCCGGAGGATTGTTCAAGGTAGAGGAATCTTGGTCGCCCCATTGTCTTCTGTTGCATGGAGAGTTTGCCCCGATGACACAAGGCCCATAGCGAGCCTCCTCAGAAGGAGCTACAAGAGCTAAAGCAAGCACAACCAAAATTGTCAACAACTTCCACATTGTTGCTTGGTCGTGGGAGTTGTGGGAGTTGTAGGACATTTGAAGTTAACTTATATAGAACCGAGATTGAAAGAATCGCTTTGCACAGAAGTAATTAATTGAATGAAACATATGAATCATTCAGTTCTCACGTTATGAAATGAAGTTGAACTGTTGTAGGTTACTAGTAGATAGATCTGAACTCACACATAAATTAATGTCTTGATTAAAATGCCTTAAGTATAGACAGTAAGGAAAAGGTTCATGTTTTTTCTTGGTTCTTAGATACACTTTGTGGGCTTGCCGTTGATGGTGGACTCTCCCGTATTTGGATTAATCCCTTACTGTACTTTCATATTTATATTAACCCTATGCTGTTATTTGTATTGGTCTTTGTGATCAACGGCTAGCTTATGATACTACATGTCACCTTTCTCAAAAATAATTCTTGGGGCATTACATCTATTCTATTGTTATCAAATGGGCGTTGAGGAAAAATTTTAAGTTTGGCTAATTCGTGGCTCCTTTCTAAGCATGCCAAACATGGAACATCTGCTTTGTTGTAAGAGTCACAGCTGGATTTGATTGAACAAACTCCAATAGTGGGTGTTGAGTGTATCACCAATTGGAACTGGTGAGGGCATGGTTGAGATTCAAAGTGAAAACTTTTCATCATCTTTTGCTTTGAATTACATTCCTTCAAGCTTCAGTAATGACCAGTTGATAAAGTCGCTGGCTCAGTGACGATTGATCAATTATTGCTTGAAATTCGAAACATTTTTAGCTAAAATAATGTGGTCACTTGCTGATGCAAACTGAACACACTAATAACACACTCATGTGCATGAAACAATCAAATCCATGTCTGAAAATGATGTGGGATTTTGATTATATCATGCAAGCTTTTTCTTTAGCCTTTCCCATGTGCAAATGATTGTTGGAGGTGAAGTCATTGGCACAATGAACACGAATACTTACCGTCTGCGGTTGCATTTCGAAATCCACCGAATTGGAGACTATCTATGAGCCTTTTGATCATCATGCAGCCAATTACGTGTTGGTACCAGTTTTTGCATATTGCAGAAGAAAAGTTATTCAAGGATCCAGCCTCTTTAGCCCAAATCTTGTTTTGGTAAGCAAGTACTTGCTGTGAGTGACCTCAGAACAAGCTGGTTGATTTGTTGTTCTTATTGTGCTTTTACTGTTTTGATTTCTCTGTCTGAAAGTCAAAATAGAAAAAAATTTCTAATTTACAGTTTTGATCTGGTGCATTCTTTTGAATTTGCTTTTTGGGGAACTGGGTTTGAAGGATGGTTGATCATATTTTTACCTTTGAAGCAATGGAAATCATGTATTAACCAGAAAGAAAAAGCAAGAATAACCCAATAAACCAAAAGAAATGTAAGGATTAAGGAATAACTTTTTTTTCTGAGTTAAATAAATATGTGGTTACAAGTTTGTACTGTATGATTTTGAATGAGAAGGTAACTCTGAGAAAAAGGAAGTAGGAATATCAAAAGGTTCAAAAGTTGAAGTTGCTACCATGTTCACTGGGCCACCTGCTGCACAAAAAAAAAAGGAGATAGCCAAACTTTCAGAAGACTTAGATTGTATTGGCTGAATATGAAAGGGGCTAATAAGTTCTGTTATTAAAACACAAGTGACTATTTTTTTTTTCTTTGTTTGGACTTTCATGCATCTCATCAGAATGTTGAATTCTGGAGCAATAGACTAGCAGTGAGAAAATGAGTTGTTTTTCCTTTATCAATTTTAATTTCTTGACCTAGAGCTGCCTAGTTGCAGATTGACTCTGGACAATTTGTACCAAGTGAAGTAGAGTCCAGAAGAGTCTTCTGTACTGAAAACAGATAAGAAAAACCAAATGAAAGAGAAACTCAGGAGGAATTGCTAAGAACATAGAAAGTTGAAATGTTGAATTGCATAGGACTTTCCCTGATGGTGACAAGTGATTCTGAGGGAATATATTAATTAAAGGTAAGGAAAGGGTGCTGTTTACCAATCTTCTGTGATTGAATGTATCTTTTGGTACACACTAAAGTTGGTTGGGGGCCTAAAATTTCTTCTCACTGTAACTACTTCTTCTTCTGCTTTTCTTTTTCCTTCTCTTTTGTTGATGTGTTCTTCAGATTCTCAATGCACCTGCTATTGTCAGGCCAAACACACAACAATCTTACCCTGCACTTCTCTTTGATTCCTTGACAAAATCTGTTTTTCTAATCATGAAATGATAGGGGAATGTTTAACTCAGATAACCCTGCTTTTAGAACATAGTATTCCCATAATCTCAATTCATGGCATTTCACTATTGGATAATCATATGCCTTTCATCTAAAGAAAAGGTTTAAAGTCCAAATCCCATTTTCATATATCATCAGATGATAAAAAAAAAAATAGAAAAAAAAAAAAAAAAAAAAAAAAAAAAAGATTTGATACTTTGTTCCTTGAATTTGTGTTTTGTTCTTTTTTTATGCATGTGCTGTATATGTATGTAGAAATGTCTCTGTACATTTATTATATTTTTTTTCTTGCTAGTATTTGAGACAAGTTTGTATGCTTTGGGAAGTGTATAGAAATTATTAAATAAAAGAATCTGCTACTGTATTGGATAGTTGTAATCCAAGAGTGTTTTCTGCATTAAGAAATTAAAGTACATGAGAGTGGCAATGTCATTTGCTTCAAAAGTCCAAAGTGTAACTTCTGATGCAAACCCAGAATTATTAAAATATTACATCCCACACTAAAAATGAGGAAGAGAAAAATATCTAAAAGTGGCTATTGTGTTACATGATAATGTTTGGCATGCACTTTTTACCTGCCCACAAAATTATAGGATACAGACATTATAGGGATCAATCAGCCACAAGAGGATAACAGACCTAATATTAACTTATCCAACTTAAAGATGAATTGTAATTTGGAAAATATTGTTAAATACCAAGGTTAGTTAGGTTCCACAGTACACAAAATCATCCGTACCAAGGGGCTTATAACTCAAGTGGTTAAAATCGTTTATCTCTGCACAAGTGGTTATAATCACCCATATGTGACCATCACATGCATGATGGACTGCACACCATAGGATTGCAGTAGCATGAAATAAATAAATAAATAAATAAATAATTTCTTTCCAAAATTTAATTGGTCAATACCCAGCACTTTCAAAGAAACTGTAGAAATTTGTCTTTTCCAGCACCAACAAAGCAAGTCAAATGTCACATTTTGTGCCCATTTAAGAAGTGCAAGTGACTAAGATGCATCATTTCTGTGCAAGTTACTGGAAATTGAGGAGCATTAAGATAGCAATTCTCATTGGTTGACCAAGCTATCAGGAACTAATTTAAATCTGATCTGCACAAAGAAGACAAATATCAAGCCCAAGGCTCTTCATCAATTGAATATGTTTGAAGTTTTTCTTGCCATGCATCATCTTTTTTGTATCTTACTCACATAGTCAATGTTTTTTTACAAGCATCCAAATCCCACAAGAAATCCTTTATTATTATTATTTTGATTGTTTCCTTTTTCTCAACAAAAATGTGGGTGGATCAAGTTGAATTTAGATAAGCACCATCGTAGTAATCACTCGATTTTGCCTTATCTGCAGTTAGTCAATGCTACTTTCTAAGGCCTACAACAAACACCACATTAAGATTGGTTTTAAATTTCGTGTGACTTGGGAAGGAGGGCAGAGTTCAATGATGTATTATGACACATCATGATACCATGGAAGATTCTAGATGCTGTGCTGTACAATCATACTACCAAAACCCAAAGAAGAAATTAAAATATAGGAGAAAATATGACAACTTTACTGCTTTCCCTTTCCTTTTCGAATATTTTTGCCAGATTTTACTGAAAATTTAGACAAAATATTTAGGATTCCGAGTGGAAACTATGTTGCATTGTATTTAGTAATCACATCGCCCATAAGTTACGAAAGTAAGACTTATTTGTATAAGTGAACTTTCATATAAATCTTAGTTTTTTGTGACTGTGATCAGCAATGTAATCAATAATTATTCTAAGTGAGAATATATGTATTTTAATAAGATTCTACGTAATTCACATGATATGTCTACTAAATACTAAGTTTAACACTTTCTAATTAACCACCAAGAATGTATAATGTATTTATACTGTATCACTCACTGATTGCAGTTTATATATTGGCCGGAAATTACAGAACTGCCAAGTGCCAAATCACATAAAATAATTCTTGAGCTTGTAATTTCGGCGAAGGTTAAGCCTCAATAACCGTTCTCGAGCTGCTTACTGAATTTAAAAATCCGCACTCCTTGGGATCCTGGCGCCAGCAATAAACGTCACCTCTCCCTCACTTACCTGTCCTCGTCTTCCCCCCCGATACACCACTAAATTACATGGCTGCCACCAGTTCAAACAATCAAACCGCGACTAGAGCATGGAAGTTTGGAACCTTTGACAGCTTTCAAATTCCAAGTCTTATCAAATTGCAAATTCATAAAGGCTGAGAGGCCATATCTCTCCTAGGTCACAAAGTTGCATGGCACACCTTTAAATAACCTACAAGTCAAGGGGTAAATTGGTGAACTAAACCTTTATAAATCCCTTCCAAACAAGGGCCCTTCAGCCAATGACCCACTTAGGCACGCATTTTTTGCACATACCAAAATGGGAGTGAAAACCCTCCAACCAACGCTTCAAGTTTTCTCTACCTTACCACCACCCTCCTCTTCTTCTTCTTCTTCTTCTTCATCTCCTACCTTAAGCTCCATCATGAAGATCAAAACCCTAATCCACACCATCATTTTCTCTCACGTGTGCCGCGCAATTCGGTACCTCAACAAGGCGAAATCCAAAGCAGCATCCATTTTTATTCAGATTCTCAGAGACAGCCAACCCATGCAACTTATCTACCCTACTAAAAAAACCAAGATCAAGAACAAGACCAAGAAGATCTTCTTTGGATCATTTCGACTGCACTACAATTGGTGCTCTTCCACGCACGTGTTGCCTGTTCCGGCACGTGTCTACGAAGGATTAACAGCAAGCACCCATTTGTACTATGATTCGACATGGAATTCAGTAATTTCCACTGATGCTCAGCAATGTGAGGAAAATCATGGGCCTGAGTCACAGCTCTCTGGGTACCTCCAATGGCTTGAGGAAAAGAAGGTCCATGGTAAGAATAATTCTATGGCTGATGAGATAGATGTGAATGAGATTGATAAGCTAGCAGATTTGTTCATTGCTCAAAGCCATGAGAAGTTCATATTGGAGAAGCAGGAATCTTACAGAAGATTCCAAGAAATGAATGCCAGAAGCATGTGAGATAGTTTATTAGCTGTGTGGGAATTTCTTTTTACCTTTCTCATTCTTCTATGTAACATCTTTGGAGTGAAGAAAGTGTAGCGATTAGGCTGGATTGAGTTTTTTTTTCCTTTCCTTTTTCTCTTCTTCTTCTTCTTTTTTCCTTTTCAAATTTAGTTACTTGATTAGCTTATGTCTTTTCCAAATGGTGGGGTTGAATTGGAGAATTGTACATGATGGGCTGTGGGTGTTTGTGCAATTCTTATCTTGGAATGGTGATGAATGGTGGTTGTTTTTTAGTTTTTTTGTTTGGAAGGAGAATGGTGGTTGTTAATTAATTGCTACTTACTTTTGCAAGGTTAAACCCTGTGAATTGTGTTTTTATTTTATATATGTAAATTACTTTAATTTACAAGAAAAAGGAGCGGGATATTGCTTTTGTCAACTGGTCTGACCCTCATTTACAGAATTGCGCTTTCAAAGTCTTTATTTTTGTGAATCTCTTTAAATTGAACTGGTACAACGCACAAGTATGTTTGTGTTCTGTTTTTTTTATACCCAAATTGCATGATCTACTTACTAGTCAGGGGCATCCCATCTGGTAATTCTCACAAACAAATGATGAATCAATATTATAAGCTTTTACTTGTCTAGCCAAGCTAAAGTAGTTAAGTAAAGATTAACCAATTCTAAAGGCAACAATATCTTATTAGTAAAATTTTATGTGAAAAAGTCTCTGCAGAGTTGCAAAGCTATTTTCACATACTTCCAAGTCCCAAATGTTTTTTTCTTCTTTGTATCCTTATCCTGTTTAAACTTTGGGGACAGCTTGGCCTAGATCTCGGGAAAAAATGAAATTAGGTGGCACTATTTTGTCAAAGGCCTAGCAAAACCAAATATAAACTTGATCTACTTACCCACTTATCTAAAAAATAATAATTAACTGTCCTTTTTCTAGGCATCTGATTTTGTTTTGTTCCCAATAAACCAAAACTTTTCTTGTGGTTCTGGTTTATAACTTGTACAGGCCTTTGTCTATGGCGGTACGGTTTGTGTTTTTTTTGTTTTTAAAGCTCATCATTTGGTGATTTTTGGCTATGATTTTGTTGAATTTATGTGTACTGAAATATAGACCAAGACTGGACTGGGTCAAGAGCCTCAGTTCCCATCTTACCTGCCTGCTGTCTGTCTTTATACAATTTCTCTCTCCCCTTATCTGTCATCAGAGACAAGCGCGCAGTTGTTGGATCCCAACTTCTTGCTTCATCTTTGAATTCAGTGTCATGTCTTCTATATTCACATATATAAAATAGTTCAAAGTCTCGACCAGCGTATAGCTCAAGTGATCAATAGCGTTTACTTTTTATATTCGAGAAAAAATTAGTGCAAACACAAACTAAACATTTTTGTATTGGACAATTAATCATTATTGTAACCATAACATTTTTGTATTGGTGAAGTTCCAGACATCACTTGTAGAAGTATGACATAACCATAACCTTAGTATCGGTTTGGATACGTTTAACCCTATTAGAAGCTGAAGTCCATGTACGCTAACAGAAAGAGTGCGGTGAATTTAGAGTTCATGGTAACATGAGATTTATATGAAGAAAAAAAAATTTGAAGGATAAATAATTTAGACATTTAAATGGTTTGATTGAAATTTGGGCCGTTAAATGTATTGAAATTTAATCAGCACCATCGAATTATAACAAGTCGTTAGGTATTAAAAAAAGAGGAATGCTAGCAACCTTCTCTCTAACCTTCTCTTTTTTTTGCTTGACATGTGTCATTCTCCTTACACTTAAAACAATGTCATTAATATATTATACAAGATAACTTTTGCTTTCCAAGTTTACTCTTATTAAATGTATTCAATTTATCTAAAAAAATTTCACAACTTTCTTACCATCTTATTAATTTTTTTCTAATGTCAATTTTTTAAAAAAAAAGAAAATATGTGCTTTTAAGAGGAAATGTCCGGTTTTTTTAAATAAAAAAAATTTAAAACACAAAGGGTTTAGATAGAAAAAAAAAGTCCTTTGTGTTAAAAAAAAACGGACATTTCCTCTTTTTTGAAAAAAGCAGACATTTTCTTTAAAAAAATAATTGACGTTTAAAAAAAAATTAATAAGATAGTAAGAAAGTTGTGAATTTTTTTTGGGATAAATTGAATACATTTAATAAGGGTAAACTTGGAAAACAAAAGTTAATTTGTATAATATATTAATGACATTGTTTTAAGTGTAAAAAGAATGACACATGTCAAACAAAAAAGGGAGAATGTCCAAATGAGAAGGTTAGAGAGAAGGTTGCTAGCATTCCCCTTTAAAAAATCAATGGATTGCAAAGGCCCAACAATCCTGGCCGTTGGAGCAAGATCGAGCTGTTGTGCTCTCGGTAGCATATCCCAAAATTTAGACTCCTTCTATAGGTGTGTTAGGGAGGAATACCCTAGCATTGGGGATGGCCTAATTTTCACCCCAGTTATTCAATCTTATAAGCAATGGAGAAGATTAAGGTTGTGAGGTATGAATGTCTCACTGAGGTTGCGATGTGGCAATCCCTAATTAGCTGCTAAGCTAGTGGCTATCCATTTCAATGGCTTCTTACCCCATTTCATTTTATTTTATTTTTCAGAAGAAAAGAGAACAAAAAGGGTATCTTACTCAATCTCATGCAACCATCGACCACATGCACATGACGACAAGAGTCGTATATAGTCAATGAGGTCATAATCTGATGGAACCATCTATCCGTGCACTGCACAAGCATGTGAGTTGTGAGCTCCGCGCGGGCCTGAAACCACGCCTTCGAACGTTCAAAAGCAGCTGGTGTTTTTGGCTTCCAAGTCATTTCTTAACTGACATGTATGCTTTGGTAAAAGTGACCAAGATTCTTCTTGACACCAACTGTTTATACAAAATATGAGTGACATATGGAAGCTCGCTTTCTTTGCAATTAAAATAGCTAGCCTTCGTGAACTTGTTCTTCCAACTTCCTACTTCTATTAAAATTACTTGTCCAGCTCTAGTGCCGAGTTGATGAACGTAAAATAACAGTATCGGAAACTTTATATGTACGAAAAATTTCATCGGTTATGATTTTCAGGGGTTATTTAATTCAATAAAATCAATTTACAATACTTGATACATTATTGGTATATTATTGATGTTGATCTAACAACCCAAAAAGACGAATGTTAGTTTTCTCGTCAAGTCCTCAAATGAGACAACAAAACTTGGATTTTAAAAGAAAATTCCAGTGGGCGCACACATTTTAAAATATGATACCAATCTGTATCTAGGTGACATGTCAGGTTCTATGTTCATGGCACATCGATTTTGTGCAACATTGTTTAGGCTGGTTTGATTAAACTTTGGAACCTAGCTACCATTATTGGTGGGGCAGTGAGATACACTAAGATACGAGGGTTGATGTGCAGCTCAGATTGAATCTTATTGATATAATTTTGTACTTTTGTCGAATAATCACCAATTAATACCAACTAGTTGACATGCATTATACGTATATATGAGCCAAGAAAAATTAGACATTCCAGGTTGGATGCTTTTGTTAGGTATAGACATTTGAAGGAACTGCTCTTAAAAGGACAGTGTGTGTTGAGGCATCAATTTTGATGCTTCTTTTAGTCTATATATTCCATGTTTCTTTATTCCAAAACCTCTTTACTTCATTGGTTTGTTTGGTTGCTGCTTTTTTTTAAGGAGAGAGAGAGAGAGAGAGAGAGAGAGAGAGAGAGAATAAAACTTTAAGCAGGACCATGTTGGTTCTTTTGGTCTCTTGCAACCATATATACATGGACTAGCCTTTACATAAAAGTGAATGCATGGAACTTCCAGGGATTTTATTCCCTTATATAGGATAAGATTGATGTGTGTACTTGTAAGTATATAGTGTTTTTCCTTTTCTATGGACCACAAGCAGGCCTTAAACCACTCAGGAGTTGAAGTACTCTTACTCAACGGCGGAGCTAAGATTCAAATTTTCGGGGCCGAAAAATTAAGAATGTTCCGAATATATTGAGGAAGAAGAAAAATTATATAGATCGCATAAGGAAAAAGTATTTTATGGAACAATTTAAAATCTAATTAAAATGTTTTAATTTGAGGTTTTATTTTCTCACTGTCTTGTTAGTTGTATGAAAGAACCTTTTTTTTAGAGCGTGTTCTTATTGTCAAATTCTCGTATTTTACCCATGAGCATTGAAAAATTTACGTGGGACGAAGATGACTTGGCTCTTGGTTTGTGTGAATTGAATCCTTATATTTGTCGGACATTCAATTTAAAAGTATTTGGAAGTCTCCTTGCAGTTTGCATGCGTAGTTATTTGTCTCATATAGTATTATGTTGATGTGCTAAGTGATCAGGGGTGAAATTTAACTAGGACGTGATTTGTGTGTGAATTTGTAAGTTGTCATTAATAAAATAAAGAGGTCTTTTCGATCTACAAGTCCCTTTTATATTGTATTTATTACCATTGAATATAACTAACAAGTTTAGGGATTTTCGTCATGAATAGACAGACTGTGGCTTAAGTATTGTTAACTGTTTAACAACACAACATGTCAAAAGAAACATTAATTTAGTGAACGAAAGTAGCTGAATAAAACCCCGTACATGCATACGATCAAATTAATAGTGTGAATGTGATAAAAAGTCTTGTCACAAATAATTGACTAGAAGATCTTGTAGTAGCAAGCGTCAAATCTAAAATCTGAATATGTCGAAAGCATATATTTATTTAATTAGGGTGCCCTAGCTAGTTGTAAATAATATACATCCCAACTATATAAAATACATCCTGTTCTGTTTTCCAAATCTGTGCCAGTTTAAATCTTAAATAATTTACATACAAAAAAAAAGTGTAGCTGATGCGTGTTTTATAATTCAAATACGTTGCTTGGCCACTAATTTTATATACACTCAAGATGTAAACCTTCATGTCACATAACATGATATGTCGTAATCCAATACTTTGCATAATTACTTCTCCAGTAAAATTTCTAATCCAAAAGATTGATTTATAAAATCATTGCTCATTTCCAACTGATTTTGGCGTCTCATCAAAGTGTGGATTTATCCAACTTGGTTTCTCAATTTATCTTTTTGCATGACTGGATTGGGGTTCAAACTTTCTAATTTCCAGTTTACCCAGCCCAATTCTTAGATAATCAAACCGGGTTTCGATTTGCAGACTAGTGGTTTTATATTCGAACTTTCATGGCACTTTGACATTGTGTGTGAAAAAGAAAACCTTCATCCTTTAATATCGCTTGTATCAAAAAAGGAAGAAGAAAAAAGTTGTTGAGGTGGGCCTTGTCTAGAAAATCAATTCAATCAATTCCGTCCAACTCTTCATGGGAGATTCTTTTGAAACAAGTTTTTATTGGACCGAATAATGCTTGAAATGAGCCCAGAAATATGTACTATTTGTAATTATGGGCTAACTTTCAAGGTGACCCACAAAAATGGTAGGTGTGTTTTTTATAATTCAATGTACCAAAAATCATATAAAAACCTAGAATTAATTTCAAGATGAGAAATGAAACAAAAAGAGAAGCAAACAGATGTACATGGCTGGCTTATGTTTGTAAGATGCGACAAAGAAATTTTCATTGAATTTCATTCAGTCCACAACGAAGAGGCCCAAAACTCTCTCCCGCATGGGAAACCACATGGCCCAAGGTTTCCTAATCTTCCAATAGACAGTTTCTACTCAAATTTATATGGCATTACGATAAGAAAGGGGAATTTACTGTCAACAGTGCCTACCACATTGCTCGGTGTATCGCCACCTCTCCTCATGCATGCCACCTCTGTATCCAGTTCAGCGGCGTCGTCTTCTCTTTGGAAAGCTCTCTCTGGAAAGCTGAAGTATAGCTTAAAGTCAAAATTTTCTGGGGGCAAGTGTGTTCGAATATTCTCCCCACAAGGTTGAATCTTTTCAAGAAGCGCATCCCGATTGACACCACCTGTGCCTTCTGTGGCAACGCCCACGAATCAACGGTGCATATACTGCGTGATTGCTCCTTTGATGTCGCTGTTTGGAGTTGCTTCCCACTGGCTGGTCGACGGTCTACTTCTTACGGCAAATCGGCAAAGGGATTGGGTTCATACATGCTTGTTAGTGTATCTTTTGCAGAAAGTACTAGGCCTGTAATTGCACCTTTTCTTGCGGTTTAAAGTTGTCTTCCTCAGTTGGTGACTCTCAACTTGCACATGAATTTGAATGCGGTCAGTATATGAAATAATTCAATATTCAACTTATTTGTTGTGGAATTTTTTGTGACGCCTGATGTCTATTTTCATGGGGTGCTCGCATGATCAGTTTTTCCATTTTAGGGATCGTATGTAGGCAATGCTAAATATCATGTTGGATTTTCTTCTATAAAAACTTTGTGAAAATTATGGATGGAGAGTATCGGGCCATATTCATTGCATATCGGTCTATTCGATATATAAGTGATGTTTGTGGCTTAGCATCCAATAAACGTTCCTATTATGATGCTCTTCTGTTAGAAGTTTGTCAAGCTAAGAGGCCAATCTTGATCCCCCCTGCCTCGGGTAGGAGTCTAGATTAAGACTCATGGAGTTAGTATTAGTACTTCTACTTGCTATGTTCTGATGCTCATGGAAAGTTGTTTTGTACATCGAACTATGCGTGTATATGAGGTTTTTCTTTGACAGTATTACATTGTGGCCGATTGTTCTTTGTGGGTCTTAGTGTTGTGCTTTGTTCGTCTATTTTTTCGGGTTCTTTGTAGCAGTCCAAAATGGCATGTGTCGGACTAACTTGTTAATCCATGGTATGTGTGGTACTTTTTCCTACCTGGGGGCTTGTCCCATGTAGTTTTTCTAGGAAGGTTTAATGAGACCACTGTATTTGTGACGGTCTTTGTATGCCTCTTTAGTTTATGAATGAAATCTTATTGTCAAAAAAAGTGAAGATCTTTGTCTTGTTTCCTTTCTTTGGCATATTGACCAAGTTGAGTATAAGTCAGTGAATTGGAGTTTTTTATTTTTTATAATAAATAAAAAGAATCTTCATTAGATAAACATTAGCACTACAAGAAGCTAATTACGGGATCGTCTTCCTCTACAGGACAGTTGGTTAGGACTTGGGAGACTGTCGTTGCCTGCATGATCTTTCTCTTCTTTTACTGGTTATCCCTGACTCCTCGGAGTCATCTAGGATGACATTGATCCTTATGACCTTCGGAGAAGGGCTCTTTGGTGGCATCACAATCTTCAAAGTACTAATCCCAAGAAGGCAACAAACTAACATGTTAAAAACAAAACTAAAGCGGATAAAAGCCGTACTAAAACTATTAACCCGCATCACCACAATTAACCATAAGCCCAAACAAAGCCCACAAACCAACATAACTGAAACGCTAAAGCACCCTACCACCACCACCACCTGAAGAAGAGCCATAGCGACCACACCACCACCACCTCATAATAGATCTGGGGAAAATATGTTTTCGAGCGATCTACCTATACATGAGAATTAACAAATAAAAGAAAATAACAACCCTGCTAAAGAACATTTGGGCGATTTGTAGCAACCTCTGTCAAATAAGATGTAGAACCAAAGTTAGAGAACATAAACAATGTTAGATAACGGGTTTTGGAAGAAGGATTTGGTTAAGAATATAGCCCAAAATGGGTGATGGGGAATTTCAATATGAGCATTGCTCAGAAGAAATCACCATAAGGGGCTTCTTATTCAAAAGGCCCCAATGGAGTTATTCACTAACCCAAAAGGAAAAGAACATAAAAGAGGAGGGGCAGTGACGCTTCTTTCTCCTCCCCCTCTATAAAGTTTTCCTTTGGGACTCACAGAGGGAAAGAACATTTAGGGATTTTTTTATATAAATTTTTTAAAATTTGGTTGAAATCGAACTGGAGTTTCATTAAAAAGAAGAAGTCATGGAATGGAATATAAGTAGTGTAGAATTTCTAGTCTTATGCTACGGCCTAACTACTTCACAATCACACTCAAACGAGTCTCACTTAAGCTACAACCTTACTTATTTTCTTCTTTTATTTTTAATTTTAAATTTTATCAAACTTACTTATTTTCTTCTTTTGAGTTATGTGGAATGGCTCAAATTTGTTGAGAGTATCATCTCACATTGGAAATGCATGCCTTGTATTTGTAGTTCAAATCATGTTGGGAGTTTGATCCTCACATTCTAATATGGTATCAAAGCATGCGGTCTATGTGACAAGACCAACGACTGCACATGCTTTTTAACATCACCGAGTAAAATGTATTAGGCGGGAAAATATACCTCACAGAAAATTAGAATGATTTTTTTTATTATATAGGTATAGAACTAAAACTAGAAGCTCTCTCAATAAAATTTCAAAATCTTTTCTATTAAGTTAGGTAGCATTATCATGCCATGCCGTGTCCTGTGTGTACCGATATAACCTTTTGGGCTGTAAAGAGAAGCTTGCTTGTAGCCAAAAAGGAGCACAGCATGCATAACCTCACTATCCAACACCATACTAGTTGACAATGCAACGTGCACTACTCTTCACTTTCCATCTGTCTTGTGACAAAATGGTTATGCTAGCAATAGCCACACAATTAAGTAAAAACATGCATGATTGGGATTGCCTCTTAAGCCACCAGACAACGCCACGTGTAAGCCAAGAAATTCATTAGTTTAATTAATCCTTCAGGCCACCTTCAAACAATGGTTCATGTTGTTCATCCCACTCCCCCAATTTGATGAACTTATGCCCAAATTTAACAAGCATCAATGTTCATCCTCTAATTTGGAGATCACTTATTGGGAAAGGAAAACCTGTTATTATTTGCTACTATATAAAAACAATAATATGCATTAAATGAGTGATCTATAAGCCAAACCCTTAATTAATTATGTAATTAATTCAAAATGTTTATATATATAATACAAGTTCTTACACATCTCTCACTCTCTAATAAGCTTCCTAGCTACCTACATATACTAAATCAAAACTTCATAACAAATAAACATAAATTTCCAAAAAGTGGGAGAGTACCATGAAAATGAAAATAAAAATAAAAAAACTAAATAAAACATATATAAAAATGATATGAACTGGTCCATGTTTGAGATCTCTTGGATATGCATTTGATGGTAGCTACTTGTTCTGGATTGGATTTGAGCCACTGGGTGGCTTTCTCCTCATACTAGACTCCACAGCTTTCTTGGGCTCTTTCATGGCTCCACTGCTTGTACTCAACCTGCTTGGAGAAACAGAAACCACTGGAATTGACAGAAGCCTTCTTGACAGGCTCCTTCTTTCTCTTCCTTGAAAGATCTTTACTTCATGGCAGAGACAAAAAGAGGAGCACAAAAGGATTTCAATGAGTATCAAAGCAAAGAGAGAAGTGAACTTCATAATTGAGGTTTTGGTTCAAGTGATGTAGAAATATACTGGAACTATATATATTGGTTCTTGTTAAAAGTAGAGAGCGTGGGAGCAGGTTATGTGAAAAGGCATGCAACATGCCTACTTCACGTGGTTTGCCAATACTTTTAGCTTAATTAATTGAAATTTTGTTGGAGATAAAAATCTTTACAATCCATGCCCGTGTATGACCGAAAGCCATACATTGACTGAGCAAACAACTCAGCAAACCATCACCACCAGATTAATAAGAACAGAGTGCATCTTCAAGACAGTTGGACAAGTCATTTGTGCAAAAAGAAAAATTATTTACAGTGTCTTGAGTGTGATTTTAATTTTATAGCGTGTAACGGAAATAAGTAGAAGTGTTTTAAGTGTGGTTTATGTTAGTTGTTAAGGTATTTCCCTTGCATTCGAATTTGATTTCTTTCGACGTACAATAAAGCAGTTTAGAGCATCGTGTGTCGAAAAAGAAGCATTTTTGAGTTTTTGTCAAGTAAATAGGTGGAAGTGTTGTTTGAAGAGAAGATAGGCGAATGGACACTACATATCACATGGTCATATGACCCCAAAAGTTGAAGGGATGCACATCACATAGCTGAATATTTTAGACCTTGAATTTGTAGTCAAGATTCCTACATTTTCAATTTTCTGTGGAGCTTGTGGCTAGTGTGACCCTCCAAACTACAGTTGAAGCTCTTGACCGATCAATCTTAATCAACCGATTATATATATGTAGATATATATTATATCATATATATGCAGCAATTGGTTTTCAGCTGAAAAGATGCCGCATCTTTAGCAGACTATATCAGTTATAGTTAATAAAAAAAGACATATAATTAAAAAAATATTTTGGAAATGATAAAAATTGTAATTAAAAACTTGGTCTAATGTTTTTTTCTTTACTAGAGGTTGGAACTTGGAAGCCGCTAAGCATGTGGAAATGAATTGACTATTACTGTTTTTCTGACTTAGTTGCAGAATAAGAAAGATTAAACTAAATGACTCATGTGACTGAACACAGTGATTCCAAATCAATCATTATCACACTACATGTTCATGGTTCCTTTCATGATCTTTTTGTTTCAAGTTAACTTAAATTATTAGATGGGCAATTAACCCATATTTTAACCTTAACATTTTTTTAATTTTTTCCATAACATTCTAGCAAAAAAACTCATTGGTTTTGCTTAATTCTCTGCCAAATTAATTTCAACCCCCTAGTATGCATAAAACCTACTTCTCTAGCTAGCTAGGGAGAATATATAGAAATCCTAGATTTGGGCTAAGAAGATCATCTGCCTAATGCCAACCTTATAAACCTTATTATAAAATTGCATGTCAGTATATTTTTGGGTGAAGTAGCTATAGCCTTAGCTGGATTGTCAGCAAGATTTGAAATCCCTTTGATTCTTTAATAGGGTATTCACCAATCAACTTGTTCTTCCAATTGGTTGAAAATGGGGGACGAGTATGATACAAATATATGGAATTCAAACCAAGAAATTGACTACTTGCCAAGTATTATATATTCAAACCTTTTAAGACGAGACATGCAATTATATATTTTACAACTATTCATTATTAATTTTTTTTTTTTTTTTTTTTTTTTTTTTTTTTTTTTTTTTCAATCTGCTGTTTGGCATCTGGATATCTAGCTATGACATATAGTGTTGCATCCATTGCTGCGCTGCACTTGGGATAAGACCATGAATTTATTGCGCATGAAATTGAATCGATGGTGGACATGAGAAGTATGGCTTAACCGATTTAATTTCCACCAAATGTCTTTTCAATTTCAATGGCTTTATCCGATTTAATTTCCACCAAGAGAGGGGGGCAGGGGGAGAAAAACTTCATGGCACGAGGATGCTAGGGTAAGCCTTCCACGTAAGTATCTCTATCCAATTAAAAAGGGACACGTGTAATCCATTTTAAGACTAAAAAATTTTAAAAAAAATTCCACCTATGCTGCCCCTCCGTCGTGTCCTCCTCCTCTACAACTTCCCTTGCAACTCAAATATCTCTCTCTCTCTCTCTCTCTCTCTCTCTCTCTCTCTCTCTCACCGGCTCTCTATTTCTCATCTCTCCTTCCATTAATCTCTCTTGTTGCCAGCAATAACGGAGGCTGGCAAGGTCGTGGGTCTATAGATATGATATCAGCCACTTCATATGTGATATCCCGCTCCTAAATTAATATTTAATTCTTAAATTATTCAAGTAAATGACAACTTTACACCGAGAGTATTTTAATGGGTTTAAAACTGACTTTTTGTTCGGGAAAGAATTTGGGGATTTGAGTAGCATCGTTGCATAGAGCGCGTCGATACGAGTTAGTAGACACGTAATGGGCTCAAATTGGAGTTTTAACAAAAAAGTTATGGTTAACGGAAGTGCAGTGGCACAACCGTAAATATTTCAAAGTGATTTTTTTTTTTTTAAACCAGTCAGCCTCTTCTCTCTCTGTCTCTCTCTCTCTCAGGCGACGAAACCGCCATTTTCGACAGCGATTCCGGCCACTAAACGCGTCTCTGTAACTTGCAAAACGCTCCTCTCCACCTCTTCTACACGACCCACTAAATTTTCAGACCCAATTTCGAGCTGTGAAGCGATTGGAATGAGTGGAAAAATCGCAGTTTTCTGGTCGTTGTTTCCGGCGATTTCAGCAACGAAATCCGACAATGAGGTACAATTCTTCATCCATTTTTCTTGTTCTAGCTGTTTTGATAGTTGGTTTAGATTGATTTGGAGCCGTGGGTGACCAATTACAAACCTAGATTTTGTCCGACTTTGGCAGCGTTTTCCGACCACTTCCCGGCCAAATTGGAGGTCGGTCTAGTTATAAAAGTTGCTCCCCTAGTTGTTCTGATCACCTAGGTATAAGTATTATCGGATGTTTTGAGAATTTTCCGGTCGACGAAATTTTCTCAACACACCCACTCGCTGCCGGAGCGTGTGGCGGGCATGGGCCAAGGTTGAGTGGCCCATTTGGTCCTAAAATATTTCTCATGTCATCCCGAGCACGACTGTATGCTCGAATTTGAATTTGGTTATCATTTGACGATTGAACGAATTTTTACATATTAGGCGATATCTGGGTTCAATATGTTCAGACTGTTGAATCGACTTCATTTCAAAATTTGTTGATCTAGGCACCTCTAGGATTGTGTAGGAACTCACGGATCGAGAATCGGAGTCCCTGATACTTCGAACCAACGATTCAAAGTTTACGTAAAATAGTGACCGTCCGATCATGCGATCAAGAGCTATCCGACCACTCAATCGAGACTAAACTCTCGGGTCATGTTAAGTAGACCTTGTTGAACTTATAGGAACGTTCAAATCAGGAATCAGAGGTGGTGGGCCCCTCATGCCCAATTGGTCAATTCCGCGATCGGGGTCAAACCGACTGTTGGATACTGACGAGACTTTTAGAATGGGCTGAACTTATGGTTGTGGACCAATAGGAATTGGCATATAACAAATTAAGGTCGTGAGTCGTACGAGTACAGTCAATTTGGATTGTGGGCTCTATCGGCTCGGTTAAGGCCATTAGTTGTTGTAATTGTAATGGGAGGGTTGTCTTAGAATGACATCATACTAAGAAAGATTACTTTGATGTTTAAGAGTTACTATGCAATTGATTTTACTGTTTAAGTATATTATATTATGCTTTGTTGTGTAGAGTTGAGAATGGCTTGTTAATCGAATTTTGGCGTTAATAAGAAATTATATATATATATATATATATATACACTCAATGGCTTGAAATCTATGAATTATGGATACTAGTTCTCATTAGTATGTGGTACATATTTAAATGTAGTTGAGAACAGTTTTGAAAGATTATGCATGGTCAAATTCAATTAAGGAATGTTATGATTGATCTCGTTTTAAAAAGGGATTTGTGGAATAAGAGGAATTTTATGATAAGTTTTGGAATATGGTTTTCAAACCACCATAAGAGTACCCTCCCAATTGTCTTTGGAACAGTCTAGTCATTTATGATAATGCCCTACGAGTCTCGGGGACGCCTGAATCGTGTGGTGTGAGGATATGCGTTCTCGGGCTGACTACATGTCCCCCCGAGTTCTACAAGGATATGCGTTCTTGGGCTGACTACATGTCCCCTGAGTTTTGTGAGGATATGCATTCTCGAGTTTATTACATGTCCCCCGAGTTCTACCAGGATATGCGTTCTCGAGCTGACCACATGTCCCCAAGTTTTGCGAAAATGTGCGCTCTCGAGGTGACCATAAGTCCCCTGGGTTCTACGAGGTTCCAACATACATGGCATTTGGAATTGACGGAATATTAGTGGAATTGAGGGATTATGAATGGGGGTAAGCCTAGGTAGAGAGTATTTTAGTTTTTGATATGTTTTAAACTAAAAATTGATGATTTTATCTTGGTACTTATTGGTGAAGGGTTTAATATATGCTTTTCGACTTATGAGACAAGGATTGAGAGGTTTCTAAGTTTTAAGGATTTTATATAATTCGCAAAGTGATGAGTTTGTTTTTGCATGTGAAAGATGGAAACATGTTTTATTCAAACCGTTGATATCGATATTAAGGTTTCACGTAACCAATGTTCTTTTAATAACTCTCTCGTTTTCATATTTATCTGTGTTCGCACTAAATCTAAACAGATAAGAGATTAGGCTAACTTACAAGTATGTGGATGATTGGGGAATGGAATGGCCTTATACCTGTAGTGTCCGAAGACCCGGGTGGATGTCGAATCTTAGCTGAGGAGAGGAAACAGCGGATGCGATCAAGGACACCGGTGTGGGGCTTGCCGAAAGCACTCCGATGCCAAAGTTAGTGGCTAAGAACTATTTTATCGACGATGTGAAAGCACAAGTCAAGCTAAGAACTATTTTAGTGGCTTGATCTCTTGGTAAGGGTACGCAGGCAACCTAGAGTTACTAGGTGCAGTCACAAGATCAAGTGCTAAAAACTTGTTCAGTTAGGTCATATTGAAAAGTGATAACGTATCCATGTTCTAAGAGTTAGACCAGATTTAGATGGTTGAATGATTTATGTGGTATAAAGAGGCCTGAAGCCATTCAGATTTATTTATCTAATGCATGCTGAACAATTGGGATTTTTCAATTTTAATTGTATTTTTTTTTATAGGTAGATATTTTTTTGGAAATATCCGTTTTTCAAGGGAGACTATGTCGGTTTTCTGGCAGAATTTAAAACCTTAAGGGTGTTTTTGTTTTGCGATTCAAGGCAAGAAGGGTATTTTGGACATTTATGCCCGACACCTGCCAGGTGTTGGACACGTACATGGTTCGACTTGAATTTCAAAGTGGAATTTGGGTTGGGTTCTGTCATCAGATCTGAAGGCCGGCAAAGTCACCAAGCTCTACTATTGCCTGCACGAAGAGGGAGAAACATAGGGAGAGATATGAGAGAGCTAATAAGAAGACGATTCCGACGACGATGTAGTAGAGGGAGAAACGATGCCAACGATGATGTGGATGATGGAGGATGGGGTACCGACGTTGACGACGGTGTCGGGAATTGTGGTGGGGGAAAGAGGTCATAACTAGAAAGAGAAAAAACTTGGAATAAAATTATTATTATTTTTAATCTTAAAGTGGATGACAAGTGGTCCTTTTTAATTAGATGAGGATACTTCTTTGGGAGGCTTACCCTAGCATCCCCATGCCAGGGAAGTTTTTCTCCTGGGGCAGAAAGAGGAAAATGACCTCCTTCCCTTTGATGTGAGAGTGCGGCAAGGCTATGGTTTGTTTGGGAGAGACTTCAATTAGCTCTTGATCTAGTGATATTTATTTTTCAATATTAAATAGTTTTAAACGGATTTATAAAACCAAAAGTTATAATCTCAATCCTTTGGGACACGACTAGACAGGATTGGACTCAATGTCAATTTTATTTATGACATGTTTATTAATTTATAATTGAAATCAAAATAAGGATTTGGATCATAATTATGAATTATTCATGTGTTTACTTTACATAAAGGAATGAAAATGCAAGTGGTGGCCCACACAAAATTCGAAAATCAACTCCTGATTTTTAAGGAATTTGACTCTTGAGGTGGGATGAGATCCCGAGCCTCTGCATTTAGAGCCGGTGCATTTACCCTTATTTCGCTAAATTTAGAGCATTGTAAAAATCTAACCCCTTAGAACATGACACATCATCACGTTTTTTTCTTTTTCTCTAAATAAGTTAAGTTTATAACGTGTTTTTTTTTTCTTTTTTTTTTTTTTTTTTTTTTTTTTTTTTTTTTTTTTACTTCTACGTAATCCTCTTTTCTCTAGGGTTCAATGAAAAATTGTCCATGGTTAAACGAATATTCAAATCCAAATGAAATGGAAAAACTCCAAAATTCTTGAATAGGTAATTTCTTTGAAGTAAAAATAAAGACAGATCCATTGCAATATGATTATGAGGGGAATGAAAATTACTTTCCCGATAAAATAAAATAAAAAGATTATGAGAGGAGGTGATGACCAAAAAGCCTTATTGTGAAGCCATAAAACACATGAAATACCGAAGAAAAGCAAAAAATTATTTTAACTTGGTTGGATTTGAAGATTAATACAACTATGAACAGTTTTCCATTGAATCCCAAGAGAGCATCAATCAAGCAGAGAGAAAGAAGGAGATGACCAAAACACAAAAAAGAAAAAGAAACTTGATGTAAACTGAGGAGACATGAGCAGGAAGAAACAAAAAAATCTCCAACCTAATTGCAATAGTTAACGTCTGTTATATCTGTTTACAGAAGAAAAAAAGAACTTGATGATGTGTCATATTTTAAGTTGTTAGATTATTGCAATGGCCTAGATTTAGAGAAATGCGGGTAAATGCAGGGGTTTGGGATCCGGGTGGGATGTGGTATTCTAATTCTTGAAGAACTAATCCATTAGGAATTCATATTTTTTAGCCATTATATCCTCACACATTTTTTTTAAAACTCCAAATTTTCCATTTGGTTTAACTTGGATTCTAGCAAAATAATTTATGGGAATTTAGAACAAGGGCATTTTGTAATCAAATGGATTTCAATTTCGATTTATGGGAATTTAGTAAACATGCCCTTAGGCCTTCTCCAATCCATTTGGTCCTAAACCCAAATTTCCCCCCTCCAAAAAGTAACTATTTGATTTTTGCCCGGACTCAAACTGTTTTTTCCCCAATCTTTCAGACTCAAATTTTAAGTCTTCAACTTTATTAAATTGTTTAAGAATGGTATAAGTCTTTTTTTTTCTTTTTTTTTTTTCATGGATAACTTTTCTTCATTTTATCTTTTTAAATAACTTCATAATTTAAATTTTTGAACAATTTGACCTAAAAAAATTGAAATTCCACAAATATAATATTATTTGAGAAATGGGTGGGTATTTATAGAGTTTGGAGTGAGTTTTGGGGTTGAATTTGATTTAGATTAATTTAAAATATTATTTTGACTGTTGGATTTAAATTTCAGTCGTTGGATTTTTTTATACTATTAAAATAGTTTGTATTTAATGTGGATAGTTGGATTTGGGTTATTGGAATAAATAAAAAAAAAAAAAAAAAAAAAAAAAAAAATAGGCTCTACAACAGCGTGACACATGGCGCCCATTGATTCCTCCTTGCACATGGGATGCGTAAGCCTTGAGTGGGCTCCACCAAAAAGTTTTCTAGTCCAGGCAATGGTTGGACTCGTATTTGGCCCTAACTTTGGGTTTTCCCAAATTTTGGCCCCTTAATTTTTTTTGGGTTGGGAGAGTAATTGGGCTATAATTTGGGATTATTTGGGTTTGGTATCATGGGTTGGAGATGACTTTAGGCCTTCTCCAACCCATTTGGTCAAAAACCTAAATTTCTCCCCTTAAAAAAGTAACTATTTGGGTTTTGCTTGGGCTCATACCGTTTTTTCTCCCAACCTTCCAGACTTAAATTTTAAGTCCGCAACTATATTAAATTGTTTAAGAATGGTTTAAGTCTAAATTTTTTTTTTCATGGATAACTTTTCTTCATTTAATGTTTTAAAATAACTTCATAATTTAATTTTTTGAACAATTTGACTTAAAAAATTGAAATTTCATAAATATAATTTTATTCCAAAAGAAAACACACAATATTTATAGGAATAAACTAATAACCACCATAGTGGGGGCTTGGATAATAGTTCCATGAGTTGTCTTCAGGATTAACGGCAAAGTGTTGACCCCTGTGCATGTTCTTGCATAATTTCATCTTGTTTACCCCCCTCCCAATATTTCTTCTTTCTTTGAGTAAATTTGGACACGTCTTTATTTTTTTTTCTTTTTTTTTTGTTGTTCTTGGGCTTCATTATTTCTTGCTGCTTCTGATAGGCATAAGTATCAGCTTGACACACTTGTCCAATATGTTGAGCTTTCGTCTCCTATCCTCCTTGAAAGCAATGCCTTTCTCAACAAATTATTCTAAGTACTTATCCCTTCTTTGTTGAGAAGGGTTAGCCATCTTCCTTTTTGGCAACCCCTTGTTTATCTCACCCTTTAGGCCTTGGACTAGGCACAGATGGTTGTGGACTAGGTATGGTAACATCGTTTGCGTCATTATCTAAATTCACCATACTTGCACTAGCTCTTGACGAACGTTGTGTGGAAGGCTCCTTTATATCTTTCCACTTTGGGAAATTATTTTAAGATGGTCAAGCATGGTACATCAAAGGCATATTTAGAGGGTTATTATCTTTAAGAAATATCGTTTTTGCGTACACATCCTATGTAGGAGTAAAAACAAAAGATAAGTTTGGAGTTGAATAAAATTACATATAGAAATTTAAAGCTTTAATAAGAATGGGTGCTTACCACAAAAGAGAACATTGTTGGTTGATAGTCTTGAGTTGAGAAGCATGGCTTGGTATGTTCGTTGCTCGGGTCCATTGATACCCAGATCATTTTCCATGAACTTTTGATATACACGCTGCCAAAATGTGTTGCTTGCTTGATTGATGCCAATAGCCCCATCTTCACTGATGGAAACCCACCTGTAACATCCCACATCGACCAACAAAGAGGGGGTGATGTGCCTTATATATGCATGCCCGCCTCCATCTACCACGAGGCCTTTTGGGAGCTCACTGGCTTCGGAGTCATGGGAACTCCGAAGTTAAGCGAGTTGGGGGTTAGAGCAATCCTAGGATGGGTGACCCACTGGGAAGTTGCTCTTGAGCTCCCAGAAACAAAACCGTGAGGGCGGAGAGGGGGGCCCAAAACAGACAATATCGTGCTACGGCGGAGCCGATCTTGGGATGTGACACCACCCTTTGCACACACCCTCATCTTCCTATGGCCTCCAATTCACACATCTTTGAGATTTTGTGGATATCTTCAACAAGAATGAAAGAAGATTGATGAAAATGATAAAGGAAAAATAAATTGAGAAATAGAAGAAAAAAAAAAGTTTTTGGTAGATTATTTGAGAAATGGGGGTATTTATAGAGTTTAGAGTGAGTTTTGGGGTTGGATCTCATTTAGATGAATTAAAATTATTATTTTAACCCTTGGATTTAAATTTCAATCGTTAGATTTTTTTTTTTTAATATTGTTTTTGGGTTACAGTTGGAATAAATAAAAAGAGTCATTTGAATTGTGTTGTTGGATTCCAATGACAAAATCACCATGTTGTGGCACCCCTCTGCAGCACAGTAGTCGCGGCTCCCAATTTTTTCCTCCCTGCACATGGGCTACTTCTGGTTCAGTGGGCTCCACACAACAAAATTCCAATCCAGGCAATAGATGGACTGGTATTCCGCTCCACTTTTGGGTTTTCCCAAATTTTGGCCTCTTTATTTTTCTTGAGTTGAGAGAGAAATTTGGCTAAAATTTAGGATTTTTTGAGTTTGGCCTGCTAGGTTAGAGATGGCCTTATAGGGATCAAATATCATTCCTATCCCGATTACAGATAGTTTTGTAAACAACATCAATGAAGATCTGGATTCTGAATCCTCCTCAATCAAACTCCTCATCAATTCAATTATTCCTCACGAAGTAGTAAACATGGCATTGATCTATCAGATTACAATAAGTAGGTGTGGGTTTGACCCAAAATTTATTTGGGCGACAAAGGATAAGGATGTCAGCTAGACTTGTGGACCATAAAACTACGTCCCAAAGCATAGCCCAAAGTTTGGTCGGTCAAAGCCCAAAGCATCTTTTGCTATATATAACATGCTTTCCAAATTCCAATGGGTCCGGAACTACAAAGCCAACTACGATAATTGCAACGTTGTCAACAACAAACTCGAGCTCTAGTTTGAATAAAAACTGTAGCTTTCTTCTGCTCTCAAGTCTCGAAGTCCCTCCCTCCAGGCTCGAGCCCTCTTCTCTTTTCATTTCCTGGGATTTTTTTATAAGATCTGCAACTTGGGTTTTGAAGTCCCAGAGCCTCTACGAAAAGCAAAGCTCTTAACTTTCAGCTTCAACATTCTTCACAAAACTCAGCCCCTGCACTTTACTTTCATTTCTAGGGCTCTTATAAGATCTTCTTCGCCATTCTTGCGCATGGACTATGATATCTCCGACAGCAGCGGTGAGAAAAGTCTGAACCTTTACAATTATCTCGAATCTGGGTCACGTATCTCAAGGGATTTCGGTTAGTGGGTTAGGGTTTAATTTGGGTAATTGTGTGATGAGTTTTGTTCCAGGCCTGCAGAATATAGAGTGGGTTTTTTGCAAATTAGGGTTTTGGGTGTTCTTGGGTTTTATGCGAATTAGGGAGATTGAATATATAATTTTGTGACTTTGAAGTGTTAAATCTCTGGATTTTTGTTTTTGGGAATTTGGGTTCATGCGAGTTACTTGGGCTTCACCTCTTAAAGTGATTCTTAGAGTACAAGTTTACCCCTCACCTTTGCTTTTTTCCCCAATTATCGATCATTATGTATAGAGTGGAAGAAACCAAAGATGGCATATAGAATGATTCTTATTTCAATTAATTTCATGAAATTCACTGATTGGTAAAACAAGACATAAATTTGCATAAACTTTGATATGTGTACGTTCATAAGATGCATGGATATTAAGGATGCAAGTGTTATCTTGAAATCCCCATCTGTCTACTATATTTATGTGTATGAGATAGTTTGAAGAATTGTTGTGGCTTTTTTCATACAAGTAAACTTGCCAAAACTATGTACCAAAAGAGTTAACAAATTCTGCCTTATTTTTTTAATAGCATTTCTAGCCATAGAAGGGGAATTTGTGAACTTCATATAATTTTGTTTTGCTCAAGTTGATACTTCATCACAGATCCAACCCAAATTCTTGTTTACGAACTGATTCTCGTTGCAAATTGATACATTTCTCAACAATATATATGATTTTAATTGTCAGATATATAGATAATAAATAAACATATATTTTTTACTTCTGTTCAGGATAAATATACTTCGCAATCAATAGCTTTAGAAGACCACTAGCTGCATATGATGCAAAGTTTCATCTAGATGCTCCATGCCATTAGTTGTGGTTATATAATAATACTTATCCTTTCTTCCAAGGTAAAGTTATGGTGACATATTTCTTGTGAGTATCATGTATACCCTTATATGGAATAACTGCAGGTACTGATGATGATCTTCCTCCATCTCATCAAAACAGAATTCCAAGAGGGGCTCACGTCACAGCAAAAGAAAGATCTGCAGTAGGTTCTATCTCATTTTCTAGGATGTATACAGACATGGAGGCCCAAATTCATCACCTAGAGCAAGAAGCATACTGTGCAGTCCTGCGTGCTTTTAAAGCTCAGTCTGATGCGATTACTTGGGTATTTGCCTTCTCTTTGTTTGCATGTCTCTGTGCTTGTTATCTTGATGTTGTTTGTGAATCAGCCTTTAATTTGTTGTCATGTGTGTTTATTTCAGGAGAAGGAAAGCTTGATTACCGAACTTAGGAAAGAGCTGAGAGTATCAGATGACGAACACAGAGAACTTCTGACCAAGGTTAATTCTGATGACATCATCAGTAAGATAAGGTTCGCCTCTTCATAGTTGAACAAATTGTAATACAATGATCACTGCAAAATTGGCAGGGAGTTTAGTATTTCTAGTTTTTAATTGTCACATGTTGGAGCATGTATCAGAGAGTGGAGAAAGGGTGGCGGGCATCAAGTGGCTAGGCTTAGTGCATCTCAGCCTGTCTATGATCTATTACCCAGTCCTACTGTTTCTGCGTCGCGAAAGAAACAGAAAACATCTCAATCGGTACCTTCTCTAGCATTCGGTCTCTCGATTGTGGCTTTAATCTTGTATTCCATATTTGCAGCCTTTGTATTCAAAATTTATAAGGAGCTCTTTCGAGCCATAAGGAAAGTAAATTGCAAACCTAAACTAATTACTACAGTAGTGCGAAGAAAACTGGTTTTGACCTAAATTTTGTTCTCTTTTCTTAGCATGGTCAGCCATTCCCTGGTTTATCCTCAATGAAGTCCATGCCGTACCCATCGACAGGACCTACTTTGAGTAGACAATTAACTGCCCGTAGCTCTTCTGGTCCCCTTGTTGGAAATGAACCTGTTGAAGCAGCAACATTTGATTCATTAATCGGAAGGAAAGTATGGACCAGATGGCCTGAGGACAACAGCTTCTATGAGGCCGTTATCACTGAATACAACCGCACTGAGGTAGGTATTGAAGTTTGCATGAGGTGTTTTTGATTCAGTCCTCCTTTTTCTGCAACAACATTTGTAAGTTGAATTTTTATAAAAATGCACATGTCCGAGTGAAAACAAGCATAAACGGAATTCAGCTGAGTTTATTGGTATTATTACTGGTGTCCATGAAGTTTGTTGAAAACTAACTTTGCTAAACGAAATGGAAAGAAAATAAGTTATCTTTGGTTAGGGTTGTCATTTAGCATCTACCAACTGCTCTTACTAGATGTTGATAGGACAGAAGACTCTCTTAGATGATTAATCGACATAAGAGTGCACTTGCTTGAGTATGTACCTTGTAATACAACTCCGGAGAGTTGTTTAATATATTATAGGTTCAGTCGATTTTGAATACAAAATGAGAAGAATGAGCATTTCTCTGATGGCGTACTAATTAATAAACTTTGAACTGCCCGTTCTGGCATAACTATCCTTTAAACATTATTTTTAGTCATAGCTGTGATGCCATTTCTTTTTAGTAAAAATTGATGACTTTCAGTTTTGGTGCCAAATCTTGAGATTTTTTTTTTCCCTTTTCCTTTGAACATCATGCAAATTCCTTATTATAAGATATTTTGAATAATTGAACCAAAATGTTTTGGACTTTGAATTCAGCAATTATTGTCAATGGTAAAAGATGATGGTATGAATTTAATGTAAAAGATACAGTTGTATAGACTTAACATATTTTTCCTCTCATGGCTTAAAGTGCATCAAATATTACACCTCATCTGTCATTTTTGTAGAAGAGTCATGTAATATGGTGTTTGATTACGTACAAAATTTCTATCCTCTTATTTGTTGGATGATGTTTGTGTTCATTTTCCTTCTGGACTCTTTCTAGGTTTGAAGGATTCCATTGTTGTTGGAATTTTCATAAATCCAAGACAGATTTAAATTTGACGTGTTCTACCCAATCTTAATATAGTTTAATTTGTGCTCAGATGAAATGTACTAGACAACTAAAGGATCCTTTGGCATAACAATAATTTTCCAGAAGAAATAATACACACATTAACTATAAGTTATTTGTTTTTTTGATTTGTTTAAGTGACATTTTCTTTCTGATTATCTCTTAAGTTTCCATGTTTTATCTGTAGTAATGTTTTTTTGTCTGTTTATCTGTGCCTGTCATGCTTCTAAAATGGCACACCCTTCAAAATAACTATTCAAAAGTAAATAGGAAAACCTAATATACTCCTGACGTGTTTAGGATAAACTTAGTTGACCAGAGTAAAATGCTATGACTATGAATGACTGTTTAGATTCTCTTACGTGCCAAATTCTTTAGCCATTCATATCAACTTTCGTTTTTTACAGGGTCGACATGCATTGGTCTATGATATAAATACAGCAAACGAGACATGGGAATGGGTTGATCTCAAGGAGGTTAGTCTATATTTTCTTCATATGTAGTATGAATGCATGTATTCCACTCTAGCATTAACCTGCCAATGCTCTAGTTATTGTTAAGTGTGGAAGCAATCATTGACTGGAACTAGGATCCACAGGGAGAGAGCACAAGAGAAATAGAATTAGGCATTTGATTTCTTCTGCTAGCCCCATCTTTCAGTAATAAGTAGATAAGCAGATGTTGTAGTCAAACATGAACACAAAATATGAAATATGTAGATAGTGTTGATCTTGGATGGAAACGGCATTATGAGAGCTTTAGAATTAAATTATATTTTTATCTTTAATCAAAGAGCTTGGAAATGTTGCTCTCATATATCAAATGTCTCCTATTTCATTCATATTTTTCAAAAGGGTTTATGACATGCATGTGCATTTATGTTTGTGGCAGCATTGCTGGCCTTGATCATATTGTCAAGTCATATCTGTCTTGTCTTTGGTGAATTGACAAAATTGTATCCCAAGCAATCAAAGAGTGCTGGGACTTGACTGACTCATTACTGGTTACAGATCTCTCGTGAGGATATCCGTTGGGAAGGTGAGGATCCGGGCCTATCTCATCGAGGAGGCCATGGCGGTGGGCAAGGAGGACGCAGGGTTAAGAAATCTTTGAACCAAGGCGGTGTTACTCCAGGTGCTGGAAGAGGACGAGGACCCATAAAGCCCCAATCAAAAAAAGAAATTCATCTGTCACAAAATGGTGTAGGGAAGAAGATGCCAGATGATCTGGAATTATTAAATACTGATACTCTGGTAAAGGAGGTATGTATGATGAATATGATGAGCCTATGTAACTAGAATTATGTTTGTTATTTTCATTTGTCACTTTTAATTTTACTAGGTGGAGAGAGTTTTCAATGCAAATCATCCAGATCCTTTGGAGCTTGAAAAAGCAAGGAAAATGCTGAAAGTAAGATTAACATCCTTTACCCTTTCTCTCTCCTTTCTCCTGGTCTAACATTACAATTTGACGTTTATATGCAACAAATGCAGGATCACGAACAGGCCCTTGTTGATGCCATTGCAAGGCTTGCATATGCATCGGATGGCGAAAGTGGTAATAGATACATGTGTACATAATAATTCTGTGTTATGTTGCTGTCAAAATAAGTTAATTAACCAATTGTTGTACCTTCAGAATTTCTGTTGTGAAAGTTTATTTTATTAGCATATTGAAAATTCCTATTCTTTAGTGGTATCTTTCGATGCCTGTACTTCTGTTGGTGCATAATTCTTTCAATTGATTTTAATTAAAGTAACCGTCACACACTGCACTTTTCAACCAAAATGAATAGTTTTGCATAGTGTTTGGCAAGGGACCTTCTGTAGTAATTGGCTAAGCAACTCTCTGGATATCCTCCAGACTCTAACTAAAAATGGTCCTTGAATGAAGATAGATGATTATCTTCCTGGCTTATCCTCACAGGGAACTGAGACGCCATATAATGAATAGGACTGTTGAAAAGGATTACACAAAATCAAAATGTTGTTTGTTGGCCCCCTTTATTTATTTTTGACAACCTTCCACTTTTGACCTGTTTTTTATTTTTAAAATTCTGCTTATTCTTTCTTATTTTTTGCATAAAAGCAGATGGAGAGCATACATTTCTGCATGGTAGATCAATGGATGGATAACGACGGAAAAGCAGGCACTGTGGTTGAGGCAACGATGGTCTCTGGATAGTAGCTTCAAAGGTGGTGATGATGTTAATGGCATAGCTTTTTTCACTTTATCAAATTCTTGGATTTTCATCTGGGTTCCTTTGAGAAATCTCAATTGCCTTTGATGATCACATGCCTGACTTTAGACGCATCCACTTGTAAAAACACCTCGATTTAGTGTTTTAGATTTGCCAAGAAGTTGTGTAGAAGAGATTGTTTCTTTCATCAATCATAGTTTCCACCTGAGTGACTTGACTCAAATGTAAAATCTAGCAATGTAAAATTTGGTTGATTTTGTGGACTTGTCCTGCTTCTGCTTCTTCCTCCTAATATAAATAAAGCATTCAAGTTTAGCTTCCATCGACCATTTATCCTGCAAAGAAAGCAAACAAAATCACATTCCTTGAAAGAAATTACTTCGTATTGGTGCCTATTGCAAAAGCTTTTTGATGCTGTCATATCATAAAATTGCTTTTTATGGTGTCCCCTACACAAAAAGCAGGAATGAGTCACTTGCTCTGTCATAAACAGCAGACTGCAGAGCCAGATGTCAGGGCACCCACACAAACAATACTAAAGAATGAAGGAACCAAATTCAATTGTTCATCGTTTTTGAAAGGATGAGCTCTAATTATTCATTTTCTGAATGGACTAAAAGTGCTTACTGATAAGTTAATAATGCTTCTGATAGTGTTTGACAGAAAAACTTATAAGTGATTATGAGTCACAAAAGCACTTGGATTTTTAATAAAATATTTGACATTCTTCCAATAGGAATAGGAACACTTCTTTAAAAAAACTTACAAGTGATTATGTTAATGCTTCCTGTAGAAGCATTCCCAAACCAGGCCAAGGAGTTGAAAAAGGCAGCTATCAGAACACCAAATCAAATTTGCATTGAACAGCAAGTGGTGCACACACTGATGAGGAGAAACCAGATTAATTTTTCCTAAATCCAATGGCCTTGGATCTTCTGATTTGCACAACAACAAAAAACCAAGATAAACACAATGATTGGCCTTCTTCTACATATTCCCAAAACAGATCATTCAGAAGAAAAGAGCACATAAACTTTCTGTGGATGGATCAAATCGATCTCGGAATTCACTCTAAAACAGAGGCAATCCTCCTAGTTTAAGTTCTTATATGATCAGTGAAAATAAATGTCTTTCAAAAAAATTCATCTGAGATCTTGTTCTTTTTTGGACTGTGGGAAAGACCAAAGAATACTTACAACCATTGAATCCAATACCACAAGAACTACAATTACCTTAAAAGAATCAAGCAGCTCCAGTTAAACATCGAAGTTTGATCATAATTATGCAACAACAAAAAAAGGAGAGAAAAAAAAAAGAATCAAAACGAAAACCCAATGATCTTCCATGGACATGGAGTATACAAATGATTAATCTAAAGCATCAAATGCAATCATAAACACATTAATTATGAGAATCTGTCGACACAGAATTGGACATATAAACGGACAGATCATCGGCCAACCTCAACTGAAGAAATAAATTGAATTATAAAAAAACACAGAACAATCCCAAATGCAGAGAAACAATAATCAACAAAATGGCAGGGAAAAATCACACCTGAAGAAGGAAATATAAACTGAATCTGATTTTGCAGATGAATTCTGGGAGACCCTTTCGGTTTCAGACAGCAACTACATCGTGAAGGCATTCCTGTGAATCTGCCGACGTACGTTTTTCTCATATCACACGCGATGGCTTTAAAGCCCATTTGAGCTGAATTCGTTAGCTATTTCGTTTTGGTATTCTTTGGGTTGGTTTAAAGATGAAATGGAATTCCTAATCGTCATGAAAAGAGTGTGTTTGTAACTGGGTAATAATGTTTGAGAGAGAGAGAGAGAGAGAGAAGAGAGAGAGAGAAATTAGATGGGGATGACTTTGTTTTGAAGAAATGCTATCCACTACCATTTTTGAACGATTTTGTGTTGAATTTGCATTTGAATGCCATTTTGACAAGAATACCTAAAACAAAGGTCCCCATTAGACTGGCTTTTTTTTTTTCTCTCCATGTAAGGAAATAAAGAAAAACTTGGAGATTTCTTGACACGAATAGTTATTTTCAAACGAAAAAATGTGAAATATTTTTTACATCATAGGTATTTTACATCATTGATATTGAGAGAAGGGAATTGAACGCAAAACCTCAATGTATATGGAATTATAAAAGGATCTTTTATTTAATAACTAATCTTTGTTGTCATATTGCATTTCCTAGGCACCCTTGAATAATAATCTTTAGTGAAATTGTAAGTCATGTGAACGGTTGATTATTACCATAATCACTTCAATATAATGAAATATAGTTCATTTTTTTTTTTTTTTTTTTTTTTTTTTTTTTTTTTTATTAAAAATTTTATGATTGCATTTATAATTCAGCCAAAGAAGTCATTAGTCACAAATGACTAATACAAACTAGCCAAAAAAGGGCCATTATAATAATGGATCGGTCCAAGATCAAAATTAAGACAATCTAGTATGCTTCCACTTACGATCACGCAGGATCGAAGAAACTATGGCATAGGCATCCCAACCAGGGGCGGATCTTAAGCCAGGGAGCCTACCCAAAAATATTTCACTAAAAAAAAACCTATATATAAGCTATGTAATTGATATCCATTCCATGTGTTGTTATACACTCTTGCCTACCCAATCCATATAAAACCCACAACACAAGCCCACTCAAACTTTAAAAAACTGAAGAGGAAAAAATTATAACCAGCCAGCCCATGTTATGAATGGCCCAGTCAAACTTTAATAAAAGAAAGAATATAACTTAAGCAGCCAAATAGTGGCTGTGCAGTGCAATTCCATACAGAGTCGGGAGACCTTCTTCTCAACGCAAGTCTTGGCTGTGCTGTGAAATCGTGGACACTGGACAGCCTCTTCTCTTCTCTTCTCATATACAAGGAAACAAGTATTCTTCTTAATCTCTTCTCTTTAATTATCTTCTTCTATTGGGTTATTCCATTGGGTCGAGTTTTTAAGGTAAGTTTCGCCTACCTGACTTATGAATCCTGGATCCGCCACTGATCCCAACTAAGATTGCTGACTTAGAATTAAAAAAAGAAAGATAAAGCTTGAAAAACTCAAGCCATAACAATACAAATAAAACTTTCACAAAGGAAAGATGAAAAGCTCTCGCAAAAAATATGTGAAAGGCTCTCACAAAAGGAGAGGTGAAAAGTACACAGAGAACCCAAAGAATCTCTGCAACGTATTCCAAACATAAAGAAACCACAAAAAGGATGGTAGTGGAGATCTGACACTAAAACGCAGGTGGAGATCTGACGTCGAGACGCAGTCGCTTGTGATAGTTGGATAAAATTCATAACAAAACGAAGACAAATAGGGAAAACCATTTGTCTTTGAAAATGGGGGAAGAGGTGAATGGAGGAAGAGAAGAGGGGAGATGGGAGGAAGAACAATGGCTTCATTTCCCCTCAAAGTGAAAACGGCTTTAGGAATGTTTTGTTCATCTATTTGTTTAAAAGGAGCATTTTTTCTCACCACTTTAACATAAAGTGTACCATCACCACTTCTCAACACTTGACATATGTTCATGAGCCTAACCATAGTTCTATAAATACAAACTAAGAAATTAATTATGGTTATTCATGGACACGTGTGAGGTGCTGTTGGAAATGGTGATAAGGGTACACCTTGAGTTGAAGTAGTGAGCGAAAATATTTCCTTATTTGAATGCCCAAAAAAAAAAACTACATAGTATCCAATTCTAATTTGCTTGATGAGATGACACTTGCAAAAGATCTAAATATGTTTATATTATGACAAGAAGGTCTTTAATCCAAATTGAACTCTCATTAGAACGTTATAATGCAATTAAGAGTATCTACAATCATGTTCTTTATTTTTTTTAGTTAAAATTTAATTAAAAACACACAAAAGCTATTTTAGGAGCTCTTTATATAAGGGAGTGCAGTGGACAAAAGCGGGGTAGGAAAATGAGATCCTAAAAAAATAATATAAAAAATAGTTAGCATTAATTAAAAGTGTAAAATATGCATAAAACAAAGCACCATCAAATTATAGGGAGCCATTAGGAAGAGAAAGACTTTATGAAATGGGGATAACAATATTTTGCTATCTCCGACTAATAACGTTTTGATTTGCGTGACAACACTTCCACGTGACATAATATTATTGGTCGAGGATAGCAAAATATCCCCGTTGCAACTATGTTTTGATGGCAATTTCCGATACGACTTGATACATGACTTGAAACCAACATGAAAAATTAGCAGGTCAACATGCATGATTCAATTTTTGAGTCAACTCGATGTTGACCCGTCAATAAACGGGTGGATTTCAAGTCAACCTGCCAACCCGCTAAAATACCTATGTGACCCGCCAACCCATTTCTTTGTTTCTTCTTCATTTTCTTCATTTATTTTAATTCTTATATTTCTCTTTCTCAATCTTCATACATAGAGAGATGCAAAATGTAATCATTATTTTATATATAAATAAAAAGTATAAAATGAAATTACTTTATTAAATTATCAAAATTCATGATTTTTTATTATTTATTTATTTTTTATTTCCTACCACACTTAGCGGGTCAACTCATCACGACCTGAAACCTGTACGGGAAATTAACGGGTCATCTCGTACATGGCACACTTATTAAATGAGTTGGGTTTGGTTTAAACATTCTTGATATGTATATAATCCTGACACGACATGAACCCAACACGTCATATTGCCAACCCTAATTAGGAGTCATTTCTCTCTCCTGAGATTTAAGAGCACCTAGAGGTTTTCTTATTTTAGGAGGAGGATAGGGAAGATGGTTTGAGTTGTATTTTTCCAATTCCTCCTAAAAAAATTGTCTAAATAAGTGGTTTAAAGAGCCCATTGAGGATGCTCTATCATTATAAATTATAGGTTTATTAGCTAAAGTGCCTCCAGAAACTTTGGTCAAATCCCACTTTCCCCAATGAAACTGAAAGTGACCCATATTGCCCATTTGACCGTGGTTTTATGGTTCACTTTGCCCCATGTTGTTAACTCTGTTCCAAACTACATCAAAAATGCTGACGTGACAGAGATAATTTCGTCTTTTTGTCCCAGCTGACTATTTTCTCACTAGTATGAGAGGGTGACATGGCTATTTTCCCACTAGTATAAGAAGGGTATCCCTCCTAGATTTTCTTGAATTAATTAGTGTATAGTGATTAAAAACTTTAATAATTACTGTATCATAAATAAAGTATTTTAGTTTTGGGTATGGTGAATGGATGTTGAGGTTTTTTTTTCTTTTTTCTTTTTTTGTGTGTGGTGGTAATATGTCTAGTGGGCCAAATTGGATAGGTCCATTTAATTTTATAGAGGAAAAGTCTATCTTGCCCTTTTTTGGTTAAGAGGGCACCATCGCAAGATGGACCACCGTCGATGTCTGCTGGCCAGACACGTCGATGTCTGCAGGCCAGACACGCCGCTGTCGGTCAGACCCACATCCGACACCTTTACTTAAATTAATAATTAAAAAAATATTAAACACCATGCCATTTGTAGGATTCGAAACTCCACCTCCACTATGAACAAATTATCACTTTTCCAACCAAGCTATACCACACTTTTGCTAATTTTGGATTTTTATATTACTTATAGTTTAATTTTTATTAACTAGCCCCTCAAAAATGGGATAAACTGGTCTAGTCACTGTCCGACAATGACATAAAAAGAACACTTATGTCAATGTTGGACAGTGACATTCAACAACTCTCGGGTCATTGTTCGACAGTGACATGAACCCTAAACTCTAAACTCTTATGTCACTGCCAGACACTGACTAGACTGGTTTGTCCAATTCTTGAGAGGCTGGACCATTTTAACATTTTCTCTTGGGTGAATGACATTTTTATCATTTCTGATGCACACACTGTGTTGTGGTTTCTATTATATAAGTCTAAAAATATAAATATAAGAGTACTCTTTGGTTATATGTTTATTCTTATATATGTGTTAAATGGTTTGAAATTGGATTGTGTCGCCTTCGGAAATATTGATGTCTTCGGACATCCCAGTTGCCTTTAGGGATAATGATGTCTTATGACATCCTGGATGCCTTCACAAATATAGATGTCTTAGACATCCCAGTTGCCTTCAGGAAATAAAGGTATCCTCGAACAACTCAGTTGCCTTCGAAAAATTCTATGCGCAGATGATATTGCCCCAGGAGTCTCGAGGACGCCCGAACTTTCTGGTGCTAGGATTTGCATTCTCAAGTTGAGAATATATCCCTAAGTTCTACTAGGGTTGCGTTCTCATATTGACCATTTGTCCTTGAGTTCTACTAAGATGCACCATACATATGGAGTGGACCGTTCCACATGTGTAGTACTTAGAATTGACGGATTATGTTTGGGGTACACCTATGTGGAGAACAGTGCAGTACTGATATATTTTGTACAATTAACATGATATTTTTCGCCACCCTACTCATGTTATCTCCACAGGGTTGGGCAAGATCCCCAGCCCTCTGCCCGACTTGTCTACATAGGTAGTTAGCTAGTTTCCCCCTTCCCCGATTGCCTTTGGATTTAATGATATTTCCCATATACCCCTTGGTGGATGATTACAGGACATATGCACTATGCGGACAGTTGTAGGTATGACTTTCAGGTAAAAAGGTTTGGTTACATATGTGTTTAGATGTACAATGATAAACTAACTGGACCGTTAGGTACATAATTACAAGGCATGATATTCAGTTATATAGCTTGTTGAAATCAAAGTAAAGAATTATTCTAAAATTTTATTGTTGGTTTCACCTTGAATAATATTATATTATCTGAATTGTGTTTTTGGTAGGAAGAACTATGTGTGGCTTGATCATTCGGTAAGGGTACGTAGACAATCTAGGCTAACCTAGGTGCAGCCGCAAGTTTAGGCTTTGTTTATTTTGTTCAATTGTCAAGAAGATTTTGCAGACTTTTTATGTTGTAAAAAAAGGGGGCTTGAAGCCCATTGAAACTTTTGCTAATTGGTGTGTGGTTTATACATTGTGACTGTTGAACATTTGGGAAGTAAATTGTGTTTGCTGTGCATGTAGATTTTTGGGTTTAGAGCCTTTTTCAAGGGAGACTCTACTGGTTTTTTCAATAAAAGTCAAACCCTAAAGTTGTTTTGGAATTAGGGGAAGAAGGGTATTTTTGTAATTTGGATCGACACGTGCCCTGGGTCGGATTGGGAGAGGGTCCATCACGGATTCCAAGAAGGAATTCGGGGTAGGTCCTTTCATAGAGGGTGATTGTGGGATAGGTTTAAGGGTTAGAGCTTGCAGGTGATGTTCATGGGGGAATGGGGGAAGAAGAAATCGGCGAGGAAGAGAGAAAGAGAGAGAGAGAGAGAGTTTTGTTTTTTTTTTTTTTTTTTTTTTTTTTTTTTGTTTTTTTAATTTCATTATTTTAAGCAATTTAAAATAATTTTTAAAAAAAAAACAGAAAATATGGGACCCATAGTGCCACATAGGTAACTAACAGAGAGATTTGACGAAAACCCCAAAGGCAGAACCACATTGTAACAAATTTTAAAAATCGGGGTATGTGATTGTAAAAATTAAAAAGATAGGGACAAACATGTCTTAAGAGTATAACCACAAGGTACTAAACTGTAATTAACCCTTTTTCCTTTGCTCTGCCCTTCTTTCTTTGCTGTGATTTTCTGGGGTATTTGATGTCTCTCTCTACCGACGATCCATTTTTGGATGTAGAGCTCCTCTTTATTCTACTCAAAAAATCTGCTGCGCTTTGGTTTTTCACATTTGCATTAGTATCTAAAATATTTCACTATATATTTTTTTTTCATTTCTCTCAGAGTCACGAAAATTAGTTGGAAAAAATAAAAGGAGAAGAGAGATTCTCTATTAACCCAAAAGAAAGAAAATTGAGATTCTCTAGCATTTTCTATTGCATTATTCTCAAGTAAAGTATGCATAAGTCCATACTCCAAATCCATACTCAAAGTGAGATTCTTTAACATTTCCTATTGGATTGTTTTGACGTAACCACCTTCAAGGCTTCAACTATCAGCCATGGTTCTCTTGGGGCTTGCATCAGGGATCTTTTATTTCTTCGTTGAGTTGATAAGAGTCTACTTCTCCTCTCTACCTATCTCTTTTTCTTGATGCCATAACACACACAACACATGTATATAAACAAATAGCCAGCCACATGTTTCTGTATACACAACTCCCTCCATCTTTTACTTTCAGGAGCTAGCGCATGAATCCGGACGTGAAAGCAATCTTAAATTTCTGGGTCTAGCAGCTCCCACTCAAATCTTCCAAGAGAATGTCCGAACCTCAAGGCACACCCACCAAGGTAAAGAGCTCATAATTCTGCTAGTATAAAAGTAATTTTTCTACTGGACATTTTCACCTTCACATTCTCATATAACTGCATAACAAATTTATACCGAATTTATTAAATTGCTGGTTGCAGAGCGAGGGTGAGTGTGATAGATCATCAACATCCAGTCCATTGAGGTCCAAACAAGAGCAGAAAGAACAACAGGATGGCCGAAATTCAGATTCATTGTCAATACCGAAGGATTTGCACGGCAATTATAGCGATATTTCAGGGTAAAGAGCTCATAACTTTACTAGTATAAAATTAATTATCTACTGGACATGAATATGATCGAGGAAATGTGCCCGGTGTTGATATCGTCGGACCTTTACATTAAACTATGGAAAAGCTGTTGACGCAACTCCTTACTGTAATTATGTAATAAATTTATACTGATTTTATTAAATTGCTGGTTGCAGAAAGAAAGAGATGGAGGCTCAACATTCCAGTAGTAGTCATCCATCAAAACTTAAACATTTCAGTCACAGCCATGAATTGACGTTCGAAGAAGAACGGAAAAAGAAAAACTATGATGCCGAAGTAGTTTTTTGCAATGCGTGCGAGGAGCCAGTGTTTGGCCCTAGATACAGTTGCAACACATGTGTCGACCCCAATTCCACCTTCAACCTCCATAAATCATGTGTGGAGGAGTTATCCTGCGAGATCATCGAGCACCCGATTCACTGGCACAAACTGAAATTCGAATGTAAAACAGAGCCATCCGCAGAACTTTTCACTTGTCATGCCTGCCACCAACCTTGTAGATTAGCCTACGCTTGTTCCGAATGTGATCTTGCCCTTCACCTCAAATGTGCCTCCAATTGGCGCCACATTCTTGACAGGAAAAAGCGCCACGTGCATCAATTCAGCGTCCTTCGGAAAGGAACTCCATTTGATTGTGAGGTATGCGGCCAAAGTCAGGATTCACTCCGCTACCTTTGTACCATCTGCCACCTCTTGGTCGGTAAGGAATGCACACAATCACTACCACACGCCATCAAAATTAGCTCGCACGAAGACCCTCTCATGCTCATCTGGTTCCTTGAACTGTTGCACCCGAAGGACCAAATTTGTAAAATTTGCTATACAAGCACGAACAGAAGTCGCGCTGTTTATCGATGTCGATTCTGTGATTACGTTGCCCACACTCTATGCTCCATGGACAAAATAACCGACGCCGATGATGCTTACATCCAACTTTATATAACAAGACTTCGGAGTTTCAAATTGAAATTAAGGGAGATACAGCCAAGTGAGCGAGTTGGGGAACGGGAGATCAAGCATTTCAGTCACGATCATACCTTAACCCTCAATGATGAACTTAGAGATAATGATGCAATTACTTGTAACGGTTGCATGGGGCCCATCACCATCCGTACCCGTAACTTTTATTGTTGTACACAAGATTGCCTTTTTTTTCTCCATGTAGAATGTGCTCTATTATTTAAAGAACAGCTTCACCCATTTCATCCACAAGAGCTCCAACTCCTCACAAAAGCTCATACCTTTGACGGACTGTTTAACTGTCGTATGTGCCACAGCTTGAGCCAAGGCTTCTGTTACCATTGTAAAAGATGTGACAAATACCTGGACCTCCAATGCATGTCTATTTCCAACCCTCTTCTACATGACGCTCATATACACACCCTCCACTTGAACTCTAGTTCAAGCAAGGACCATTGCGGGGGTTGTGGTATCTCTCTTGCGGATTTTCGCTTCAGTTGCTTCAAATGTAAGTTTCATTTGTGCATTCCATGTGTTAAACTACCTGCTACTGCTAGGTACAAATACCAGGATGATCCTCTCAAGCTCGCCTACGATTCCGTTGAAAATGAACTAGGTGAATATTACTGCGACATATGCGAAGGAGAACGAGATCCAACACATTGGTTCTACAAGTCCGAACATTGTGACTTTGAATGCCATCCTCATTGCATTCTAGGGCGGCATCCGCAAGTTAAGTTAGGGAGCAGTTGCAGGCTTGATGCTCACCCACACATTGTCACTTATGTTGATAAGAGAAAGAGTGCCATTCCTTCTGATAAGAGAGAGAGAATTCTTCCTTGCAACGGGTGTGGTGAACCTTGCGAAGGATTGGTGTTTGAATGTTCTGTGTGTAATAAAGATTATCACCGAAAAGAAACTTGTCTGAGTCACTACAACACAACTGCCGAGGTAATACGTCCGTGCTAAGACGGCAAGCACAAAAGGAATCTATTTGTGGCCAATATTAAATTAATATTGAAATCCGCTTCTGTACTTATAAGTTGTAACCTCAAGGAATAAATGAGACAGCGTGATTATTATTCTAATTTGGAAGCACGATTAGCTGTGCCTTTTTTAGGGTCAAAAGATTAAATGTGCTTTTGATGGTGCACGAAAAATGCTTGTGTGTCTTTACAGATAAATAATTAAATAATAATTGATTTATGGATCATTAAGCAATAGCCTTTGCAACTCTAATAGTACGATTCGTTATTGGGCCAAGTCGGGCTGTCATGGGCCTAAACGGACATGGCTTTTTAACAATTTTTTTTTCTAAGTTTTTAAATCTTTTGTTATACATTATCAAAAGTGATGGATAAAGAGTCTTCTCTTTTAAAAAAAAATAGTATAGATACTACATAACTTAAGAAAAGAAAAATATAATAGCCAAACTCTTTTACTAAATCTAGACCATTAGCCAGTATATTTATTAAAAAAATATTATACCTAAGAATGAATCTTATGAAAATGTGTTACTTCTATCTCAAACTAGGATTGACATCATGAAAATTAAAGCAATTTGTGCCATTAGAATTAATAAAACCAAAATAAGCTTTCAAATTCTTTATTGAACCATTAAATTTGAACTTAACAAAAAAGGGGCACTAAAAGATATATATTGCTTGTTTGTTAAAAAATTTAGAAAACATTGAAAAAATTAATTTATGTTATAACATGTGTAAACAAAATAAGAATTTTATTAGTTTATCATACATATTACATTATTTGATTAAGTATAAAAATGAGGTTATGAAGTGCATTAATTAAATCTTTTAAAAAAGAAGGGTATAAGTGCCTAGGCCAGGTTGTGGATGGGTTAAGGGTTTCAAATCCTAAGCCCAAGCCTTATCCAACCTTAGAGCAGGTCAGCCAAGCGGGCCTAACCATCGGACAGGGCCAAGCCAAGCTTTGGCCCATTGAGCTTTGGGGCTACCCACTTCGACCTGCGAGTCGCGGACGAAATGATGATCCCTATCTAATAGTCTAGACAAACACACATAAGCATTTTTAATTCTAATTAAAACCTAATTTTAAAAATGGATGTTGTGTAAATAAAATTTGGGACCCTAAATATGTTATGTTGCTTAGAAAATATTTTTAAAAATTTGGAAACTTATTTGGATTATTGTTATTTGTCGTTAATTAGAAGAATTCAAGAAAATATTTATAATTTTCTTGATAAATAATGGTGATCATTACCCAAATTGAAAGTAGATTTTGATATCAAAAAAATAGAAAGAAAAACAAGTTGAAGGTACAATTGATTACGAGTTCGGAGTATTTTTCGACGAACTTTTCAAAGCCCATATGTATGCTTAATGAATTTTGGAAGTTGGACCAGAATAAAGAAAGGCAAGAACCGGCCTGTGGATAAAACCTCATAAGTCGCTGGCTGCTTCTGTCTTCCTCGCACAACTTGAAATTTCAAAACTTTTGAAATTCATAAGTTTTGTTCTAGAACTCCAAATCATGAACTGTTTTCGCCTACATGATCGTGAGAACGAGCTCTGCGACTTAAAGAAAATTATTCTTTATTTTTTATTATTTTTATTTACATATTTCAGGTTATCCCCAAATTTAAATTAATTTAAATTAAGCTCCAATCTTTTTATGGGGGGTTGGTTTTTGAAGATTTTTAGAAATTTTAATAAAGATGTCAGGCCATGTGGTAGCTAAGTAGGGAGGATAACTGACCACATCAGCATTCTAGTGGGAATCGTTTAGTATGGGGCCCACTGGATGGATCCACGTCAGCTTTTAACGGAGGTCCTAACGGATTAACTAACGAATGTATGAGATTGGTACGGGATTAAACGTAATAGATGCGACTGAGACCAAAAAAACTTATTGTATGTGACTCTAAAACACGGACAACTTTGTAGTAGTGAACTGATAATTACCCTAAGAGATAACTATGAAGAAGAGATGAAGATGGAGAGAGAGGAAGATAATCCAACGGGTCATGGGTTTTTTTAAAACATGCTTCTCCGTGAAACCTAATTGGAACGAACTTATAATCTCAACTGTCCAAGTTTATTCAACGGTCTAGATACAAGTTTGCGCCTAATGTTTGCATATAGTTATGTAAGGATTATGCTATCATTATATTTTGGCTCTTCTCTTAAACCAACAAAATCATTGTAATAATACTTAGGGCTCGTTTGGGAGTGATTTTGGATATACCATAATCACTTCTGGGGAGAAGCGTCTCTCATGTTCTTCTCCATATAATTACTTTAAGTGATTTTAAGTGATTCTGGGAAGAAGCACCTCCCACATATTTCTCCATAAAATAACTTAAAACTACTTAAAATGATTATATAGAGAAGTGATTCTCCTTTCGACCAAAAAAAATAGAGAAGTGATTCTCTATATAAATGTTTTTTAACCTATCCAAAATTACTCCCGAACAAGCCCTTAGATTCTAGGTTAGAATCAGTATAGGTTGAAGGGCTTCCAGTCTCCTCCTTGCAGTTCAAAAGGTAAAATCATATGCATCAATCACTTGGATTAATACATTCACACTTGTATTGATATGCCGCGTACATCGTGACATAAAAACTAGGGCAACAACCGCATCGTGAAGGCAGTCCTATGAATATGCCACGTACGTTCTTCTCATATCAAAGGTGATGGCTTTAAAGCCCATTTGAGCTGAAAACGTTAGCTATTTCATTTGGTATTCTTTGGGTTGGTTTAAAGATGAAAGGGAATTTTAGTTGAAAATGACCTTGACTTGTATACAAGAGGCCTCATGTTCGAACCCACATGACATCTTGGTTGTGTGTGTGAGAAACCTCTTTCTCTTGTAGTTTATATTATTGCTTATACTATTTTTTTTTAATAAAAAAAGGATGAACGGGAATTCCTAGTTGTCTTTTAATAATAAAAAAAAAGGATGAACGGGAATTCCTAGTTGTCATGAAAAGAGTGTTTGTAACTGGCTAATAATGGGAGAGAGAGAGAGAGGTTAGGTGATGACTTTGTTTTGAAGAAATACTATCCACTACGATTTTTGAAGGATTTTGTGTTGATTTTGCATTTGAATGGCATTTTTACAAGGATGCCTAGAATAAGGGTTCCCCATTAGACTGGCTGCTTTTTTCTTTTTCTTTTTTTTCCATGTAAGGAAGTAAATAAAAACTTAGAGACTTGTTGACGGGTAGGTCCCTAATCCTTGTTGAACTCTGATTAGAACCCTACAATGCAATTAAGTATCGTTATGTATACTCCCATCATAAAAAGAAAAAATAAATAAACTCTTACGACAAAATAACCATATCTATTACTATAGCACAGGCAGATTACCAAAACAACCACTCCCTTGCCACCCTGTTCAGACAACCATTTATCTCCTTTGATTTTCTTACAATGTCATCCGTCTCTTGCTTCGGTTTCATTAGCCTCTCTGTCTAGTTCGCTTAGCCGGACCAGCTGTTACTGGTGCGGCTGCCCTTTTTGAGGGCCGTCCCACACTCCTTTTCGTGGGACTTCCTTGCTCTTTTGCAGCTTGTCTCCCACCAGAACCTCTGCGCGAACCTTGATCTTTTTGTGCATTTCCCTTGCCATTTCCATTCTTCCTCTGCTCTGCTCTTCCTCCTTTGCTGTTATTGTCTGGGGTCTTTGATGTCTCTGCCGATAATCCAGTTTTGGTTGTGGAGCTCCTCTTCATTCTACTCAAAAAATCTGCGGCGCTTCGCTTTTTCCCACTTGAATTAGTGTTGCTCTTCTTTTCCGTCTCAGCTTTGGACTCTGAGTTCTCATTGCTAGTCACTACTCTGCTTGAAAACCCGTCATTGGCTTCTGAATTCCTGTCGTTGTTAGTATTACCACGGCTCCTGCCATTTTTGCTCGAGTTGTTTCTTGAACTGCTCCTGAGTCTTTCTTTTCTTCTCTTCTTGGTGACGTGAAGTTTCTCAACTTCATCCGAGGATTCTTCTTTTTGCTTCCAACTTATAGCTGGCTTGACATCACGGAATGAGGTGGTGATTTGCTCTTTTTTTCTGTCTGGTCCAGAAGAAGATGTTGTGGATGCTCTTGCAGTAATTGAGCTGCGCTTGCGACAAGCATTCAGTGGAAGTGAAAGTTTTGATTTTGCTAGCAATGAATCCGACGTTTCAGGATCCTGGTTCAGAGGTGGAGCTAGCGGTTTCGGAGTTTCTTCTTTAGGTGGCGGATCTTGTTTAGGAGCCTGAAGAACCATTTCCTTTGAAACTAGTAACTGAAGCTCGCACGCAGCCTTGTATTCTGGAGACTTTTTCCCAAAGAAGACTATGGCATTGTTACAAATAAGCAACAGATCTCGAAAAAACAAGAATCTGCTGCAGGGTTCGTACCGACCTCCTTCAAGTCTGGTTTGCACCAATTCAAAATCTACGTGTTGCCGAATCATGTTTTTATAAATGGGGGTCTCCTGCAAGATTAGAGAACCATGAATCACACTGTTATTTATTCTGCACAAGGAACCAAAGCTATTAAAGATATGATGACACGTTTATGCAAAGAATAATAAGGTCATCGCAACTCAAGAATTTGACATTTTAGAAATCCAATTACCAATTAGCTAGATATGAGACTAGAATCAAATTTTCACAAAAGTACTTTTGGGTTAACATTCATGCCAAGCTGGTGTTGTCTTTTTTGATTTATTTCCCTGCAGTTTCTGAGTTGAAAGCGCAATTTTGGGCCCATGAGCTTTGGCTTGAATGGCATAAGCATGAAGGGGGGAAATGGTAAATCTAGGTTCACATCTTGCCATAAGTTGAAAAAGAAAAGGGAACAGCCAATTATCACCAAGCAGATTTTACCCCAATAGAGCAACCAAATCTCATGTCACTACTAACTTTGATGAGGGAAACAACAAAAAAAGAGATTCCTGCAACAAGGAAATGGTGGGGCCAACCACTTTTGTATGGTCAAATTGCACCTACGAGAGTTGGTATAGCCTTATTGGCCAAGGATAGAATGCAAACTCAGAAAGTAGCACGAGAAAGAAAAAGTATCCCTTTCAAATAATAATAAAAATCTAAAGTTATTCACCATCTGTAAACATGGTAGCATCCTCAATTAGCAAATCCAAAAAAACAACCACCACGCAAAAGATGAAGGATGACAAAGATGAATAATTTTTTTAATTAGATGAATCTGCCAAATAAAGTTATATTTTTTCGCATTGCCTAGTTATTAGTTTCTCCGATTTATTGGAAGAAGTTCTAAATTCGAATTCCTCTTCCTTCACCTTGACATGATGTGGTACGCAAAGCTTATCAACCATAATAATATAGATTCTTTTTTCTTTTTTCTTTCTTTTTTCAACAGAACAAGAAATTAAAAATTAAAAACCAATAGTCTATTGAGACTGACTATAAAATAAAAGGAAATATCTAATCGACAAATCGAGTAGGCACATAAAGACCTATCCACCCAATTCACATAAATACTTCCAACAAGGTACCAACTAGTCCTTTTCAGTCGAATTTTTAATACACTTACTAATATGCACCATCACGTACAATATAACCGCTCTCAAATAGGGCAAAAGAACAACATAACGTCACAGCCATTAAACCCGCAGTGACATGTCGCTACCTTATTGGACAGCGACCTCCGACCTAAAGACGTCGCCGTTTACTTTATGAAAACAATATTAATTTTCTTTTCAATTAAATAAATAAATAAATAATAAGCGAACCTGGGAATGAAGCCGGCGCTCGAAAAAGGAGGCAAACTTATGAGACCGGAGGATCCCGAGGAATTCAGCCAACGGCTGAGATTCAACGGGGACCCCCTTCATGGCGGGAGATTCATCCTCTTGGTCCGGTTCAGATGGTTCTTCCGGTCTGTCCGGACCGCCCGGTCCACCCGGTTTCGGTTCCTGCCCTAGTTTTCTCGACAAACTCGCCGAGCTCTGCACCTCACTGTTACTCGGACTCTCCTTCGTCCCCTCCTCCTCCTCCCTTCCTTTCGACTCGGCCACCGATTCCTTCAACTCGCCGGAGTTCCCCTTCTCCGCCTCCACAACCGCCGTTTCCTTCACCACCGAATCGGAGCTTCCGTTACACGAATCCTCCACCACCGGATTATCCAACTTCTCCACCGGTTCAATCTCCTCACCGGCCGGTTCAGTCTGTCCGGAGCCTTTATCCGCATCGGCGACTTCGGTTTCGGGAATCTCGTGTTTCGGATCTGTCGTGTTTGATTCGTTACACGACCGGTCGTCATGCTCGGAGACTTCGCCGGAGATACCTCTCTTCTCCGGCGAATTGTCTTCCGGTTCGGCGTCTCTGTGTTCGATCTCTTCCTCTCCAGTCTTCTCTAGATCCGATTTTTCAACCGGTTTTTCGGTCTCTCTCAAACTCTGTTCGCGAACCTCCTTTAATCTCTCCACCTTCAACTGCAGAGACCTACACGATTATATCACACAAATAATTGAATTTAATATCTTTATTATAATAAAAAATTCAAATCGCTATCGTGATGGATTTAGATTTCTACACGATGGAATGGTCGTAGCGTTGGAGTTCACGTCGGAGTTCATCGAGACGGCGTTGTCGTAACTGGTCTAACCAAGGAGTAGGGGGAGTATCGTCGTCTTTGCCGGAAGCGGAGTCGTTTTGAGTGAAACGACGTCGGAGGTCGTGGAACTTGCGTTTACATGCGTGCGGGGTGAGAAGATGGAGATTGGAACTGCGTTTGCGGAGTTCGGTGGCGACGGCGTCCCAGCTCTGCGTGCCGAAGCGGTGGACGGCGCAGGCGAGGAGGAGCTCCTCCCACGTGCCCCATGATGGCGTTTGTTTCTCGGGAAAATTGGGTTTATCCATCAAGAAAATCATGTAGTCACTCAGTCCATTGTCACAACTTCCCTCTGCAACAACTGATCCAACGTTCACATTAACATGTTTGATTGAATTTTGGAATTTCTTCTCTTTGGCCTTTTTTGCCTGGGCTTGGGTTTTTTTTTTTTTTTTTTTTTTTTTTTTTTTTTTTTTTTTCTTTCCTCCTCCTTTCCTTTTTTTTTTGTTTTTATTTTAATTTTAATTTTAAGTTTGTTGTGTTAGGAATAGGCACTCATCTCGAGCATGGGGACTTTTGCCTTTGTCGGCCAAAATTACTATTTTGTCACGTATTTGTTTTGTTATTGTATTTTATTTAAATTACTCTTTTGCCCTCATAAATTGAAAATATCAATTTTGAAATATGCGAGTGACTGTTGGCCGACGTGTACCATCCAAGCGACTAGATTTATTCGTACGATCAGGATTATGAAACCCAACAAATCTGTCGTGGATGTGACTGGCTCCAAAGGTCCATAAGCCACACGCACGCACATAACATAACACTTGGGTTTGGGCACTTGGCCACAATGCCCTCCTATATTCCTACTAGTACTTTCTAGTGGCCCAATATACATTTGTTTTTCCAATAGAAGCGATAATTAAGGAAGGGGAGAATTTTACCTAAAATATCGGATGAAGAAATAAATGCTCCCAATGTATACTTTTTTGCGTTAGTCGGAAAAGTTGGATACCAAGTAAAAGAAAGAGTCACGCATGCAGGCAATTTATCACTTCACACAACTCGTGAACATAATTGCCACATTAATTATCAAGTTAAATTCATTATTTTTCGGAGATACGCTCAAAAACCTTACATCCACATAATACAACTATTGTACATGTTTTTTTTTAATAATTATTTTTTAAAATTCAATAGCCAAAGTGTCATCATTCTTATTAGGGGTAGCATTTTAGACCGAAAATTTGAAAAACCACAAAAACGAACCTACAATTTACATCAATGGAACCGCAATCGCGGGAAACCGAACCGCATTTGAGGTTGCAGTTGCGGTATTTGATTTTCAAAACTTGCAGTTACAGCAAACCGCGACTATATTTATTTTTTATTTTTAAATTTGCATTTTGTAGATATGATTGGTGCTCAAACAACAATGGGGTCCTTCAAATTCACTCACCACCACCAACACTTGAGTTTGTAACTTTAATTTGTAGCATTGGTGCATTGCATTTTCCTTTTAGTTTGTAACTTTAATTAACTTTGAATTGGATTTTTCATTTGGGTTGTAACTTTAATTCATTTTACATTGCATTTTCCTATTGGTTTGTAACTTTAAAGGATTTGGAATTAGAATGCTTAAGAAGTAGAGGTTGTAAATGCTTGATAAGTTTAACTTTAATTGGAATTGGAACTGTAACTTTAATTTTTTGTAGGTTGTGAATGCTTAAGAAGTTGAGGAGGTTGTGAATTTATATATGTTTGAGAAATTGAGGTTGTGAATTTATATTTTTGGGTTAAAATATGCTTGAAATCAAAAGGCTTAAAAAAAAACATCAAAATTAGGGCCTAAAATGTGGAAGATTTGATTTTTATAATACAAAAAGAACTTGCAGTTTTAAACCGCTAATTCACAGTAACCGACCGTTTTTTGCAGTTTACCGATCGGTTTGCGATTTCAAAAATCACCTTACCGCAAATAGTCGGTCGGTTTGCGATTTGGGCAAAAATTAGCAATTACCGAACCACAACCACCCCTAATTCTTATTATGGTACAGTTGAATCAACTTCTTAATTCAAAATTCATTCCTAAGTGTCACCATTCTTATAATTTTATTCAGCAATTTTTACACCACCCACAAAACAAATCATTAACAAAATACCTAACAAATACCAAAATAAATAAAACAAACTATATAACTTCATAGCTCTGCCACCATCAGTGATTGAGTGCCTTCTTCAATTCCTCACTCACATCACCCTCCGACGACCTCTTCTCGCTGTTTGACCGCCAGTCAACTTTCCCGCCAGAATTCCTGCCCCCAATATTGCCTGAATTTGAAATCGACTTTGTGGCGCCGGCGATTTCCTGCCGGAGATCCTCCACAGCCTTTCTCAGCAACCCGTTCTCGCTCTGCAAAGCCTCCAGCTGACGCTTCACCGTGAAGCAAGCCTCCGCCACGTCGGCATTTCCCGGAAATGTCAATCCCTTTTCCACCTCTGCTGCCTTCGTGGTTTTAGCCTTCGAATCTGCAACGTCCACGTGTTCGATCCCGATCTTGTTCATCACCAGGAACGGGATCTTCTGAAACGCAATCCCCGCCGTCGGATTAGCCCCAGTACTCTTCATCTCCGCCGGCACCCTAACCCCCCACCGCAAGCTCACCACCCCCCGGTTCCTCACCGGCATCGACGTTCTCGCCGCCATTTCCATGCCGGAAAACACACCGGCTAGAATTCCGGTCGCTTGATTTTCCGAGGGCAAAACCGTGATTTTCTTCCCCATAAAAGCGGTATCCACTGCTGGTGTCTCCGCCGAAACGACGCCGTCATCAGGACCTACGATTTTTTGAAAGACAGAGGACTGCGACTTCTTGATCGAGAAGTCTCCGAACTGAGGCTTGAAGTGGAGCATGAAGCTAGGGTTTTTCCCGCTGCCGAGCAGATTGAACTCGGCGCTCATGAGCATGGAACTGGAGATAGGCGAGCCGAAGGGACCGGTCCCAGTCTTGACGACGAGGGAGAAGGGGTTGGACGTGTCATTGGGGCGGTAACCGACCCGGATGGAGGGTCCGGATTCGAAGAAGGTGCCGAGATTGAGAGTGAGCTCCTTAGACTCGCCGGCAACGATTCCAGATTGAAAGGGCAGGCCCAATATGCTGAGGGGCACCTTGGCCCTCAACAATGGCTTCTGATCCTCGCGGAATTTGACCGAAGCTTTCATTTCTGGTTTTGCAGAAAACCCTAATTGTGAATTTTGGGGGGGGACGAAATTTATATCAATTTTGTCTCTTGGGAGTTACAGTGAAATGAGTTTTGGCTGGATTTGAGCTTGGCGTGTGAGTTGGCATCTGCGTCTTCGCTCTTGGGTGTGTCCGTCAAAATTTAGCCCTCGTGTTTTGATGAAATTACAAATCTCGTAGTCTGAGGATGCTGTAATATTTAGAACTGTTCGGGGCATATGTGTGCCTGCTAATGGGTCAGGGGGGTGGTGCGGCCACACGTGGCAAGAAGGAATTTTTAAATTTCGGAAGTCTAAAATTAATGAATTTTTGAAATTTAAAATTTGTGGAAATAATTCCGCTGAGTGGCTAGCTAGGACCGTTGCGCGCGGATTGGGTTGCCTAATGCTCGCTGCTAGTATATTCAAATTGAATCGTGCGTTACCCAAAAACTAAAATTTGAATCGTGAATTCATGATATTATTGCTTTAAGAATTTGTATTTCCATCTCTAAGGTGGAGTCTCCATTCGTGATTCCAGCCTCCAGATAGTCTAGTGAGAAAGAGATGGGGGAACAATGAATGAGAATCATGATAGGTATATAGTTCAATTTCCCCTAATATAACAAATAAAAATTAATTGTGAAATAGGTGGAACTACCCTAACTATTAGGCCATTTTTAAGTTCATTCAACCATTTAGCATTTTCAAACTCATATACAAACTCGTAAACAATCTACATGTTGTACCCCCTCCTCCCTCATTGATGACACTGGCAAAAACAGTCCATAACTTCTCAACATGAAAAGAAGATTACTTGTTCGAGGAGCCAAAAAATTTCGCTCCAACATATACAGAGTTGAATATTATGATATTGACATATATGGAGATGCAATCTTGCAAACGAAGCTAAACTAAGCAAATACTTGTCTTGCGTATTGCTTTAAATCATATCCATGCCATAATAAGTAAATAAAATCCATTTAATTAGGCCCAAACTGATGAAACCGACCAACGCAACCCGATCATAATAGGGTTTGGTTGGTCTGGGTTGACCTAATAATGAGCCCTTTTTTGACCCAATAAATCATACACGGCTATGTATATGTTAGGTAACGGGTTGGGACCAAAACCGAACTAATCCAACTTGTGCCCATCCCCTAATATTGACAATGTAGATCCCACATTTTATGCTTACTTGGACTGTCAATAACTCATGAGTGTCTCCGACTCCATTCATTTGCTCGTCGTGGATCAGTTCGAATTGTGCTCCAATCTATTTTAACTAGGTTTCAATGTCTTCGTCTTGTCCCAACTCATGTGCAATTTATGTTTTCTGTGGGTGGACATGTCTTGGCGGTGGGATGATTTAGGACAAACTATGGGTAAATTCTTATGGAGGAAAATAAAGAAAATCTTTTGGTTCAAAATTGGCAAGAACGCACACAATAAGAAAGAATCACACTAGATATCATTTATGGCCTTAAAAGGGGAAGAAAGATGTATCATTAGATTTTTTGATTGGTTGAGCAAGTTTGAAGTAAGTATGGATTGTGACAAGGAAAATTTTTTATTTTTTTATTTTTTTAGAGGAATGTAATAGATTGTATTCATAATTCATGCCTAAGGGCGAATACAAATACAAATAACCATATAGTTAATACAAATACGGAAGCACAATAACCACAAATGGTTAATCCAAATACAGAGGAATCCACTGACAACAACAAGCCAACAAGGTGTACCTCCACTCATAGGGCCAAAGAAATTCCAACATAAAAGCAACTAATCTGGAAAAACCAGGAAAATACCTTATTGCACAAAACTACAAAAGTAACTACAACCTTTAAGATCTAATAAGATTTGTTATTTTTATTGATATTATGATTTGATTGGTTTCTTGGTAGTTAAGTTTAAGAATAATTTGGAATCTTTAAGGTGGATTCCAGTTTATCAACTTTTAGGGTTAACATTTGTTTTCTCTTTATCTTATTATCGTGCTTTCGTACTGCGTCACGAGTCAGTGGAACGATGACCTTCAACGTAGGTGGTTGTAAGTTGGGGTGGGGGTGAGGGAAAAGGGTGATTGGTTCGAGTTGGGCGTGCAAGTTTTGTTGTGAGAGGAGGGGTCGTATGGAAAGAGAGAGAGAGAGACATGGAGTTTCTTTTTTCTTTTTCTTTTTTCAATTGTTTCTTATTTTGTAAAATTTTATCCACATAAGCATTAACCGACTAACTTATAAGATTAGGCAATTAAAGAGATTAAAATTTGTAGGTTTATACAAATTCTTAGCCGTTTGGTTTAAGGTTTAATAGCTTGGGAATGTGTATGAAATTGCATTTCCATGTTGATAAGTGTATTCTTGGGGGATCCAGATCCTCTGCTCTGATTTTCTCTGCCATGATCTGCTTTACTTTTGTTCTCCACACGCCACCTCATTAAAATTTAATCTAAGGGACTTAAAAGCTGACACATCATTCTTCAAGCAAAAAATTACTCCTAAAGAAAAACAATACCCTAACCCAACTAACATCAAACATAACATCTTCTCCCTTTTTTTTTCCTACCTTCTTATTTGCACATCTTCTTCCTGCCTTTGCCCCCAAAATCTTATCTCTCACCAAGCTTTCGTTTCTCCAAAAATTTTGTAGCCTTCTCTTTCCTCCATCAAAATAATATATATATATATATATATCTTTCAGTAGCCATTGATTCGAGAAAATAACCATAACTCATCAGTCAATAGACCTTACAAAACAATCCCAATATCCAAGTCTTGGAACCTAAGTCTTCTTTTATCCAGAGGAAAACAGCGAAGGAATTTTTTTTCTTCAACCACCCACGTCACATCAAAGGATATGGGGAAATAAGTTTGCTTTTTGTTCTTTTGATAGATGGGAACATGACCAATGGGATTTCCACCATGGATATGTACGTAAGATCCCATCTTGCCACGCCTTTAAGCATAACGAAGAAGAATGAAGAAAACGAAGACTTCTACACACAGAAAGAAAAGAAAAGAAAAATCAATTTTACATAATAGTTGAGAGATTTTTTCTTTATGGATCTGCCTTGTCCATATAGGTCATTCCATTGGAGGAGCTCCTTCATATTTGTCGACTCTGAAGACACACTTGAGCGTACCTGATGGCATTGAGTTCAATATTAACAATATTAAACAACCAGAGGTCCACCACTAAACTCATGGGTATTGTTAAAAAACTAAACAAATTTTCAATCTTAATACTCATAAACCAAATATGGGAATAAACATCTTCCATACCCATCACGTGTGATTATGCATGGGAATTTCATTCCCAAGAAGTTCATCCACGACCCAAATGGCAAAGCCCTTCTTCATGTATGAGTTTGAAAATATTGAACATTTCCACCGCACTTCAAGATGGCCTAATAATAGGTGTAATTTGATGTAATAACTATAAAATTACACAACTTACTATTCTATTATAGTAGTAAAAAATTTTTAACTTAACAATCACTTTTCAATTGTAATCTTAAATTGCCCTTTAAATTTATTTTTCAAATGATAAATTGTAATTAACTTTGATAAATGTGGAGGGAAATTGCAATGAATTTGGTTTGGTAACTAAAAATAGTTTTCTTTTTCCTATATTGTTACTACTTCCATATATAGATACACACACACAACAATATCGAATGTATCATTATGTATAGCAAAGCTCAATTATTCTATCATGTATAGTCAATGAGATTTGAACTCGAGACTCCTTCAACAAAGTATATGCTATCATTAGGCCAAACATTCCTAAGTGACCGAAACGATATTTGACCCAAGAAATCACCCACATAGGGAATGGAATTCTCCTTTTAAAGAAACAATAATTTTTCCTTCCTAATTTTCAATTGTCATTTTAAGTAATTAATATATATAATTGCAATTAGATGTTTTTTGGTTCTTTTTTCATAAACAACCACTCTATACTTTAGGTTGTAATATAAGTTTGCCAACAAGATCTAACATAATGGAAAAAGATCTTGACTTGCAAACTATTGGTCTTTGGTTCGAACTCTCATGACACCTTGATAGTCCAGTGGTCTCACGTTCGAATTGTCATGGTACTTGAGTAGTGTGCGTGTGAGAAACATCATCTCTCTTGTGGGTTAGACTGTCGCTTGTATTATATATAAAAAGTTGTAATTTAAGTTTTATTTTTCCTACGAACAAAAGAAATGATAAAACTTCGACCTATACCTTACGCAGGAAGATTCCCATATAGCTTGCACAAGAATTTAAAGATGAAAGAAATCTGAACCGTCCATCGTGTTGACTAACGCGCGCAGTTGTAATAAATCCGCTTCGAAATCAGAAAATCAAACAAAGCCCAACAGCCGCGTAAAACAGAGGAAACAGAGACGAAGAGGGAAAACAACTCTTCAAATTCCGATGCTTTAGGGTTTTTCAACTTTTTATATTAAATTTTCAGAACAATTTTCGAACTTGTATATTGTGCTATACGATTCGTTGGGGTTTCACCACAGAAAGTAACCTTCTGAATACATTGAATTTTCCATGGTTCTATTTAACCGGGAAAGAAACTCAGAAAATACTTGCTTTCCCTGATTTTTGCTTGGTCTCGAAATTTTCCCGGGAAAGTTACAGAGAAAGTTGAAGTAGTTGATTCAAGGGATGATGGAACGTGAATTGGCCGGTAGCAGTAGCCGTGGAAGAGATAAAATGGAGCGGCCGCAAGCCGTGGCTGACCGTAGAGCTCTCCGATCACGCTATTTTACTGTGAAGACCCTCATTCACGGTATCTACTTATCAATCTCTCACTTTTCATATTTTTTGATTTATTTGTGTGCTCTTTTGTGCGGTTTATGTGTTTGATATTGGGTTGCAGAGTTGTTTGTAACTTTTTCTTCTCTAAATTCTGGTTTGGAATTTGTTGCTCTCTGGTTGCTGAGAGAATCCATCGTGCTATGTGTTTTTTCCCCCGCATTGTTTTGTTTCCATAAAAAAAAAGCAGTTTAATTTGATTGGTGTTCAAGTGGTGAAATTATAGGAAACCATATGGTTTTAAATGTTTGTATTGAAGTTCAAGTAGTGAAATTACCCTTTTTTTGATCTTGAGCTTCTAGATTTAAAGACTGTTTGTTTATCTATATTTCCTTATATCTAGACCAAATAATAATCTAACGACTTAAAACATACACGTTAAATATAGCTTAGAGTTTAGTTTCTATTTTTTTATTTACTCTCTTTCTCATCATCTTCTCCCTATCTTCCCGTGCACTCCTCCTTTATTATTTTATTTCCTCACAACTTATTTCGTATTGATTGAGGAATTATGACGCTAATTCCCCATTGACAAGAAAGATTTTTGAGGAAGGAAGAAGTGAAAAATAAATAAGGAAGAGATGGAGGAGCTGATAGGGTGGGTGGGATTGAGATAGAAGTCGGCTAACATTAGTTAGTTTAGAAAAATATTTATACACTATATTAATTGACGTGTCATGTCATAACTCGTGAGATTATTAAAATAGCTTAGATATAGTTAAATGCAGATAAATGCATAATCTAAAAATATATCGGGATCCCTAGCCTTTTTCTTATGTCACTTAAACATATATGAATTAGAGGACATTACAAAAATGGATGTGTTTGTTGTTTGGTTTCAGGGTTGTTTATTTTTCGAGCATCATCTCCAAGGGGGATAGCAAATGTTTTCTTTAAAAGTGTCCTTTTTTAACCTATGTGGCACTTTGATACTAAAATTTGCTACCTCAAAACTTTTTCCCTCCAACCCATCCTCCAAATATGTTAGGATGAATAAATAAACAATACTTTTGATTAAAATATGTTGTGAGACCCAATTTGCTATGGTTAACTCACATGTTATATTAAGATATGAGTTGCTACTTCCATTGGAGGGGCTTTTATCCTATTTGGCCTATCAAATCAACATTGCTACCCCATATACTAATTCCATTGGAGATGCTCTGTCTCTATAATTGAGTTTTGGATTGTTATTCTTCTTGGGGTTAATCTTCATGTTATGTGCTTTATTTTTTTTCTCTCCCACAGAAGTAAGTAGTTTAGGGAGGTGGATTAGTCTGTAAAGACACAAATAAAGCTAGTTTAATTTTCTTGGAGTGTAAGGAAACTGTGGGAAACCTATGGTTAAATTTTTGTATTCTTTCTTTCTAATTATCTCTTTTTCTTGTGTCACTGATATGGATACGAAGATGAAAGAGATGACATTACAAAAGTGGATTCCAACAAGTTTAATTCGATCATTAATGAAGTGGATAGCTTGCATGAGCTGGGTAATTTCCCTTTTCTTATCATAGATTTCTCTTAAACTAAGAAATTTACATTTGGGATGAAGGCTTAATTGATTGGTTTGCAATGAATTTCAGTACAAAATCCAAGAGAGCAAGTTGCTGATGCAGAGGCGCTTTTGGACATTGCAAACACCTTGATGACCTCTGTGAAGGCGCAGAACAAGGAAGGAATCACAGCTACAGATTTTGTCTCCTGTATTCTTAGAGACTTTGGGCAACAAAGTGGGCTGAGAAGTAACAGAGAAGGGGTTAGCTGCTCAATATCTTGGAAGGATATTGGGACTGAAGTCTCAAATGTTTTCCAGAGAAGCCCCCAATGCTGCACTATGTAATGATAGCTCTGAAGATCAATTTTTTTATATGTTCCTTCGGTTTCGATTTCTTTAAATAATTATATGGTTTGCTCTTCCTTCAGGATTGGGCCTATGAATGCTGAAGTAAAGCAACGGAAGGCTTACGTTCATACGAAACGTGTGAAGCCTGCAGAAAATGATACCCCAGAAGAGGTAAGGGTGGTTTTTGGCTTAGGGTATCTTCTGTTTTCTCATGAAACACTGAGCAGTTACCTAAAACTCACTTTAACTTTATGCAGCTTGATAATGTTGCTGTAGAAGAGGAACCTGAGACGGTTAAGAATGTGGCAGCAATGTTTAATATCTTGAGGAAAAACAGAAGAGTCAGGCTTGAAAATCTAGTCCTGAATGGGAATTCTTTTGCGCAGACGGTGGAAAATTTATTTGCCCTCTCATTTCTGGTTAAAGATGGGCGGGCTGAAATAAAAATTAATGAAGAAGGCCATCATCTAGTTTGTAAGATCCCTTGCATTTGCTCACTTTCTTATTTGACTGAGGACCTCTTCTCTCTATTTGGTGTTATTATATAGTTTTGTGTTTGGTGTTTCAGCTCCAAGGAATGCTCCTGCTGCCAAAGCAATTACCTCAGGGGAGGTTGCTTACTGCCATTTCGTCTTCAGATTTGATTTCAAGGACTGGAAGGTACTTTAAGATTTTATTGATTGAATATTTATTGTAGCTTATCCATTGAATGATTTTCCAAATGGTGCATTTGTGGAATTTGCAGTTGATGAAAGAGTCTGTTGGGGATGGAGAGCAGCTGATGCCACACCGGCGTCAAGAAAACATATCAAGCAATTCTCAATTCGATCCGCAATGTGCAGAATCTGAAGCAACCACAGCTAAAACACCAATTAGGAAGTTATCCAGAAACAGAGGCTTGGTTTTACAGCAGCGGCCCGTTGGGGGATGCGGCACGGCTGATAGTAATCAATCAGTTGTAGAAGACTCGCCGGTATGTGATTACTCTGAAGATAGAGCTGCTGCCATCCGAAAAGGGAAGCGTAAACTGATGTGAAGTATTTACTAAGGGACGGATGAAGTATACAAATTTTTGAGACACTTAGGACTTTTGCTTTATAAGTAAACCAACTAGCAGTCATTTAGCTCTCTGTATGTCAGATGCATTGCTTGGGTTTCACACATAAGACTATGCCTTCACCTTCCACCTCTTGGCCCCTTTGGCTATTTGATACTGGAAGTGGATGGTTCTTGTATCTTATACTTTCTTTTGAGAGAACCTTTTAGTTTTGGGAGTTTCACTAAAACACCCAAAATGGGGGCTGAAATTATAAAAAAACCCAACACCCAAAACACTTTATAAACACACCTACAACCCATCATTACACACACTCAAAACCCATTTATAAACACACCCAAAAAATATACAATTGTTGATTTTGGGTGTGTTTCTATGTTTAAATAGTGCTTGGGTTTTTTTATAAATACATGTATAGGATTGGGTTTATTTATAAATTTGTATTCCTATTATTTTCAATATGAATCCCGATCAAAAGAATCAACGACTTCTTCGTGAATGCTAACAAAAAGATTATTTTATTATAAATTTGTATTTATTATACCCACTATAGACGTCATTGATAGATGGCCTTGTAGAAAATGATTTCTAGCAGCTATATATATGTTGGTCCTAACCTCATATGAATAATTTTACAATTTGATAAATAAAATGTTAATAAAATCCCATAAGTCTTGGTGGAAATTTCATTGCACCCTTCATTTTGGTCTTGAATAACAATTACACCAATTACAATGTTATTTTGGCCACAGCATACATTATAATGTCAACAGCAAAAATGGATTCCAACTAAAAAGACCTACCCTCAGTTCTTCAATATAAAGCATGAATAAGATCCATGTTGTTTTTTGACTGCTATAGCATTACCACAGCGCTACTTCGCTGCTTTTGGAATATCAAGGTTTTCAAAAACTGGGCTGTCCACTCCCACTCCCATTGCATTTAGACCATTGTCGACATATAGAACAGTGCCGGTGATGGCTGATGCCAATGGTGATGACAGGAAGGCAGCAGCGTTCCCCACTTCCTCTGTTTCCATGAATGGTTAAAGTTTATGTAAGTTTGCAAGGTAAAAATCTTGTCTAATGAAGAATGGAAAATTTGGAAATTCATGCTTGCATTTGGTTGTGTACTTAATTACTCACCAGCAGATAATTCTTTCTGCAAGGGTGCATTTTCCGATGAGTAATCAATCATCATATCAATGAACCCAATTGCTTTTGCCGCACGACTTCTTAATGGTCCTGCATAGGGGAGAAGCAAAAAAAAACACATGAACAAGAAAATGTGAGAACGTGGACCTATGCAGCATTTAAGGTTTAACAAAAATGTGAGGTCTAGATAAGTTTGAAGCTCTGATAAGCTATTTGGTGAAACATCTGCCATCTGAAGACCATTATTGCGTATCAGCATCTTATATCGAATGTGGAGGGTTCACTTTAACCAAGATCTATGTACATATATGACAGGAAGAGGTGCACCACATCTCTTCTAAGAGATGTTAATCAGAATCATCAAATAAGACATCTAATTTGATGTGCAGAAGGGCATCAACTCCTAAATTACTAAATAGCTTTTATCATCAAAAGCAATAACATCAATATTTTATTATCAGAATGTAAACACTTTTTCAACCACAAGGTGGTCCTTCTATGTTTCCATTAAGAGTGGAAGACAGATTCTGTCAACAGAAAATAACTGTAGTACCTGCAGATATTGTGTTCACTCTAATGTTGTGTTTTCTTCCAGCTTCGAAGGCCAGCACCTGAATCAAGGGTAGAAATGTGATATATGTGTGTGTGTGTGTATATATATATATATATGTTTCATCACAAAAAAGAATAAAAAGAAAAAGGAGACATCTAGATACGGTCAGTCTAAGAACTGTTATAAAAGCAAAACAATTAAAGACTCACGCGTGTGTCACTCTCTAGAGCAGCCTTCGCTGAACTCATGCCTCCACCATATCTGCAAGCGGGATAGTCTTAAATAAAAGTTTATTCAGAGAATAACTGTTGACGAGTAGTTTTTTATGCAAGAAAGCACATACCCTGGAATGATCCTTTCTGAAGCAATGTATGTTAGAGAGATTGAAGCACCACCTGTCATGTTAAAATTTACCTTTAGATTCTATGCTGTCTACAAAAAGCCACTGCAACATCATGGGATTCTTGAAAAATGAAGAGGGGAGGAGGGGTAGGAGGAGAAATAAAGCATTAAAGTTAGAACTGTGCCTGGGTTAATTATTGGAGCAAAGTGCTTGAGTAAAGAAACGTATGAGTAACTCGATGCAGAGATTGCTGCAAGATACCCATATCTTGATGTCTCCAAAAGAGGTTTAGTAACCTGTGCATGATACATGTACTGCCTAAGTACCGTGAAGATCTTAAATAATGTTGCTAAACAAAAAATGTGAAGACATATTCACCTCTGGTCCATTAGCAAGTGAGTGGACAAGGATATCAATGCTGCCAAAATCCTGTTTTACAGATTCAACAACCTCCTGCAAAACATTTCTACAGAATCAGCTAACATACCCAAGCCGGGCCAGTTTATTAATCCAACATCTGGAAACATAACCTACAACAGAAATGTATAAAGCTTGACCAAATTCAAGCATGCAATGCACCGTGAACATCAGTGACCAGAGACACCTGGAAACATATGTTTCCACATAAGCTTGAGGCATTTCAAGCATGCAATTCACCATGAATTCAAGTGACCAGAAACATCTGGAATTATAAATTTTAACCATTATACCCATAACACATTCTATTTTTCATCTTAAAGATCGCACATAATGAGCATCAAATTTCATGTCTATGTGACTAGGGGTGGAGGTTTCTGTCTATGTGTCGGGCCTGAGCTATGGGAAATAATTTCGTTATACTAGATAGGCCAATTTTATGTCCAAACTTCATTTTCTTTGGGAGGGGGAGGGGGGAAGGGAGAAGCCAAGGTCCTGACTAGTGTGCCCTTCCTTTTTCCTCTGTGTGTCACTTAAAGGCTAAAAATTTAGTCAATATCTGAGAGTCAATAAAATCTTAAGAACTTCGATTGAACAGTAATTTAGTCCACACAAAAATGATACCTTCACAGTCCAATTGGAGGACCCCAAGTAGCGCTTGTTGGATTTTACCTGCACAAAACCACAATATGAGCACCACTACAAATATAATTTGACTTTATTGTATATTCCAAAAACTTAAAATCAGGAGATTCATACATCTTCAGGGACATCCTCAGGATCGTCATAAACTGCATCCAATGGGTAAACCTTGGTAATTTCCATTAAAGAGCCATCTGGCAATCTGGAAGGAAAAAAAGAAATCAGAAGAAAAACCTAAATCAGTAATAAACTTCAATAGCAATAACAGAGAATTTGAGACAGATAAAAAAACATCAACAGATTTGCATGAAATGCAGGAAATGAAAATCTGCTCTTACTTCCGCGACTCATCAAACTTCCCACGCCTTAAACTGGATTCGAAAATATTAAGTGCCTATAACGAATAAAACTTCATTAAAAGACTATACAGTTTTTCGGAAGTTAAGGTTCCACAAATTCAGTTAGATCAATTTACATACCGGCACCCATGTACCAACTAGAATTTCAGCCCCAGCAGCAGCAAGAGATTTTGCTATTGCCCATCCATATCCGTGATCATCAGCCACTCCAGCAATGAATGCTCTCTTTCCTGCAAATAGCTGTCCCAGTGTTAGATAGATGTGTGGACAATATGAACTAAGGGAAGCAGCCATGGAAAGGAAATAGTTACTTCCTTTTTCCAAACCTTTGTCACTCTACCTTTGGGATCAAATAATTTAAACATCGAAACCAAACCCGTGATCTTGCTTTGCCTTTCAAGAGTGTCTTTCTGAATGAAATCACATTTCTTTTCCTATTCTCTTGCTTTAGAGCTATAACTCTCTTTATTTTTGGCAATTAAAAATCGTAAACTAGTGGCATTCGTTATTGACACCAACAATAAACTAACATCAATTATCAATGATGACGATGACATGGACCTTCTTGGGAAACTTTATGACAAATCTCTGACTCTTGTTGGCAGTATTCTAATCCCTGTCATCCTTTTTATATGTCACTCAATAACTTATGTTGACACCATGAGTTCACAAGGATGCTGGTATGCTAGACAATATGTCTAACTGTGAACCCCAATAACTTAGTGCTTGCGCTAAGGGGGGAAGACATAGAATTTATAGGGAACTGTAGCCAAGTGGCTAAGGCATGAGTCTGCAAAACTTCTATTCGTCAGTTAGAATCCGACCGATTCCTACAGCGCCGCACACTATTGTTGGTCTATTCTAATTGTGTCATTCAGCACGTAAGTTCACGACAACTATGAAAAACACTCATACACAAGTTACAAAATTGAGTACTTAAGAAATATAATAGAAGAAAGATGTTTGACCTCTCAAATCAATAGGCAATCCTGGCAATGGACTGTTCTCATCTGCTCCTGACATTGCTCTGGTGACAGCCTTTACAGATTTCGTATGCCCTGATTTGAAGCTCTGGAAGAATGGCTGTGTTGCTGAGATGTGAGAAGAACTTTTAAGCCTTCTCCAAACTCCCACTTCACTGTTTGTACCAAAATTTGCTGTGCCTGACGTATAAGTTCTTCGAGAGGAGGATATGCAAGGCTTAACTGCTGCCATGTGGGATCCAGGAGTTGTAGTCGTGGCCATTTTAGATACAAATCACCAGAAACCGAAACAAACTCTGCAAGACGGAGAAGCATATACATCAGTAACAGAGAGGTAGCAACACTAACACTCTGCTAGTAAGCTCAAACTTGTGACATGTTATCAGCAATTATTAGAGATATCTCTAATTATAATTCTTAACAACCAACACAAGCAGTAAATCAAACTAATACAACCAAAAACTAGCAATTAATCTGTCTCAACCTGAAACATGTAAGATTAAACAACTTCATCAGAGTGGTAGTATTCAACAAATGAAATGCAAAAAATCTGGTGCAAAAAAATAAAACAACTATTGGGTACACATTTTTGGATTAGATGGTAACCAAGATTATAATAACAAGATTAGTTTCTTTCCATTTCCTAAAGGTGTCTAAACAATTGCAGCCAATTTTACCCAAGATCACTTAAACTATTAGGCCAGGCTTTCATTTTTCATTTCCAACGTGGGATCATAATACACTCAACAAATGTCTCTACAAAACCTTAATGAATCAGAAAATTTTGGAAACACGAGACATTGAATCAACCCAGTGAAAACATTCCTACAACGTTGGCGACATGATCAAAAGCTGTGTTTTTTAACTGATCAGAAACCAGTGAGATGCATGCACACATTCATAGAGAGATCCGAAGACTCACCTTTGACCTCTGCGGCAGTGTTTTGGAAGAGAAGAGCAAGGTTTTGGTTGTGTGTTTATATGAAATGTGAGTGTCTGTTTTTGTGTGTGGGTTTCGATGAAATCGAAGTCTTGGTTTGTTGGGGAGTTGGTGTTGGGGAGCTTTGTAAATGCCGAATGAGGCGGGGGTTGGACACTGGACTGAGCGTTGAGCTGTGTTGTTTTTGGCGCCCTTGTGAATGACAGTTTTGTCCTTGCTCTTAAATGGATCGTTTGGACTTTCATTTCAGTGCCCCATTTGTGCATATGGATGCGATGGGCTTAAGATTCTGGAAGTGAAAAACCAAAAACAAAACTCAGTTGTGCTCAGGCCCAAACTGAAAATCCGACGAATCGAATTAGGCATGTATAGGTCCGGATTGGTTAGCTTCCCTCGGCCGGTTTTGGTCAAAGGTAACAACTCCTACTGGTTTAATTATTCGATCAATGGTATAGGGAAATTTCTATTGTATTGAAATTTCTAGTGAGTGTCTGACTCTTACATAAAAAATTGCAAAATTTTAAACTTTACTCCTCATTGTATTGAAAATGTATTTTTTTTTAAGGTCAACGGGGTCTAGCCCAATAAAAAAAGACATTGACTTGCATATCAGAAATCTTATATTCAAATTTTCACGGAATCATAGTTGTATATGTAAATTTCTAGAAAAAGAAGCAAAAAGAGAAGCAAAAGGGAGGCAAAATCAACCATGGGGCTGCAACAGCCCATTATGAGATTGCCCATTACGGGTTGGCCCTTTACTTGTTTGTTTCACAGCCCACTGTGACTTGTTCTAATTAATAAACAAAAAACATTACATCACATGAATTTGTTGAGACAAAAAACAATCAGTTTGGTGAATAGTTTTAAGAACTTCTTGTATCAGTAACACCACTGAGTGCATAATATTTTGCAATAAATACCTTTATAATATACATGCAGGAAATATGTTTGCTTCAACTTTAAGAAGTTAGTCAACCAAAACATTATCTGGTGATTAATTTAATAAAAACTGCACTTTCATGCATAGTTTTCTATTTATCTCATATGTCACTAGATTTATAAAAATAAAAAAGTTTCAAGCATAATTTAATAAAGTATAAGATCATTAAATAAGGTTCTTGAATGATAATTTGTTTAATAAAGCCTTATATGAAATATATTGTTATTATTTTCAAGATACATAAGCAGTTCCAATAACAGTTTTTGAAAAGAAAAAAACAACCATCAAAAACATTTGTTCCATTAACCAAAATTGAATGTAGATATGAGATTAGCAAAGTTGGCTAGAGCATATGTGCTCTTCACTATGCACCCGAGTTTAAATCATCATTCTCATAATTTAAATTAGATTAAAATAGAATACCGTTTGCATGAATAAAAATAATAATAACCAAAATAAAATTATGTTAGACATACCTTAACTATGCCATGCAAAAGAGGAAAACCAGAGAAAAAAGAAAAAATGGTAAAAGAAATAAATTTAAGCTTACATCAGCAACCCAGCATATTGGCGGCAACCCAACCCACATATTTAACCCTAATTTTAAAATCCTCAATTATTTGCATCACACAAAAAACAATTATTACATCATATTATTTATTAATAATTATCCATCCAGTACAACTATTGCTGTTTTGTTATTTATGATTTATATATAAAAATAGATAGTTAATATAATAATATCCCAGCCAGGCTCTGGACTCTCCCACTCTCGTTTTCGAAGCCGCTTTAGTTTTTAGCCCCAGCAGCTGCTCTTCCTCTTCCAAAACCCTTCTTCTAGGGTTAGGGTTTGAGCTAGGGTTTGCCTCTATGTTCCTTTGTCTATCTTCTGTCTAGGGTTTTCTGTAGCAGTAAATAGAGATTCTTTTATTGTTTCTGTGCTCGTTTTTAGTCGTTTGGGTTCGTTTCGGATCTCGATCTGTGTTCTAGAATGATGGATACTCGTAAAAGAGGGCGGCATGAAGCTGGCGCCTTCCATGCTAATGGCGGCTTCAAGAAGAACAAGCAAGGTTCGCTCTTTGCTTCTCCCACTCTGTTTTTTGTGAATTTGATAAATTTACATATCTGTCAGTTTTAAGCTTTTATTTGTTACTTTGTTTTCTATTTGGTTTATGCGAAGGTATCTGAAGCTTGAAAATTTATCATCTGTAAAATAAATATTTTTTAAAAACCCAAGTACTGGAGTCCCTAGCATGGCAAATTTTTTTGTTCTACTTGGGTTTGTTGGATTTGGAATGTCTTTCAAATCTATGTGATATTACATGCTTCATACTTGTTCAAGTTTAAACTGTTCCGTATCTTCTGTTGATGTGAATTTGTGGCATGTGTAATTCTTTCCTGGTTTTCTTAAATCTTTGTGATCTCAGAATTTTCTTGTTTTTCCCATTGTCTGTGGTTTTATAATGTTCCAAGTTGTTGGTAGTTTATTATTAGGCAAAGTTGATTTTTGTTGTGCTTTCTCGAGCTGAACCAATCCTTCAAATGAAGTTACTTTGGTTGGTTGCTTTGTTTACGAAAGTCAAACATGCCCCATAAAAAAAAAATTAGCCGTCTTCAATTTGATGGTTAATATAGCTAGATAAAAATCATGTTGTACTTGGATTATTTGGACTAGTACTATACAGGTAACTAACTTTACTAATTTTTATTATCTCTTTGGTTTCAAACTTCTTAATGGGTTTGAGATGCTCTAGAATAATTGGATTAAGGATCAGGAGAAAATGTAACTGAGAGAAAGTAATTAATGTTTTGTAACAGAATTGGAGTCCTTTTCAACTGGTGTAGGAAGCAAATCGAAGCCATGCACCAAGTTTTTCAGGTTCAAATCTTTGCCCATCTAAGTAAATATAATGAAATGCATCTTATCCCTTTTAAAGGTATTTTGAAGCTTTTATAAAATTTCAACTTACAATTGTTACAAAATAAAATCTTGTAACTGCACTAATGAACTGGGAATTCATAGTTGTTATACAGGTACGAACTTTGCTTTGGTCTAATGAAGTTGACAAATTCCATGTAATACTGCTTTATTTATGAACTACAAGGATAAGCATCCGGTAGACTAAATTGGGTGCTTATGGAGTTATAATAAAATTGAGCATAGCATGTAATTACTTTATATTGTACCCTCTAGCTCAATTAATGTTCATGCTTTATCTCAAAAGATGGGTAAGACAAACTCCACTGATAGTTTTTCCAGATTTTAGTAAATTGTTTAAGCTGTTGAAACAACCCTTCTGTTGATAAGTTGTAATTTATTCCCATGCCTTCTGTTGATAAGTTGTAATTTATGCCCATGCCTTCTGTTTAAGAAATATTATTGATGTGAACATGGGTAAGATGTAAATTAATTTGAAGATGTCTTCTCTTCTTGTCGTATAGAAAATTTTAACTTCTAATAACATTTTTCAGTTTCAATGGTATGATTTACTTGCCCGAGAAAAAAATCTGCTTTTGAATTTAGCTCCAAATCCTTACCCCCACCCTCAATTTTTTTTTTTGGTGCTTTACAAGTGGGGCGGGGTTGATTTGGGATCTGTATGGTCTTATAGATTCTTGTGTCTATTATTGACTGGTTTTCTTCTCAGTAATAGGTAGTGAATAACACTTTTGAATTATAAATTTGTTGAAAGTAGTATATGTTGCTTTGCAATTCTTGAAAAAAAATTATAATTGTATCAGCAGGTTTTGTTAGTCAGTGAAATAATACTCAAAGAAATTTTGGAACCAAATTTTGTTAAAGTAAAATGAGTCCACAGATGAAATTGTTACTCCTATATATCTGATGGGTCCACGCCTGCAATTAAGTGACGTTTGGACTAGAACAGTCTTTGTGATGCATAATGGTGTCATTATCATTTGGTCTAACCCTATCTTATTAACTGAAATCACTTCTTTATCTTAGAAGTACGATGGTTCAGAATTTGTGCTTGTTTGAATTTGGACCGAGTTATGTCTCAACTCAATGTAGTTGGTATTGGATTTTTGGATTTGTGATTTTGTGAAAAATGGAGGGGGTTTGTGGGGGTTGTGCGGTTCGTTTCATTTTTATCATCGGATTAGGTTTTGTCACTAAATACTGCTAAAGGAGACTAAGATAAGTTTGCAAGCTATAGTTGCTTGGTATTGTTTGGTTAAGTGTTTCCCGTCAACCAAAAATGTGTGTGAAATTTATATTTACATTTACAGGAACATAGAAAAGAACAACAATTGTTATACTGTTGGTCCTTTGGCATACGCTAGAAGGAACTGTTGTGATGTGAAACCTTATTTCTTATCTTCGAATTGAGTGACCACTTTTGGCCTGAGTATCCATTTCTCTGTAGAGAATAGTTAATAATTGTTTACTGTCATCTGATTAAAGAGCTTTATGATTCTGATTGCAGCACTGCTGGCTGTCCTTTTGGCGAGAGTTGCCACTTCCTGCACTATGTTCCTGGTGGTTATAATGCTGTGGCTCAGATGATGAATCTTGCGCCTGCTCCTCAAGCATCTAGGAACATTGCTCCCCCACCATCCAATTCAAATGGATCCAGTTCATCTGCAGTTAAATCGCGCTTATGCAATAAATATAATTCTGCTGAAGGCTGCAAATTCGGTGACAAATGCCATTTTGCACATGGTGAGTGGGAACTTGGCAAGCATCTTGCTCAGTCCCACGATGATCCCCGTGCCATGGGACCTGGTCCAGGTCGCATGACCAATTGGATGGAGCCTCCCCTTGCAGGCCCTGCATCTAGCTTTGGTGCCTCGTCTACTGCCAAAATCAGTGTAGATGCTTCGCTTGCAGGAGCCATTATTGGGAAGGGTGGTGTAAATTCGAAGCAGATTTGTCGCCAGACAGGTGCCAAGCTTTCAATCCGGGAGCATGAGTCAGATCCCAATCTCAGGAACATTGAACTAGAGGGGACCTTTGAACAGATTCAGCAAGCAAGTACCATGGTGAGAGAGCTAATTGTGACTGTTTCAATGTCTGGCCCTGCAAAAACTCCTGGAGGAGGAGCTCCAGGGGCCCCGGCCCCTCCCGGAAGTAACTATAAGACAAAGCTATGCGATAATTTTACCAAAGGGACTTGCACCTTCGGAGAAAGATGTCACTTTGCACACGGGGCTGCTGAATTGCGGAAGTCTGGGATGTGAGTGCTCTATCAGTTTTTGCTTGCAACCTTGTACTATTGGGAGAGCTGTTTTGATTTGTCCATGTGCAATGCAACTTAGTGGAACTAACAAAATATGATAATTTTTGGGCATTTGGTGCTAGTGTAGCTTGTAGGCATAAGTTTACTTTCTGAATATATGTTTTATATGCTCGTCATTTGTTTATGTGGAAACTAGGGCAGGATTATTTGTCCAAAACTGTTGGTAATTTTGATGAGACTTGAAGAACGTGGGTAGGATTTTAAGCCTTGTAATAACTTTTGTGTTTCAATTGAAGTTCATTAAGAACTGCAAACTACCTACCAAAGTAAGCCGGATTTGGTTCTTCTGTTATGATTTTCTCTGCCATGATCTTCGTTACTTTTGTTATCCATACGCCATATCACTAAAATTTAGTCTAATGGATTTACAAGTTGACACATCATCCTAAAATAAAAACCCAATTTACTCTTAATTCAAAAAGAAAAAAAAACATAACACTGACTAATTCCTTGCGATCGGGTATTTATTATTTCAGTTTGGTTGTGAAATTAGCTAGGATATTGAATGTTGGTGTTGACATCGGACAAGCCTTTAACACAAGCGGGTTTTGAAGTCGCGCCCTGAATAGAAGTTGAGGCCCTGCAAACCAACACAACTAGGAATGTCTTTGTGTCAACAATTTGCTCACTCGGTATATATATATATATATATATATATATATATATATATATATATAACATTTGTTAAACATACATTATACACAAAAATAAAATCGGAGCCCCTCAAAAATCAAGGGCCCTATGCGGTGGCACCACTTGCACACCCTCAAGGCCACTCCTAATGAGATAACATAATTGAATTGAATTAGTTATCTTATTAGTGACAAAAAAAAAAAAAAAAAAAAAAAAAAAAAAAAAAAAAAAAAAAAAAAAAAAAAAAAAAAAGCCAAGCCTAAGGAAGAACCCAAAAAAGAGAAGAGGATAGCAAGAATGAGAAAAAAAACAACTTTGAATGTTAACTATCCCGTTAATGGGGTGTTAGGGTTTTTTTTTCATTTTTAATTAGGAATAAATTGGGTTTTTGTTTTAGGATTATGTGCCAACTTGTAAATCCATTAGATTAAATTTTAATGAGGTCACGTATGAAGAACAAAAGTAAAGCAGATCATGGCAGAGAAAATCAAAGCAAAGGATCTGAATCCAAGTAAACCAAAGAGTGCAACAAATGCCAATCCACAAAGCTTAATTACCATTGAATCCCACTAAAGGCATGTAATGCTAGAGTTCCATCTTAATACCAAAGGAAAAAATAAGGAGATGCCAATTGTCAAATTAAAGGGAAGCATCTTTTCTCTATAACCCGAAATAACATGATACAAGCAACCTCCATTTCCAAGCAGAAACTTGGGAATATTAATGGACCAAAAGCTTTTGCTTTTTTCTTTTTCTTAATTAGCGGGGAAGAGGGAATTTGAACTTTGAACCTCTTGCAACGTTGAAAATAGAGGGAGTTGGTGCTCACTAGACCAAAAGCTAATTGATATATTGACTCTTGAATGACTTTTCATCCAAGTATCATTAAGGCTTCCAAACCCACCCACCTCTTTGTGGGAGACAAATTTCCTAGACACCCTTAGAAGCCTAATGGACAAATTTCCTCCCAAGAGACCCTTAGAAGCCTAATGGTTAGAACAAATACCAGCCCATAAGAAAGAACAAATCCTTTGTTCAATGTCCAACAGCAGTTTCTTGGGAAAGAACAAACAACCTCCTTAGGAGGCTCAACACTATGATATTGAACATCTCATTTCTTCTTTTGAATTTTAAGAACATTTTTAGAGAGATCAATTTCACTACAGACTTGAGACACCAATTGAAATCTCCATACTTTTGGTCTCACATTGTTCTAAATTCAGTCCTGCCTGTTCTCAAATTTGATTTGTCTGGAGGAGGTTGTCCTCGTGGCTTTGTTTTGTAGTTTTGTTTTTCCTTACTAAAAACAAAAACAAAAACAAAAACGAACTTGGAGATTACATGAAGATTCCATAAAACACATGTCGATGCCCAAAATGGAATTCAATTTAAATAGATGTGGAGTGGTGGATGATGTGTGAAGATGTGGGTCTTCAACATGTGTATGTGCCTTCAGTAGGTTATTGTCTTTGGTAATCAGTGACATTTACCGTAATTAAAGTACATAAGCATGCAGAAGACAAGGTATACGTGGTTCACCCTAATAATGGGTTACATCAACGAAGAAGAATGTTCTCATTATGATAATATTTGTTTACATTTGTATAAGAGGATTAGACCCAAAGATAAATAGAAGAAGGCCCAAGGCCTAAGTTACAAAGCCCAAAAGTCCAAGGCCTAAGGGTCAAGATCCAAGACCCTTTTCTAAGAGCAATTCCAGGGGCCCCAGGCAAGGCGGGGCCTGGGCCTAAAAAGGGCTTCCAGCGGACAAATGTTGCTAGGGCTATTGGTGGGCTCCACAAGCCTGGCTGGCCCTCAGGCAAAACCAGTCATTACTTTAGCTTGGGTTTGCTAATGTCAGCAACCAAAATTTTTATAAAAAAATTATAGAATTTTTAAAAAATAAATACTTAGTCATATTTTTCACTTCCCACACCCAAACTCTATACAAATTCATCTCCTTATATCTCATGTGAATAGTGGTTGTCATGGCATGGCAATAAGTGAAAACACCACAAGCCTTTTGCAAGGGCTTCCACTATTCACGTGAATAGTAATAGCCCTTGCCTCCCCTTACCCTTTGCCATTGCAAATGGGTGGAAGTGCTCCAAGTGGAGTGTGGTCTTTTTTTTTTTACAAGTGAAGGGGAATCTCCACCTTTTGTAGTCTTCTAATGCGGGACTCTTCACATTACCCATAATTGTGACTTATGGCAAGGTTACTTTGACTAAGGTGACAACATCTCAAAGTATGTCACGTGGCTGATCTTACTTAGTTAGTTGCTCAGTTAGTCATGGTACCAACAAAACATTGAATAGATTGTCACTTCCCAGCACAAGATAAGGAACTTAGGTTAAGTCAATAATATATCTAATTGGTAAGAATTTTGATGTTGGAGTTGAAACAACTAGTAATCTTTAGGTTTGATAAGGTCACCAACTAGTAATCTTAGAAAGGTATATAATTAAAAATCTAATATTTTTAATTAACTTTTTCTCAAAAGAGAGTAAAGCCAATTTTTAAGAGCAGCTACAATCATACTGTCTATTTTTTAATTAAAATTTAGCTAAAAATACACAAAAACTATTTTAAAAGCTCTTTATAAAATTTCAACTTCAATCATACTCTCTAATTTATGGAGTCATAATTGCTATAATTCTTTTTTAATTCAACATAAATGATTCATCTCTATATTTAAAAAAAAATGGCAATATTAATTAACAATTTAAAATAGGAAGCTGATTTTCTCACTCCTCTTTTGTCCACTTAAATTCATTTTGTTGAAAATTGTATGTTTTCACTCATCTTTTGTCCACTTACACTCATTTGTATGTTATAGTAAAAAATATTAAAAAACAAAAGAGAGTGTAAATGGACAAAATGAGAGTGAGAAAATCATCACCCTTAAAATATTCATTAAATAAGGCAACATTAAATTATAGGGAGTCACTAGTAGTCTATTCTCTCTTCTCAAATTTAGGGACTCCTAAAGGTTTCTTTATTTTAGGAGTTGGATAGGAAGTATGATTAGAGCTAGATAGGTGCATTAATTAATTATTACTGTATTAATTTTCATTAATGTAAGAAAAAGAAAATGACAATAATGAAAGAGTGCTGCTATTTGTACCCCTATCCTATTTTTCCATCCATTATTATTCATAAAATACCCTTTAATTAATAAAATACTATAACATTAATATTTGTTTATTAATAACAATTTTAATAAAATAATTATTATAAAAATAAAAATAAACCAAATCCAGTATGCAAAGATAGTTATGCAGCTGCTGAATAGGACTGTGGAGATTTGACCTTGCGTTGTAGATGGATGACTGTAAGCAGCAAGCTTAATTACTTTTTCTTGATTAGTGCCCAAAATTGGTAGGCTATTCTTTATCACCCCAACTGTGAATTCTTTGTGAGAAAGAATACAGAACGGATAAACTGAGACTAAAAAGAGAGAAACCTTTGGAACCTGTAGGGATGAGTCAATACCACCTCCCCCAACGTAGCCCTCTCTTCGGCGTCAACACTATCAAGGCCAAGTGGGTCATGTCCGATAAGACCTTACTCTTTCATCAATACCTCTAACGTCCGTGATGATTACGATGGCGGTTGTCTCCGGTACGGAGTTGTTGGGGATTGTGACTCGAGTGTGGAAGGTGGTGAATAGTTTGGGAATGGTTGGGAAGATGGGTTCGCGTTGACCTAAGTCCTTAGAAATCATTATACGGAGACAATTATAGAGGATAGATTTTACAGAAACAATTTAGTCTCATTATACTTCTCTTCTTAATGTTAAAGAAAAGTAAAGTCGAATATCTCCCCCATATTTAAAAAAATAAATAAATAAATAAAATAAAATAAAGAATCATTACCATTTCTTTTTTGGGTGAAAATAATGGAGTGTCACCTCTCTAAACTAGGCACGGATTAAGGAAAAACTCTCCCCAAGAGGTTCGTTACACATCATGCAAATGATTGAACTCGAAACCTCATTGAAGAGCCCGATCACATTTGCCCAACATATGTGGCCTAGCTCATTCAATTTTCCACTAGACCAAACCCACTTGGGTACATTACCAATTTTTTTAGGACCACAAGCAATTATTCTTTTCAGAACTGAGACACTCAATTTCTCTCATCTCACATATCTAAGCATCTTCTCAATTGGCAGGCACTTGGTCCAAATTTCTGATTCAGATTTATATATAAACTTTTACACAATGCTACCAATTTTATTCCATTAAAACTTGTAAAATATCAAAACAAACAACTTCAACTACTATGCCTTAAAAGACTTACCCAAAAAAAAAACACCCCCACGTATTACATATTAACCCACCCAAAAAGGTTGGGATTTAAAAGATGACCTAACCGGACCCCACAAATAATGGCCATAGCACAAAATCATAGGCTCCATTTCAACTGAAGGTCCCACCAGTTCCATACCCGGGTGGATTCCTACCCACACCAGTATTATGGGCTGCGGTCCGACCCGTACTCGTGTTGATACCAATAGGGTGTGATTCCACCACTCCCTCGGTCACTTGGCCTGCGGGCTGTTCGGTACCATGTCCGGGTAACGCTGACATTTGGTGGGCCCCAGTGGGCTGCCCTGTGGCCCCAGACGTGGAATACGTGTGGGTCCCAGTACCACTAGCAGTGTACCCCGTGGGCCCACCCACGGATGCCTTGTGTCTAGCTACGGTGTTGTGCGTCATCGCCTCACGCTTGTTCAGCTTGGCCCCAACCATTCTCTCCTCCCCCTTTCGGGCTGCCATGTCCTTTTCAACCGGGTCATGAGCTGTCATCTTCTCCACCTTTTTTGGGGTTGGAAAAACCAAAACAAATGGTGAATGAATAATAAATTCATAAAATGAAACACCAAAAACATGACTAAAATAAAATACATGAAATAAAACCTTTTCTTTCACGGATCCCTTTACGTTCTTCCCATACTGCATTTTCAGCTCACTTCTTTTTTTTTTCTTTTTCTTTTTTTGAATCCAAATAATTTGTCTCCAAAACTTTTTTTTCAAGCACAGTGTAGTATCTTAATATAGTGCGCTTCAAATAGGCTCAAGGGACATGCTGGAGTCGTGACACGTGGAATAACAGAGAGATGAGGTGGGCGCTGGAGAGAACATCACGATCCCTGTATTGACACGATGCAGACACGTGTCGAAGGGTGTCGACAGTGTTGATGACGCAGTAGTTGGGAAAGTTTATATGGTTGCGACATGAAGGCGATAATAATTACACGTGTTGTTTGCGTAACCCCACCCTAAAGTATCTACAATCACCCAAAAAAAAACACAAAACAAAAAAAATGCATATAAATAGAAGACTTTTTATCACAAATGGTCCTTCACGTTTACGAAATTATCACGAATGGTCCTTGAGGTTTTTTTGTGACACTAATAATCCTTAACGTTTGGACTTTTTATCACAAATGGTCCTTACCGTTATAAATTATGTTAAGTGTCTGAGGTGGAAGATAAGTGGAACCCACATGTCCAATCATATCGTGACATGTGGATTAAATAAATAAATAAATATTTTTTTTATGAAAATTCATTAAAAAACCATTTAGCCTTTCTCTCTCCCCGTCTCTCTCTCATTTCCTCTGCCCTCTCTCCTCCCTGTGCTTTCCCTTTCCCTCTGTTTTTTTGTTGCCTCTACAACCCAACCACCCCATGCCCACCCGCTTCACTCAAGCTATTAGGTTTTGGCCTGCAGCATTCTTATTTTGTGTGGGAAGCGCCGAGACCTCCGTCACCAAAGGAAATGAGAGAGATGGGGCGAGAACTAGCTAGGAAAAAAATGCCCGTCGATGCTTTGTTTGGGGTTCTTTTCTTTTATAACTTGTAAGTGCCTGCTATAGAGAAAACAAAAAAAATGCTGTGTTTTGCATTTAGATTTCAGTCGAAATAATGGTGAGGCCAAGTGGGTTTTATTTCAAGTTCAAGTGTGGCCTTGTAATGTTCCACAATCCTACTTAAATTTTCAAATCCACTTTGCCCATTTCATGCTGTGTGTGGAGGACGATGGAGCTTTTGTGACTCAGGATGTAAATTATATGTTGTGATAAACCATGGATGGATTTGAAAGTGACCAAACATCTACAATATTCCTCATGTACTATTGAACCTTCATTTTCGTGTTCTTTGTGGAGTTGGAATCTACTTGAAAGTGAGTTCTTTTGGTTTGCTTTTCTGGGTTGTGCTTGAGTGAAGCTGGAAGGTTTAATAAAAAACAGAGGAGGAGAGCAAAAACAAAGGGAGATGGTAGGGGAGTTGGGCATGGGTTACGGGTTGCGGGTTGCGAGAAGAGACAGAGAACAACTGTATATCTTTTAATTTTTCTTGTAGGTGGCAGAGGGAAAAAAAAACAGAGGTAGAAGATATGGAAAGCAAAGTGTGGAGAGCAAGGGCAGAGGAGGAGAGAGACGGAGCAAGGAAGGAGATGAAAAGTTGTAGAAAAATAAATGGAATTTTCATTAAAATTTTATTTAATTATTTTTTATCCACATGTCGCAATGTGATTGGACATGTGGGCTCCACTTATCTTCCACATCACACTTAACAGAATTTATAACGGTAAGGACCATTTGTGATTAAAAAAAAAACCCAAACGTTAAGGACTATTAGTGTCACAAAAAAACCTCAAGGACCATTCGTGATAATTTCGTAAACGTAAAGAACCATTTGTGATAAAAAGCCTAAATAGAATGCAAATAACACAATTGAACTATGCATGTACAGAGAATTCGTTGGTTCCCGGATATGCTTGGATGATTAGGTTAACAATTGAATCATATCATACCACAATGGAAACTTAAATTAGACTAACAATTGCATCATGCACCTAACGCAATTGAACCATACAAAACTAAACCCTAAATTACACTACGAACACTATGATTTTAACACACAGATTCCATTCTCATTAATTTAAACCAAAACCTAATTCAACATTTTTTTAAAAAAAACCCCTTATTTAAACCAAAACTCACTAAAATAAAAAATAAAAAAAAACAAGTGGCAACAGTTTTGAAAACCCCAATTGTATTTCGAAACAACCCTAATACGTACTTTTATTAAGGAAAAGTGGAGATCAGATCAATTTTGTTCTTAAATTATTGTTCAGGTTGCTTGATTATTTAGTTCATTTGAAATAATTGAGTTAGATTAGACAATATATTTTAGAAAGTTTTATACGAAACATGTTTTAATAAAGCAAGAAAGTTTAAACTTAGTCCGGTAGATCGCTCAGATACAGATTGGGGAAAATTAAGTCAGACGGTACCATTTTGCGCACATCTTAAGAGAACAAATTATCTCTAAAAAGGAAAAGGATCATCAACAAACAAGAGAAAGAGAGAGAACAACATGAAAGTAGATCACCCTATTGAACTTTGATAAGATGTTTGTGTTAAAAGTCATCTAAGTTTGCTTAACTTGTTTATTGAACTTTAATGAGACGTATGTGTTGGTCGCTTGTATAAATAAACATAGAGTTCCAAAGTTATGAGTTTGTCACGGGGTGTCTAACCTAGATGCAATGCATTATGAAATGTTGTTGATTCATTATTTTCGTGATTTTTTGCAATTTTATATAGACAGTCTACTCTCTTATATAAATACGGAGTTTCAGATTCTATGAAATTCACTAGAGAAGATAGACAAGTCATGTCCTATCAGTTTGAAAATAAGCCATGCTTAAGATAATTGACCATAAATCAAAGGGGACATATCGTGTTGAATCTCATTTACAAATGGACGAATTATGAACCTTAAAAGCCGATATACGTAATCAAATGACAAAGACATGTCGATTTAAACAAGAGACTGTGTCCTAAATGGGCAACAAAAGCATATTTGTGTAATTGAAATTCAAATCCAAGACTAACTAAAAGTGTATCAAGTCTTACCTGAATATTCAATTCTGGAAGTCTAACATTGAGGGAATGAATATTCATATGAAATTTGGTCAGCGTTTAAACATAACTTTGCTTCCTTGATTGTAAATATTTGTATGAAATATAGTCAGCATTTAACAAATGTGTTTAATTCTGAACTTAGTTATAAAAAGTCTCGAGATTGAATTATTCTACTACATAAATTTAAATAAGGCACTTGGAATGGAAATTCCTCTTTTATTTTATTTTATTAAAATGAAACACCAAAAACATGACTAAAATAAAATACATGAAATAAAACCTTTTCTTGCACTGTGGCTTTGGTCTTGTCCATGCCAGACTTAGCAGAGGCTGCTATGTTAGCAGCCGTTTCTTTCACGGACCCTTTTACGTTCTTCCCATACTGCATTTTCAGCTCACTTCTTTTTTTCTTTTTTTTTCTTTTTTTGAATCCAAATAATTTGTCTCCAAAACTTTTTTTTCAAGCACAGTGTAGTATCTTAATATAGTGCGCTTCAAATAGGCTCAAGGGACATGCTGGAGTCGTGACACGTGGAATAACAAAGAGATGAGGTGGGCCCTGGAGAGAACATCACGATCCCTGTATTGACACGATGCAGACACGTGTCGAAGGGTGTCGACAGTGTTGATGACGCAGTAGTTGGGAAAGTTTATATGGTTGCGACATGAAGGCGATAATAATGACACGTGTCGTTTGCTTAACCCCACCCTAAAGTATCTACAATCACCCAAAAAAAAACACAAAACAAAAAAAAAGCATATAAATAGAAGACTTTTTATCACAAATGGTCCTTCACGTTTACGAAATTATCACGAATGGTCCTTGAGGTTTTTTTGTGACACTAATAATCCTTAACGTTTGGACTTTTTATCACAAATGATCCTTACCGTTATAAATTATGTTCAGTGTCTGAGGTGGAAGATAAGTGGAACCCACATGTCCAATCATATCGTGACATGTGGATTAAATAAATAAATAAATATTTTTTTTATGAAAATCCATTAAAAAACCATTTAGCCTCTCTCTCTCAACGTCTCTCTCTCATTTCCTCTGCCCTCTCTCCTCCCTGTGCTTTCTCTCTCCCTCTGTTTTTTTGTTGCCTCTACAACCCAACCACCCCATGCCCACCCGTTTCACTCAAGCTATTAGGTTTTGGTCTGCAACATTCTTATGTTGTGTGGGAAGCGTCGAGACCTCCGTCAACAAAGGAAATGAGAGAGATGGGGCGAGAACTAGCTAGGAAAAAAAAGCCCGTCGATGCTTTGTTTGGGGTTCTTTTCTTTTATAACTTGTAAGTGCCTGCTATAGAGAAAACAAAAAAAATGATGTGTTTTGCATTTAGATTTCAGTCGAAATAATGGTGAGGCCAAGTGGGTTTTATTTCAAGTTCAAGTGTGGCCTTGTAATGTTCCACAATCCTACTTAAATTTTCAAATCCACTTTGCCCATTTCATGCTGTGTGTGGAGGACGAAGGAGCTTTTGTGACTCAGGATGTAAATTATATGTTGTGATAAACCATGGATGGATTTGAAAGTGACCAAACATCTACAATATTCCTCATGTACTATTGAACCTTCATTTTCGTGTTCTTTGTGGAGCTGGAATCTACTTGAAAGTGAGTTCTTTTGGTTTGCTTTTCTGGGTTGTGCTTGAGTGAAGCTGGAAGGTTTAATAAAAAACAGAGGAGGAGAGCAAAAACAAAGGGAGATGGTAGGGGAGTTGGGCATGGGTTGCGGGTTGCGAGAAGAGACGAAGAGCAACTGTATATCTTTTATTTTTCTTGTAGGTGGCAGAGGGAAAAAAAAACAGAGGGAGAAGAGATGGAAAGCAAAGGGTGGAGAGCAAGGGCAGAGGAGGAAAGAGACGGAGCAAGGAAGGAGATGAAAAGTTGCAGAAAAATAAATGGAATTTTCATTAAAATTTTATTTAATTATTTTTTATCCACATGTCGCAATGTGATTGGACATGTGGGCTCCACTTATCTTCCACATCACACTTAACAAAATTTATAACAGTAAGG